TTTCTGATTGACGTAATCAAATTAAATTCACGTCAGAATATTTTTGCTTACTATTCAGGAATTATAATATGCTATACAGTATCATTCGTAGTGCTTGCAACGCCAACATTTACAATCTGTTTTTTGACGCGTACATTACCACCTGTTGCTTTTTCAATGATTTATTCAGCGCTTCTTACAAAAACTAATCGAATCGCTCGGATTTTGGCAGGTAGCAAAAAACGCATACTCACGAAAAAGCCACGTTTTCTTAGCACTTCATCGCAGGTAAGGAAGACCATATTAACTACAGTTTTCTGTGAACATTATCGCTACTAAATTGTTTTAATAAATAAAATGTCTTGATTTAAAATATTGAACAGAAATGTTAATCACAATATTAAGGTGATAATGACGTGGATTCTTGTTTTCATCGAATGCTTGATAATTGCTATTGATGTATTGGAAGAAATGCCTCAGGCTGGTTTCGACCCTTACTATCAGCCTCAACGCATGGTACTCATCTGCTCAACAACGACCTTTGCCTTCATGATTCCATTCTTCTGGAATTTATTTTTAATCACATTATGTACGTTATATGCTATTAAAACGAGAAACCTGCCTGAAAATTTCAATGAAGCAAAGTTTATTGGTTTCACAATGTAAGTTTACCTCATTTTTGAAAAAGTACTTTTATTTTTTGCGGTATTTAGAAATTACGTATTTTATCAAATGATCCTAATTGGAGATCAATTACTTGCATAAATATTTAACTAATTTAAATACGTCAATCACGATGCAGTGATTTAATCAATCGAAGTAATTTTAATGTAAGAAATTCAATGGAATCACATTTTTACTCGCAATAAAAGTAATGATATCTATGACTGTTAATGAAAACTTCTCAACATTTTGCTATCTATTATATTATTCAACTTGAATTATTCAAGAAAGGACGAAAATCTCTGATTATTTGATTGTTGCTGATGTCAGGTCAGTTCACAATCAAATATTAATACAAAAATAATTTTAGGTATTGTACATTGGTGGTTTGGACAGCATTCATTGTTCTTCATTTGGGTACTATTAATAAAGCAGTAACAATGAGTTTTTCATTTAGCCTTTCAGCTAGCATTGCTTTAGTATTACTATTTTTTCCCAAACTTTATATCATATTATTACGTCCCGAAAAAAATGTTCGAGCAAATTATACTACTACAAAAATGATTCGATGCCATTTTGGAAGTTCACAAACAAATGAAAGTAGCAAACAAGTGTTAGGATGTAAAACTCAATCAAATCAACATTCAATATCCAGGTGATCTGCATTTATTTTCGGTACGGATCAAATTGTATTCTAACAAAACTTTGCAATACTTTCAACTGGTCAAAATATTTTAGTTTCTAAAACATTATTTCCCAGCTACTTCTTCCTATGTTAGTAGGAATAAATTGCAGAAGTAGTGATGGATCATCACTGATCAAACATAGCTATCATACCATGAATAAGCCAGTAACTTATATCACTCAAAACACATCATCATATGATGCATCCACTCAGACGGAAACACTCAAAGTTTCAAATAGAATTGCTCGGACATTTTCCATAATTAGTGGTGGTGTCACTACCACTGCTACTCGTCGTAGTACTAAACTTCAGGTTGATGATGAAGTTCGGCAACTTATTGAATCCTGTCGACGATATCAGGCAACATATTGTTTATTCATGCATTTTTTAGAAACTGATCATGCTAGTAACGCTGTGAATTTGAAATTTCAATAACTGTAATTGAATTCAAAAATATTAATCAATTCTTGAAGACTTTTGAATGAAGTTCATGGCTCAAAATATTTTAATTGCTTACAGTTCAAAGAAGTGAAAAAATTTTCACACTGCTGTTAGAAAATAAAGTTAAAAGAGCATCAATTTCTTGAATAATGAATAATTTGCATGATTTTATGCTTTGCTCTTAATATTACTGTTAATAAAGTTTGCTTTGATTTGAAGGACGAGCGATTACAAGGATCAGTCAAGAATTTGCTGCTAGAAGATAATGAAGAAGAAAAAGAAGAAGAGAATGTGAGTAAAGTTGGCTCGTTAATTGCAGATTCTATCGAGAATTCTGTGCGTACTTTTTTGAGCACAGTCGCGAGAGAAGCCCTGCCTGATTCTTCCTCAATGCAACAAGAAACTTTGCTTGAAGAAAAGGACTTTGAACAGGTTTTGTGGTTAAATTTCTAATTTTTTTCCATATCATACATTTTCTTTCAGCCTACAAAATTTTTTGTCTTTGTCTGAAATTATAATATTCCAGATATTTATAACAATTTTTGTGGTTTAAGACTAAACTTTGACTAGCTATATCAGAATCTTATCATGATAATTTTGTCTTCTTTGTTAAAATATTGTCACTAATAATAACTTCATAATTACAAGTAGTAAAGATTAAAATCCTTTAATGTTCAAAATTAATGGTATTTTGATTTTAAAATCATAATAGTTTCGCTACTGGTTAAAAAAGTTGATAATTTGCATTTCATGAAACGTTTGTTGAGGGCATTTGATCACTGCAAACAATACAAAAAATGATTAACATTCATTTTTATGATCATTTGCTATAATCATCTAATTTTAGCTGTTTAAAACTCACGGCATTAAAACGATATATTTAACAAATCCAACATCACTTTAATCTTATGTCAATGGTCATTTCTCGATTCTGTTGGATCTCAGGTTTTGTTCATTTAATGTTTATTGTAATTTTGTGCTGAATTTTATCACCAAATTATGGTTGATTTGAATGGTTAAAAAGCTAGCCAGAAATTTCAAATCTATCTCGTCTATATTTCGGTATTTTCACAATTAACGTTTATTTATTCCATAGTTATTGTTGAGTAACTGTGACGTTTATATTCTCATTACTTGTTAAGGTGGAGTAAATGTTTGTAAAGTCCTTTTAAGGTACGGCTCAAAAATGTGACTACTTTTAAGTCACGGTTTAATATCTATAACTGTGACATTTAGCAAAGTATTGTCGCTCGCTACAATTTAAAAACTTTATGCTAGCTATTCCTAGAAAATTGCAATTTTTAAAAATTTTGCTAATGAACTCATTTCAGTCGGAAGTTCCATTTATTTTCACTTACTTATTTTTGTCTTAAAAAACTTATTCGTAGAATTAATAACTACTTATTGACCACCGTGAGAAAAATTATTCGGTTTGATGTCTTTTACTTGAAGGCAAAATTTCACGATATTTCATTCTTGCCGAAACAATTTAAGGACTTTTATGAAGTGATTATTCCTCAATTTGTACACTGTAATGGAATGTGACATTTATTTCTGATTTCGTCTTAACATTTCACTTTATCATTTCAAAAATAACTTAGTGCCAATATGTAGATTGATCTCAATTCTAGTTTTATTTGCATCACTAAGCTGCAAATTTTTAACTTCCACATTAGCAGAATTTCAAAGCGTATTCTGTTTAATTGTATACGTAGAAAGTATCCTTCAAATTTTTGTTGATCAAAATTGGATAAAATTAGTATTATATGTCTAAAATCATTAGATTCGAGAACGAGGAAATAAAATGGAATGGTGTTTTGCAAGAGATGAAAACTGACCAGAACATAAATCATTTTCAGGTTATCCAAACCCATATCCAAATCAGGTTTCAACTAACTTTGAACGATAAATCTTGTTATTAAACTCAGGTTGGCACTGAACAAAGTAGACCGCACTGCTCTTTTTTAATTGAAGAAACTATTGTTTAAAATGCAAAAGTTATGCGATGGTGATAATGAAATTAAGGCAAAGAATTTCTTTATTCTAACTAGCGCATAATTGTTTTTCTTTCGGAGGGTAAAATTCAAGTGAGAAATTTCTACCATAACATTACTATTACCATAATTTCTGATCTTTTTATCAAGGTAAGGAGAGAAAATAGCAAAGTAAATGCCAAATTTCTAATAGTTGATCTTCTGAAAGGTTTTCTGAACTCTATGGATGATCAGCTTGTTAAGCTAATCATTCAATTCAGAATCACATAGACGTAGCACACGAGTGAATGCACGAACTACTTGTGACAATCAGATTGCTAAACAAATTTCTAAATGAATTAAATATTCTTTTTAAGATTTTAATGTATTCGAAATTATACATTTTGTTTTTGAAGTAAAACTTAATTATTAATATTATAGTGATTTAAATTTTCTATTTTAACATTTAGTATTGCAACAGAAATAAAAAGTAAAGCGGTAATTGGTGAAGTTAATAAGTGCGTTCAAAATGACTGCAATATAAAAATCGTGAAGATCTTGCAACCTGAATGTACAGAATTATGTAGATACGGTGCAAATAAAATGTAATTGAAGATGAAGTTTTTTGTGTATTTCATTTTCAGTATATCTATACATATCTGAATTAAAGCTTTTATAAAAGCTAAATATTTTAGTATGAAAAGTATGAAAAAAATGAAATAAGGGAGTATTAATAAATAAAAATTACACGCACGTCACCGTCATCAAAGCTTGCAAGCATGAAAGTTGTTAGTAAACTGATGACTAATTCTTGCAATGAATTCCAACTATGCAAATATTCATAAGGACTACAATAATAAATTGTAGTCCTTATGAATATTTTCCTTATGGTATGATAATTGTTCAATCATAGCTAAACGATTTGAATAAAATAAACAAATTGAGAGTTTGCATTTAATTTCAGCTTAAATTCAATTTTCTTTTTAATTGAACTTTACTTTGCGCAAGAAATAAGACATCTTTCAATTTATAGAAAACAACTGATGGATTGTAAGCATAAAAAGAATCATTTTCGAGACTATTTCTGAATTTTTATTTAAAAAAAACGAAAATCATTCATACAAATTGGTAATTACTGGTATGAGATGATAAACTGACTACAATAATAAACTGTAGTCCTTATGGTATGATTAAGAAAAAGAAGGAGGGGAAATCGCGAAGATGTAAAGAACGAAATACTTGAAGAGTATTATAAGGACTGAATCATCCAAATTTTGATATGCATGGTATATTAAACGAGTAATTTTTCCTTGAAATAATAACGGTCATTTGGAAATTTGCATAAAAGGTATTCACTTCAAAACGACATTAAAAATGAATTCTGTTTCACGCATGAGAAGAAATAACAAAGGAAACAATTCAGTAAATCTACAAAACTTCGTTATTGAATTAAAAATTCATGATTAGTCCACAGGTACATAAAATGATGCATTTTTTGATGGGTGCTGATAAGGAGAAGACGACCACAACAACCAAAAGTTCGCTTCGTTTTCCACTTCACTTTCTTTTTCAATTCTTATTCTATTTTTGTTATTTTTGCAATCAGAAATATTTGTATCAGCAAGTCAGTTCGATCATTTAGATTAATTCACTTTAATGAATTTCACTTTTTGTCAAACATAAAAAATAATTAGAAAAATATAAGGTAGTCCAATCAGTATGTCACTTTTTATGACATTATTATTGACAATTTATTACCATCATTAATATTATTATTGCTGTATTGTTGTATGTTCTTAATTATTTATTTATTTATTTATTATTACTATAATTAATGCTGATTATTACTGTTGATAACTTCATTGTTAATATTACCATTATTAAGAAATAACAAAGGAAACAGTGCAATCACAGCTTGTGCAACTATAAGTTGTAAATAGAAACTATTACTGTACTGTCAACTGGAAATTTAGTCATTATCAGCAAAATATGAATGTAAGGATAAAAGTGTGCATAAAAGATAACAGAGGTGTATAATCTAGCTAAGATTATGATTTTGATAAAGCTATGATTGGCTGGAAATCGTAGTTAACAGTGAAAAAGCACTGATAGTGGAATAATATTTTTTCTCGCAGAGATGATAAAGCAATGTTTGATTTTACGTCACAATTCAAATACAAATAAAGTGGATAATAAATTAGTCATTAATTGATTAGAAATATTTGACGTGGCAAACTAACTAATGATTAGACGAGTTGACGATTGCTGTGTAACTTCAGAATTAGTTGTATTCATTCATATTCGATTATTAATATGATAATATTATCTATCGATTTTTACTTTAATAAGTGATATAGTAATTGGTTTTGTTATTTATGTAATAAAAACTTCACTTACATTATATCATTGGTCGTTTTGGTATATTTTTGTAATATTATTGCGCGGAACGAAAGCAAGTAGATGTTTATGACCATCTACAGAGGCTTTAGTTACGAAAATATAAATAGCTAAAGTAATCCCTCCAGTTAATTGCAATAATAAAATTTGAATCAGTTAGTTTTTGAATAGGCTTTGTCTTATATTAAGCCTAAAAACCTTATATTTTTGCTTCTTTTAAAGATTATTCAAAAAGCATAGAGTAGTTTCGTTCAGAACTGAAGTTAATGGCAGCATAATTTAAATGTATTGAAGGTATTCCATTTCGACTTGCTCCTTCTCTGCACAACAAAACGGATCATTTTCAGTATGTCATTAGATAAAGTAAGTCAAGTTTAGAAACGTTGAAAGCTTACTCAAACTTTGATTTTAGGCGAGAATTTATCACTCAAAAACATGCAAAGTAAAGTAATCAGAAAGGCACAACTGATAACACCGACAAATATTTAATTAAAGCTGACAACTACCATAATAATCAACTTAACGAGATGATTTGTAATAGAGCAATCATTTTGTTAGTATTAGGTAACTAAATTTTGAGTACGCAGTTGAGTAATTCATAATATATCAAACAGTGCATGAGAAATTAATTACTGCATCAAATAAATTAATTTGTATTTATATTTTTCAGACACTTGAAAATGTCAACTTGACATTGAGGGACTTATCTTCTAGCTTTAATGACCTTATAACTGTGGTTCGAATTGGTACTATACTTATTGTCACAGCACTTTGTTTTATGATAATCGGTCTTACCGTACTTTGTTGCTACGTGAAATGTTGTCAAGTATGTAGTAAAATTTACTTAAATCAAATTAAAAATTTCTGATTTTTTGAATATACAGAGGTTTTGAAAAATGTTCTTTTCATTCAAAATATCATATCGAAAAATACAACAAGAATGCTTATTACAATTTGCATATTTTATTGCTTAAATGGAAATGTTTAGCTGATAATTTGAACAGGCGCAGTTTTTAAAAGAAGTTAAGTGCCTTAATTATTTAAGTATTAATAATTTGTCAAGCATTAAATTTAGAAGCACCTTACCTTGTTCACTTGTAAATATGCATTATGTGAATCAAGACATGTAGTTTGTTTTCTGATTAAAAAAATATTTTGTAATTTTTAAAATAATTGGATTGAAAAAATTTACCAAAACTTTTATATCTTCAAAAACTTCCCTAAAACACTTTTCTTCTTTTGCTATCTAAAAAAGTTAAATTGTTAGTAATAATATCAAATTTGAGGCTTTGCTGTATAATTAAGCGTTCAGTGTATATATTTTTTTATCCAAAATTTTGAATAATATTATTTTATTTTGTGCAAAACTATTGATGGAATGCAAAATTTTGAGTAATACACTGATGAGTTTCAATTAACAACCTGTCTAAGTGTAATTAGCATTATTTTTTCTAGCAAAAATTGGAAGGTTTAAAGTTTTCGTTTGAAAAATTTTTTTTGCAGATTAGACGAGCCACAGATGTGAGGAAATCAACGATATTCAGTGAAAACAACGAGAAGTCTTTTCTTACGGCCTGAAATATTCCGTAAAAAATGCTTTCATTTCTGTAAATTATGAGCCATCATCTATGCATTTAAGACACCTGCAAAGATGCATAATAGATATATATGTACATACATATATGGGCGAGTAAATGCTTTACAACTATTTGGTATCAAAATTGCGACGATTTTTATATTAGTATTAAATCTACGTGATATTAAATACTCGCAGTATTAAAAAATTTTGACTTTATCATTTTATTTCAGTAAAATTTAATTATTATTGTTTAGTGATGCAAAATTTTTGCTAAAAATTAATTCATAATTTAATTCAAAAAACGAGTAATTTACAAATGTGATTCATATCCATAAATATGAAACCATAAGTATTGTAGTGAAAAGTTTTGTTGATTCACTTCAGTGCGGTTCGTAATAATTTTTTGATTTAAATTAATTTTACAGCAAGTCAAGTAATAGCTTTCCATTTTAAATACTTCAGAAAACACTCCATAGTAATATGACCTCCCAACAATCAGAATCATATAATAATTAAAAATGACACTTTCTAACTTGATTAGACGAATTCATATGCGTCAGGAGAGCATTTTTAATAAGTACCTATCAGAAAATATGAATTAACTGATAAAGATGTCTAGATCTTTTTCAACTTTGATTTAAGGTAGTATTCAGTTGTGCTTCTTATAATTATCTTCTTTTATCAGCTTCTTGACTTACTGTGAAAAACATTTACTGCATGTGCTCTGCTTAAATCCGTTATTTTAACCAAGTCTGTTTCATAGCAAGAATTTAGTTAAATCGAACGATACTTACTTACATTACTGATCTATTCGTTACTACCTTTTGATCTCTGTGAACTTGAAAGTTTACGCATATTTAAAAAAAAAGAAAATTAAAGGTAAGAACTGTAATTTACATCGATATGACAAAGTATTATATCTTTAACCTCCAATAATACCAAAAAGGTTTTAGCATATTACAAGTTAAATTAAGAAGTCACTTTCATGACGATGCTGAATAGTAATATTCATGCAAATTTTTTATTAAATACTTCAAGTATTGTTTTTATGTGATCTCAGTGTTCATGTTACGTGACGTTTTACTTGATTCTTTTCTTATTACTAGACAAGTTTTGATGGCACATTTCTAGTTCGTCATTCACTTCCTCAAATGCATTCTTATAATTTACTAATGTTCTGGCGAAGTCATATTTGTGTTTAATTTTAAGATGAAAAAGTAAATTATAAATGACATTGGAATCCTTCTAAATTTAATAGTATAAACTTTTTATTACTCAATCATATTTTAGAGGACAACGTGAAATTGTTGCAATTAAGACATTCACGTGATTTAACACTTTTTTTTTAACTTATTAGACTTCACTATCACAAACTGTTGCTTTTTTTGCAGAAATACTGGAACCTATTTTTTATTTCCACTTCTACTATGACATTGAAATGAATAAAAAGCATAATTCTTGCATTTCTGAGCTGATCCTCTAATTCACAAATATAAATCGAAACATCTGATCTTGTAACCAAATAGTATTATGGACAATCATTTACATGAAGCACTGAGCGATAAACTGCCATCATCATTGTAGAAACAAACTTTCATTGTCGTCGATTTTTTTTGCATCGCAGAAACTTCAAAAAATCTTCGACTCGATTATTTTTAACTAATTACATCAATCATTTGTAATTACTATCGTTTCAATAATTTGAATTTTGCAATAAAAAATTATTCGTCAAGCAATTTTGTGGGTTGAAAAAAAAACAAAGTCAGAAATGAAAATTTTTGTAAAAGTGAAACATATTTAAACATTTGGAATTAAAAGTAAGAGTTTTGCTTTCTTTTAATGCGTGAATACGCCTTATTGTACGTTGTTGATACTGTACTAAATACGCTTGAAGTATGGCTACAAAGATAACTTTTTAATGTACAACAGTTAATATAAATAAGAATAATTTGCTATTTATATATTCACATACAAATTGAATTTCTTGCTGTGATTGATGTAATTACTTAAAGTTTTCTTAGAATAATTTGTAAAGAATTAAGTGTAAGTATACTTAATCAATAAACAAAGTTTTCTCAGCCAAACGTGTGCATGCAAACTTGTATTTATTGCAAAAAATTGCTGAAACATATTTATCTCGAAGTGATTATTCACTCCGAAGTACTGCTTGCGAATAATGTGACTAACCACGCCATCTATTATTAAAACCAAAGTGATTGACATTACGATAATAAAATGGATCAAAAGGCACAGCACCATAATTTGATCTACCAAAATTACTATATGGTCCAATCGGACCGAAAAAGGGACTAGGGCCGTACCAATTATTTAGCATAGCTGGACCGAACCAGTCATCATCGACTAAATCAAACCAATTATTTCTTGGCCTCCAGTTGAGAGCTCCAAACCAACCTCTGGTATTTCCACGAGACCAGTTATTCTGCGAATCACCAAATCCATGTCTAGGATTGCCTCCAAACCAATTATTACGTTCTCCATTGAACCAACCTCCACCCCTGTTATGCCCTCCCTCATTTACAAAATATGTAGTTGTAAGCCTAGGTCGCATTGTTGTTCTTGTGGTAGTTCGCACTGTTGTACTTTTCGAAGAAGATGAACCACCTAAAAACCAGCTTAATCCACCGATAAAGGATGAAGCCAAGGAATTTAATGGGCTTGTCGATGAATCTGTCTGAGATGCACCGCTTCCTCCGCTACTGCTTTCTGCATTTCCATTTCGATTCAGAGACTAAAAATAATTTTCATCAAAAATAACTTACTTTTATTTCCAAGACCATTTTTCATTAAGCGGTCAGTTATTGTAGGGAAAGATTCTCAACATGTCTTAATGAATATTGTAAAAATCCAATCGCCACTGAACAAGTACATTTGTTTAAATTCAAGGTATGAAGCACCAGTTTTGAAGTTTATTTAGATAATCACTACTCTCAGTCATGATATGTTAAGATCTAAAGTTCGTGATGCTGTGATGAGTTCGCATAACTTGGTAAATTTGCAAATTTTCTGATGTTAAATTTAAAATCTATGATTAAACAAAAGTGCTAATAGCACTGTTAAGAATATGGACGTATTTTTAATTTTAATTGAAGACGTTCATAAAAAACTTACATTATCATAAATATAATTACCGAAATTCGTAAACTTACATTATTGCCAGCTTTGTTGTTATTCCATGATAAGATATTGAAGTTTATCGCTTGATTTTGTGTTTCGACAACCAGTAATGTTAGGCTGAAGATAAAGGATTAATTACTTGCGTAATAACTTACTTCCATGATTATTATTATTGTTAATTAATTATCAAGTATGAATATTAAGTACAAGTATTTACAATATTTTGTTTGTTAAGAAAAGAGTTGACTAAGAGTTTGCCTACTAAACTTGAGACAGTAAATTTCTTTCAGTGATTGATGAACTCAAGCTTACATCAGTTGTAAAATAATTCCATGCCTAGCATTGTTGAAAAGGCACATAATTGAGAAGTCAGATTTGCTGCAAATAGCATGAATGTAGACCAAATATTACTGGCTATTGTAAATCAAGGATATGAAGTAAAACGAAAAGCAATAAAAACAAACATGACAAAGACTAAGCAAGTTGTTATCTTTCCAGACTATGTTTTGTATATTAATTGTATTTATTTTGTAAAAATCGCTATGCCAAATAAGAAAAATTTTGGTTGCAATTACTATAAATAAGGCACAAACAATATGTGACTTCTTACTTAAATATTGTAGAATAATACCATAAATTATTGCAAGTAATAGTGCCAAAGAATTATAATCTTAAATTGCTTACTGATATAATTGCTAAGTTAATTAATTAGCAGTGGAAAAGTAGCGTCCAATGTTTCTAACATTACTCATTTGCACTATTTTTAAACCTTTCGAAAAAACACAAGAAATTTACTGAAAACTCGTTTTTGGGTAGAAGTTTTGGTGGCAAAGAAAACCGAACTGTTATTTTGCTCATATTTGTTAGTTTGATGAATTTCAATATATCATAAAAAGAATGAAAAATATTGTAAAAATAATAATATTTCAATAATGGCAATGTTAAAATTCAAAATTATTTCAGTATAATCTACTTTATACAATTTTCAAACTTACTTAGCAAAACTATTACAAAATAAAAGTATTTATAAAATCATTTCTGCAAAATAATATAATTATTAATATTTTGCGCAAATTTCGCCAAGAAATAGGCTAGCAAATTACATAATTAACATTTTGTTGCCTTAAAAATGATGAAAATACTTTTCTGCAATAGGTTGATTATTACTGCCAGTACTAAATTAATTTAATTTATAATCAAAAATCTGAAGTCTATCAGTTAGTTGCACTAAACTAATACTTGTTGCTACCAACAGTGGAAATACTGAATACTGACACACAAAATATTAACTTTTAACTGCTCATTACTTTTTCTAAGTATTTACCTAAACTTTGCCAGTTCGAAAACTAATCAAAGTATACTTGTTTACTTCATTTTCTTCTATTTTAAAAACATTTGAAAATTGCCTGTACAAACTGGTTTCAGTAAGAAATGATACCGTCTTTTAGGCGAACTTAAAGTGTGCTTAATACTTAGTGATATCTACGCCAAGTACTTTTTTGGTCACTTGCGGTGACTTCTTCTACCTGAACAAACCGTTGTAATTAAGGACTTAATTTCAAAAAGTGACAAAGCACGCAGAGAAAAATGATTTTCCTTTTCTGAAATGAAACTTGCGAAAAAATTATCATTATTTTATGACAAAATGACGTTATAAATGATGAACATTTCGATTCGCTAATCAAATGAATAAAATCTTTGCTACAAAATAATGTCTATTTTATCCGAATTTTCACAGGTCAGAACATTTTGAGAAACGCAATGAATACGATAAGAGATGACACATTGTATCTCGCACAACCTTTGAACTTTTTTGATTTTTGAAAAATGAACTTAAATCTAGGTTTGAAAAACCCGAATCAGAAAAATTAATTAAGGAAACTAATTCGGCAAATACTGCATTTATTTCATATCAAAAACATTTTTACTGCAAACTGCACTTATTTCATGTGTAACACGATAAAAAATCAAACCATGCCAATCAATCTGATCAGTTTGCAAATAATTATACTCATGGACTTTCTGGTTCTTTCATATATGCATGTATCTGAAGAAACTGAGCAAAAACAAATCTTCATAAATTAGTCGAAAAATTGAAGAAAACATGTAATATGCTTTGATACAGCACATTGCTGTTGTATATAAAAATTTTACAGAACATAGTTTCTAGCCAGCAATAGAATTAGATCAATTTTAAATGAAGTTTGAACTTTAGAATTAATAAAATATGACCTTTAGCAAGGCTTTTACTGAGTGTAAGAAACTTTACCAATTCAGCAAGTAATAAACGTATCTTATTTATCGATGAAACAAATTAACGATTACATATTGTATTCGGATCAAATGTCCCTAATTAATTTAATTCTTACACTCAATAAAAGCCTTGCTAAAGGTCATATTTTATTAATTTAAGTTTTTTCTAATTTTGGTTTTTTAGATCTAGATTTAAGTTCAGATTATTTTTCACAAACCAAAAAATTTCCAAAGTCGTGGGAGATACAATTTGTCATCTTCTATCGAATTCATTAATTAAAAAAACTCTCAGAATATTCAGAGCAATCAATAAATATTATACTTAAAACAACTAAAGATGGAACGTTTCATTGAATAACTCAATAATACGAAAATATTCAGTCAGTTAACTGAAGGATGAAATGATTGCTAGAATCGAACACGAGTGGAACATAATGAAAGATTCTGAAAAAGTAAAGATGCAAAGTGAATTACATTTCTGTGCTATTTGACATTCATGACACTAAATTTTCACAGTGATTTACGCCTACTTACAACTCTCAAAGTCAGTCGCGAATTCCACGTCTGATGACGTGTAACATGCCTAACCTTCATGAAATGAGTTTCAGCTTGTTACTTAATGCAAATCTATTAGCAGTTAGATGAAATTATAAATCAAAATCAAATAATGAAAGCATACATTGCGTTATTAGAACTGTAAAGCTGTTTTGCGCGATGGCTAACAGTTCTTGCACATTCTTGTCGCAACAAAGTTAATTATTAAAAGTTTTCAAACTCTCCTGAAAAAATAATTTGTTGCTGTAATTTTCAATTGTGAGTAAGAGAAAAGGGTGAAAGGACTATTTTCAAACTAACGAAAGATTTTTTTGCCTTTGTCCTCTCCAATCAACGAGAAATTTATTGCGCAGATTTAAATGACAATCGATGAATGCAATTTTGTTGTTTAATACCTTTTTTAGTTTTGCACTTAAATTCTGTGATCATCTCTTGCTCATATTGATTGATTAGCTGATTGATCTGATCAAATACTCAAATTAAAGAAATTCTGATGGCTATTGCCTTCAAGTTAAATCGTAATTATGAATAACAGAGCTGCTACATTGTGATTAATAATTTATTTATTTCAAATTGAAATCAAGCATTTTTAGAAACATCGAATTTACAACTTTTTTTTCAAAAGTAATAAATACCTTCAAGTATATAAAAAGTAAGTTTTGCCTTCTAGCTTCATCAATTTCTTGATTAATTTTATTAAATAAATTTTGACTTCAAACTAGAAAGTTTACAAATAATTAGAGAAAGTAAAACCAAGTCAAAGCTTGAAAGCTAGAAGTACATGTAGAAAGTGATGCTAGCAGATGTTTTACATCTATAATTCCCCGTGATAATTTGAATATTTCCGATTTTTACAAGTAATGTTTTTAGTTTTTGTTGTTTTTATCAAAAATTTTTATCAATCGAATACAAGTCAAGCAGTAAATTTTTTATAGGGACAAAAATTTGCATATTATGTGACCCATTCATATTATGTAGTAGTAGTGGCAAGAATGGATGCTTACAGTGTCAATAAATTTAAGTTACTGCTAGAAGCATAAAAATATTACTGTCAAAAGCATAAAATAGTTATTATAATTATTTTCCCACATTGGGTAATGTTTGCAAGAATGAGTAATTTGTATTGTAGTGCGTATTTAATTTTTACTTTACAAAATGTTATCATTTGTATTTTACAAGTATACTTTTGACCATTAAAATTTTTACATATTTGTAAGACGCATTTTATTATACTTTTATAAACTTTGAACAAATAAATTCAAAAAATAAAGTAAAAAATAGTAATGCATAAATGCTAAAGTAAAATTGCTTCAAATATGAATTGGAATAAAGCTGTAGTGCACCACTCGTTTATGCAAATTTTTAAGAATAATTGTTGAGCAAAAAATCAGAAGATTCTTAGATGCTTCCGAATACATTTGGTGCAAATTATAAAAGCAAATTGAATATAACGCCGATTTAAGCCAATAATATTTATTAATATTGAAAAATCGGCAAACAATGATAAGTTCAAATGCAAGAATTTGGTGATTGCAAATCAAATCAAATAGAATACCTTTAATTGACCACTTTTTATTATGATTTTATGATCATAACTTTAAATAATGCAAAAAATTCAAAAAATTTATTGCAATTTTTTAGTAAAAATAAGAATATATTACTAAGAATAGAAAAGTCCAGTATAAGTACTCAAGAAGTTTACAAGCAATGCATTTAGTGTTGCTTAAACTGTAGCACAAATATTGTATTCGCAGTAAAATGATAATGATATATTTGTACTAATAAATGATATTATAATAGTTTAAGTGATTGAAATGCAATCTGAAAATGGGAAGTTCACAGAACTGAGAATTTTATATTTCAGTCAAAAACAAAAAGCAAAATATTTTAGAGTACTTTCATTTAGATTTTGATATATCATTTTGATATTAGAATTATAGCTTCGTTGGTTGGGACAATATCACACGACTAGCCCATAAATTACAACATTTTCCATAAATTATAATTTATTAAATTTGCAAAGTCAGAGATTTGATTAACTGTCAAATATAAAATAAGATTGTTAGAAAACGAAAAGCGTAATTATAATTTAGTATGAATTTTGAAAAATAATTTTTACATCTGCTAAAAAGTTTTCATTAATGCTATCATAATTACAGAATGATGTTATCAAAATTGAAAACATCGTAATCCAATTCGGATACAGAAAAACCTCCACAAAAGTTGATTCTCTGTGGTTCAGCAAATAAAAAATCAAGTAATCCAGTGAATCAAGCAGAAAAATATTCATTAATCAAATATTTTTTTGCCAAATTTGTCTCTCATAAATTATGACAGTTATACGATTTATTAAAAATTCTGTGCAATAAAATAAAATGAAGCTTGCTTCTGAATTTTAAAAGTAATCTGAGCAATAAATTCTATCAGAAGTTTTTGGATTAAACTAACCATCATTCGTTTATATTCGCTATTGTGGTGTTAATATTAACTTCAGCATTAATTGTTTTGCAGGCTTTTTTTGAATTTAGCTTTTGTCAAGTACCATTCAATGTTTTATCAATTATGAGTTTAATATTAGCTTTTGTAAAAAGTCATAACTTTACAATCTACTTTAGTGATAGTGATAAAACTGATGTTGGCAAGCAGCTGACCACTAATATCTTTGATAAGCCTTTAGTTTAGCAAGTTTGCAGCGAAATCATCTAAAATTATAACAATTTTACTGCTTTGATAGTCATCAATGGCTTAAAATTAAAAGTTTTGTAATATTTTGTCAGCAATTACTACTTTCGACTAGCATTCAGCCTGCCTCAATCTGATCATATGCACGGCAATTTATTTCAGAAAGTCTAAGAAATCTTCCAAGAATGATATTCTGATCATTTGTTGTGTATATTTCACTGCTCAATACGATTTTTAGCACTAATATATTGTGGAAAATATTTACAAAATTCTACAAAAAATATTTACAAAAATTTTCAGTAATAATTATTTATTATTGTTTACTCTTTTTACGTGAAATTATCGATCAAGTCTATAGCATCATTTAATAATTGATAAAAATAGCAGTAAAAATTAAAATTTGTCCCTTAAATGATGTGGTTTTTCAAATTCAACTTGCATTTTAATACTTTTGTTAACAGTTTTCTAATGAAATAAAAAAAGTCCAAAGTAAAAGCATAAAAGCACACTAATTTAGAATCTGTCAAAGGCACGTGAAGAAACAAAAACAACCATCAAACGGAATACTGACAGGGCAAAATTGTGCACTTCAAACACAATAATAATAAAAGTAATAATAACTGATTACCAATATAAAAAGCAAAAATCCCTGAGCTGAAATGAGAGCAAAGAACGATTGATAGCAAAGAGGTGATTAGCATTATCAACAGGTCGTACTACTTCAGATAAGTTGCAAAAATATTAATTATTATCATTTACATATACAATATACTCTTTAATGTGGTAAATGAAAAGTGATAATATTGCATTTTCGAATACATATCTTTTGAAAATGCACCGTTCCTATTTGTTACCGAAAATTAACTCAAAACAAATAAAAGTATGAAAAATATGATACTTATCATTGCTCTCAATAAATGGTCACTTTTTCAAATTAGCGCCATTATTGAATAATAGCGGGTCAAAATTTATGGTACTTTCAAAAAAATATCAACAGTTTTTTGTCATTTTTGAGCTAAAACAAAATATAGCTTAATTACAAAATTATCTGAAATTTCCCATTGGAATCTTAATAAGTATCAATTCTTAATTTTTGATTTCTTCAATTTATACAAACTAAACTTAATTAAAATAATTAGGTTTTCAGAAAACTTCTATTATAAACCAATTTTACAGACATATTTTTTCTTTCCGAAAAGCAAAAATTGTTTTATAACTAACAATAATTTTCATAACTAACAATATGCATAACGCAAGATATAAATCTAAGGAGATCTAAAAACAAGTAATAATTATTCATTACTGTTCACTCATTGTATGCGTAATCACTGATCAACTCTGTGGCAGATTAAACCTTTGACGGATTGCTTGAATCCGATCACCGTACTGTTGCATAGCCTGTTGTCGACGCTGCTCTTCTTCTGTAGCACTTTCTTGATCAAATCGTAAAGTACTAGAGCCTGTCATTGATTCTCGATTCAGAATACCGCGTAGAATCACGCAAACACCATTCAGGATGAACCGACTCTCGAAAGTTATCTATAAACCAAAAATCTGATTATTCTGTATTACAAGTTCATCACTTAATGGTAATTAAGTCTGTCATTAGTTTGATCAAACTTTGTATTTAATTCTTTCTGAAATTGATATCAGTAAAATAAACGCGCGAAAAAAATATAAAGATTCAAGAAGCATTTTGCAATTAGCTCTCAACTCGTTGCATTTCAATATACCTGAATAACTCTGATTTATTTCAATATGTAAATGTAAATGTAAATTATATTATTGAATATAAAAAAAATATCTCTATCAACAATTACTACTAATTAATTTTATACAAATATAAAAATGAAACAGTACAAAGTTATGTTATTTTTTAACCACATTTCACCTCCTTTCCAAATTCAATTAGAAAATTTATTATTCAAATTATTTACAAATTAAATTAGTATGCAAATTAGCTTAAATAAAAGTTCATTATTGACTAATTTTATTATTTACAAGGCAAGTCTTGAAAGAATTAAATATGAAAATGACCATCCATACCTCTTCCTGACTAATCGTGCATGAAGATAAGGCAAAATCACTGTTGTAACCAAATTGGGTAAACGTCTGAAAAAGTTAGTAAGTAATAAAATTCTCATATTATGAATAGAGGCAGTAGTCAGTAGTCAAGGTCTGATATTATCTAATTTTTTCATCACTTTTAATTTTTCTCACAAATAACTTATTGTCATTACGTGTTAAAATAGTAATTTAATAAATACTAATCTGAGATTACTATCAATAATTACATTTTATTATTGAAATGTTTTTTTTAATTTGAATGAATGAAAAACTTTTTGCCAAAGTTTGAATTTTTATTAATTTAATTTACAAATTAGCGCCACAAATTGAAGAACAAACAAAATATGATAATAACAGTAAGTATTGATTGCGGACTATTTTGCCACTGAATATAAGTATTATTGTTTCATTTTTTTCTTCATATTTCTGATGGAAATGCCACGGCGGTGACAAGATATGTTCTTTTAATTAAAAGTATTGAGTTTTTAAGTATGAATTTTGTCCAGTAACTGACTTTTAACAAATATTTATCTAATTTTATAAAGTTTTATTCAAAATTTCGACGTTCATTAATAGAAATATTAATAATTACTAATTCAAATTTTACAATTTTTTTTCAAAAGCTAAACTTTTTTGTTATTATAAAAGAATTTTTATGCATTCAATAAATAAGTTTTATTGTTCTTCAAATAAGTCATTGTGTTTTTAATTCTCGGCGCAAAAATTGACGACAATCAATGCAAATCATTCAAAGCATTTAATTTTTTAGTGTGAAATTCCAATCAACGATAATGATTTTCTGCGTAATAAATGAAATGAAATGAACTGAATTGGTTTTATAAATACAAATTTGGCATTATTCAAGTTTCCACTGAATCGTAACATTAACATTAGTTCAGATTATAGAAAATTAGCGTATTCTAGTCTTGACAGTATCTAACTTCAAAGACTCATTTGAGAGGTTAAATATTCAGGCAGTACTGCCAGTTCTCAGTGCAATACACAGCAAGCCAGAAGTGGCCATTGTATCAAATTAGCATTTAATAATAAGTCTTGAAAAGATTGGAAAGATTCATTGCAGTGAGTACCACAAGCAGAATAGAAATTCGAATAATACTGCAGCTTATATACGAGAAATTTTACTCTTTTCTATGCAAATCTTGCAATTTACTTACTTGAAATTATACAAAATCAAATTACTTGCAAAGTGAATTTGAATTTTAAGAAAGAAAATAAAGATTATTTAAATATAGGATGCCAAAAAGTAGTACTAACAAAGAAACAAACAATGTAAACTGTAGTACATTTTTGGCTCATAATTGAATAATTCAAAATGATAGAATGATGCAAATTCCTCGCAAAAGTTTTGATCAATAAATTCTCAGACTTACGAGGGGTAGATGAGGCTGCAGTCGATCAGCGCAACCTTGTAGCAACGAATTCCGTCGTTCTACAGGTGGTGCATGAGGTAGACCGGCAAAAGAAATTTCTGTGGGACCTATTAACTGCCTGATTTCCGGATCCGTTTCTGTAAAAGCCTTCTACTACCAAAATAAAAGATAGAATGATAAAGTGCAAGAAATAATTGGTATAAATGCAAAAAATAAGAAGATTTTGTACAATAATTGCAGATAGCAACCAAATTAAATGCATTAATATGCATCTTAAATTAATTACCTTACAGAATTATACAATATTTATAAGTACCGTACTTGCAATACTAAAAAATTGTGTGCAAAATAAATCAAAGTATAGATTATAGACAGAAATCATACCAAATTTCCGGAGTTGATTATCAACTACCGCGGGCATGCAACACCGCATTTGCTGTGCAAAAGCAGCCGCAACCATGACCGCATTGCGAGTCGCAGCAACGATAGCGGCTGGGGTCGCGACTCCGCCCAGAAAGCGGTCATCTTTTGGACGAATAAAACTTTTCGCACCCGCCTCTTTCATCATTTCCGCTGGGAATGCATGCGGATAAGCGTAACTATGGTACTTTTTACCACTCCTCATTCCCTTCACCGATTGTGGAAGTGTATAACTGTTGTGGAACATAGCATGTACACTATCCATTTTTCGCCCATTGATATCAATCATCAATCTGTGCTTTTCATAATTATCAGCAACATCCACTGATAAACTCATCACATCTCGCAGAACTCACTAAGCTCAACTACTCGATATAACAGCAAATGTGTTGAAAATGTCATCTATATTTTGATAACTTCCATATTTTTTTGGGTATTGTAGCACAGTACTAATAAATCGCAAATGCGCAACAATACAATCCTAAAATAATATAGAAAAATGAATTGTAATTATGGCAGCAAATGCTGGAGAATGAGTTGAAATGATAGAAAAGTGTAATCAAAATCATATAAACGTCATAAATACAAATTAATATTATACTCACAATCTTCGCGCTTACATTTTTTGCGTGAAATATATTATTTTAATAGCGCAAGAAAATCACGTACTGCTGTAACATGAATAATTTTAAAAAATTGATGGTGTAAAAATATGACTGATTATGATAATAACTTTGCTTATATTATTCTAGCAGTAGTATTTTTAAATTACAAACGCTAATTAAATTGATTCGCGCGATAAAATTAATTTTCTAAATAAATTTTTTTTCAGGAATGCACTACTATATTAGTAATTGATAACAGTGTAGCTTATGACGTAAGATGCGTATATATTAATACACTAAGAGTAATTAGCATGAATTAAGGCTAGACAACATTGGAAGGAGAGAGGACGTGAAGTTACTTGACGCAAGTGAAAAGAAGGAAAGCAATGCAATGAAATGGGAAAATGCTTTACAGAAATTGACAAAAGACTCTAAGACATGTCATAATTATTTCAGTGTTTAACACAGATTTAAAAAAAAATAGTAATGCAGACCGTTCAGTAGCTCCAGTTCAACGTACACATACACGTACTGAATTCTTTCTATAACATACTATTCAGTCAGAAAGCGGAAAGAGCAAACTGCTTTCATTACTGCAATTATGATTATGTAATGTAAAGTAATGGGGGGAAAATACGATAACGTGCAAAAATATAAATTTATATACTCCTGGAACTCACTCATCTTCGTATATGCTTCCAAAGTTAATCACAAATTCTAATTTAAAAAGTTAGGATGTAATTTGAAAATATAAATTTAAAGTGAACATTCTAATTGCAATACTTGTAGAAATTTAAATTAGCAGCAAATTTTTGAATAAAACATATACATGTAATTTAAAAAATTCAAATAGCATATATATAATATTATTTTACAAAAGAGCAAATAAAATAATAATAATAATAATAACAATAGTAAAAATAGTAGTGAATAAAAAAAGAGTGGCAGGGTCCAAGCATCAACAAAAGACATTGTGCAATGCCTTACACGGGCTCAAACAGCTTCAGAAGAAATGTGGTTTGACACAAAATTATCAGCAGTTGAGTGATTTTTTAACTCCAACTCTCTGAACTGCTTTCAACTTTTCCCTCTGCAGTATTGTGGTCTCTAAATCAGCACTGCTTTACTTATCAGCTAGCTTATCAGTTCACTTTCCAATTTCCTTCTCTTATTTTCACACCAAATTTCACCGTTACTCGCTTATGCAAATGTATTTTCCAATCTGGATTAAAAATTTCGCACTCAGTCATTCATTTGCAACTTTTGCATCAGTTATTGGACTAACTAATCGCAACAGTTTGGGTGGTTATCACACTTCTGCACGTATTCGTCTTTCATCAAAGCATGTCTGATTCTGCGAGCTGATCACTTCAGATGCTTCTAATAGCACTTCCATTTATCGCTCTGATCACTGAAATCATCACTTACAGCTCACTCTAATTTTTAATTTTACTTTTCCAATTCTTTTTTTGAAAGTTCTAAGCAGCCGTAATCTTTGGTCATAAGTTAAGTTACTAACTTTTAAACTTCCATCTTTTCATTACACTTTTATTTACTATATTTCAAGTTTTGAAAAGCAGATATGGAAGATACACAGTTTATACTGCTAAAACTCTTATTACTGCTACTTACACTTGTCATCCCTTTATTATCACTTCACCTAAATTTATAATAATAATAATATTATTAATATTATTGCTACAAGTGGAATAAATTAATATAACTTGTGGACAGATAGATGTAATAGTGCTACTTTTTCATCAGATGTAATAAAATATATTTGGTCTGAAATGGTATGAATGTTTGTATTGTTTTTTAATTTCAGTTCTAAAATAAAAGGAATGATATCAAAAGAAGCAATCAGACCCATTGACTGAGTACTAAAATAAACGCATTTGAGTACAGTGACAAGTCTGAAATAGGTCATTGTGTTATTTATCGAAAATTATTGAGAATGAAAGAAGCAACGATGAATTTACTTTCTGTGTTAAAATTTGATACTTAAAGTATAGTATGCAAAGTTAACTTTTAACGGAAAATTTAGTAATAAGAATTTTTAGGTGAAATTTATGATAAAATCAATAAACTATTTAACACCACAAGTAACAATGTGTCATTGTTAACATCATCTATCTTCTACTGATAAGCATCAAATATACACACATATGGACAGTTTTGTTCAACAAATCTCCGCCAAAATCATTGCCATTGAATGCCAACATAGAACTTTTAACCGCATTTTTTCCCTCAGACATGCAAAATTTGTATTTGACCTTTTTCATTTAAACTGTTTTCTCAACAAAATTTTAGCAATTAAATTACAAGCAAAAAATCTGCGCATAATTATTTTTGTTCACGTATTTATATTTATTCTCATCAAAAACGATCGATTTTTTTAAAATTGAAAATGAAACTTAATTCTACAGCAAGCGTTGTGATATACGTAAGACTGAGATAACTCAGAAAAAAATTAATATATGCATAATTTTAAATAGTTTGAATTGATCATCAATCATTTCATTCAAGTCAGTGCCTTAAAGTCTACACACAGCTCTGTTTAATTATTTTATTTTATTTGAACTGAATACATCCACTGGACAAATATATTTGAAAATTAGCAAAAGTACCATGAAACAAGTGTTAATAGGCGCTAAACTAACAGAAATTGTAATTTAAAAATGAAAAGTTTATCGGAAATGTTCACAGACGAAATACAAAACAAAAGTAATGATAACTCGGAGATACAGTAAGTGATAACTTGCAAAGTGTACATTTATAATGATTATTGTTGAAAAAATCGTTGTTCTGTATAAAGGTGAGAAAATAGAAAAGTCATATTTTTTAATACATTTTAATGTCATGTAAACATGTGATGATTAAAGATTTGTTGGTGAATGCATAGGAAGATGGATGAATGGTAGATTACATGATAAGGATCTTTGCAGCTCGGTACCACTATCAATGCTACACTTGAAACAGTTTTATGTGCACCAAAACACTGGTAATAATAATAATTATTATTAATACTATTATGATCAGTTTCATTACTATTATCATTATTATTATCACTGTCTTACCATCGGTATCGCTCTTAACTTCTTTTTTCTTTTGACCTTTGCTTAGAAATGAGAAGAATTAACAATTATACATTTAATTTATACATAAAGAATTAAGCGGATTTTTGAAAACTTCCTTTAAAATGATCATAGCTAATAAGCATATGCAAAGGTATCGTGAAACTGTCATAAAAATGTTTCAATGTCACGAAAGTTTTAAACGAAAATCCAATTCGATTGTTATTATATAACTTATTAGAAGCTTTATTCCACGTCATAATACGTTTTGAGGATAATATTGTTATTATATAACTTATTAGAAGCTTTATTCCAAGTCATAATACGTTTTGAGGAATTTTCGTTTTCAGTTCAATTTGTTGCATTTCTGTGATACACATGCAGTAAGTATATAATAGCATAAATACTAATACAACTGCTGACAGCTATCACTTTTACTGCGAATATTTGGCTAATCAAATATACTTTCTAACAGCTAAACATTTCTTCCGAAAATTGCAACAAGATTTGATGCCTTCAAGTAGAAAGTATTCTGAGACGATGCACATCTAATTTTTGGAATTAATGATTCTTTGTGTTGATGGATTCTTGTCCTATTCCTGAGTTTGACTTAAGCTCCATGCCAATTACATCAAATTATTATATTAGTCTACTTTTTTTTAAGATACTGACTTTATACTGGAATGAAGTTCAATTACAGATAATAATCTTGTTAACAGTAATCACAATAATAATTGCTATGATAATTATCTTAGCTCAGAAATGGCACTTTCAGTAATTTCGTTTTCTAATATTTATGGTAATTGAAAATTTTGCTTGCCAATTTATTAATTAGTGGAAAATATGACATACCGTAGTCAATACTGAAATAATGATAATAGCAAAGAATAGAATAAAGGTGAGGTGATATGACACGAGAATATTAATACGAATGAAATATGAACTGCGCAATATGGCAAAGCACAAAGACTTTCGTCCATATGCTCTGCAACATTTATTATGCTGCACGATTGAAGCGTGTGAATATTATCAGATTTTCTCAGTATCATCAGATTTCAGCTTTACTAGTTATGAACTGTGATTAATACCACCTATAATTAATTAAAGTGTTATTATCACTATTATTGTGATTATCAGCACTTCTTATCAGTTATTACTAGCACAGTCATGATGTGTATCAAACAACACTACTGCTGTTATGTGATAATTTACGATCATCATTATTTTTGCTGCAACGGTATATCCTTGATGGCATTACTCCAAATCAATTACTATCATGATTACTTATTATCATAGTTCCACAATTGTGATTAATACTAACAAAATTTCAGTGCCATCACAATTATTATGATTGTTATTAATCTATGATCTGGTCATCAATCACGTGATTAGCAATTTATTTATAACCAGTAACAAGTGTTATTCTTTTTTAGCAAAATAAAAGAATTAATTATCAGTGTATCATTTGATATCTAAAACTGTTGAATCAATCGAGAGGAAGTCATAAAGTGATTAAAGGACCACACCTACATGCCAAGTTACCACTCATTTCTGACTTCTGCGAAGTCATTATTACTGGATCATGATTCTTTTATCTAGCTCTCATCTTTATTCTACAACAATTTATATCTCCGTGCCATTCTAAAGTTCGTTTCAGATCAGTATCTCCGATTAGCACACAATGATTTAATGGGACGAGAAACAAACACGTATCCAAATTCTCGTGAAATGTTCACTGTTTATGACATTTCAGACTGCATACTTCCCTTACGCGATACCATCGAGGTTTTCAAAATCTGAACATTATCGTTCAATCTATTGTGAAGAACCACAAGGACTGTTCAAACAGCTCACACACTTTACACGCATTCGTCAGAAAACCAAATTCGGCATTAATATACAAGTCTTCTGCCTTTATTAATTTTTTAATACATTACTTGCGCTTACAATGATATAATACTGACTTTACTAATATCCAATCAAATTAGAATAACACATTTGAAAAAGAGGACATATTTTTTTAAATGCCATTCATATAATAATTCAAGCAAATACATATGAAAAATACGAAAAAACTCAAATTTTTATTTATTTTGAATAACGTAAAAATTAGAGCGACATAATAACCGTGTATCCAACTAATGTTCATACTATAAAATTGTAATTCAGATTTCAATATATTTCATCTCATATATCACTATAACATAATGCATAAGTTTAAAAAAACAAAAAACGAAATTTCAAACAATAAGTATTTAGAAGCAGCATTGCATAACATTTTGATTGAGTTATCATTCATGTTCAAGTTGAAATCAGATTATTTGACAACCATCAAAAATAAGTTTTCAAAAATTACAAGCAAAAAGCTCATCCTATTCATTCTGAAATCACTACCAGTAATTCTCTAACTTTTAGAATATCTGAAATGAATCAACGCAAACTGCTCGTTTTCTTTTTCGGATGCTACACATTTAGAAACAATGTACATTATATTTGGTAGAGTGAAGTCTTTTTTCCTCGATAACCACTTCTCCACATTGTTGGTGAATTCTGTAAATTGATAAATTTTGGTTTGAGTTTCTCGATACGATGAATTTGACGCAGTTGTCTCTGGAATAACTATTGATATGAAAACATCAAAAATTTGAAGATATATTTTCAACATCAGTGCAAAAAAGGAAAACAAGAACAATCCTTGTAATTTTTGCCAGAAAAAATAATTTACCAATCTATATTCTCTCCAATAAAGCCAACCGTCAACTTCAGGATCCAAATCTTCTAATTCTTTTTTTCGCTCTAATTTTAACTCAAAAAGCCAGGAAGGATATTCAGAATCCGGTAAAATTTTTGGATCCTCACCACCTGTAACAACATTTTGATAAAATCTATGACTCAAACATTTTTCTACAAATTTGTCCTTAAATCAGCAAGTTACGAGGATATTCGCACGCTTAATAATAATAATATTATTATTAGTAAAATGAGACACTGTATGAGATATTTCATGTTTTTTGATAAATTCTGAAAAGTAAACGTAACTTCAAGCAGATAATTTATACAAACATGGCTACACAACTTTTCTGCATTAAAGTCAATGAAACTTTTGTCCTCTTTATCAGGAATAATTTTGGACCCCACAGCTGCGTAATGTCGAGAAGATGCCAACAATTCTGAAATACACGAGTAATAAAATACTAAAAACACAGAAGAACATTATGAGCACTACGAAATAACTTTGAAAGTCAAAAAATAGTTCGTATGTTTTCACGTACGAGATGTAGCACACGACAGGAATAAGTCCTTATCACTCAGACATGTACCACGTAAAGCACGTGAAAAAATCTCTGCATAAAAAAAATTACGACCATTTTTTTATACAGAGATAATACGTACTTTTCTATAAAAAGCATTACAATTCTTTCGAACTTACTTAAATCAAACTATATGCCACTTCGTTAATTATAGAGGCGATAAATCTACCTTTAGTGACCGCATAACGTAGTTATGATAATTTTTTAACAAAATAACTAACCATTGAAAGATAGAATCAATCCTGATTTTCTCGTACACCGAGCCAATGAAATGACCATTTTAAATGATATCATTTCACGACCACCACTCTATTCATCTATCTCATCATTCTGAAACCGCGCTCATTCCAAGTGAAAGAAAGAAGTCGGCTAAGCTAGTCTTGCTTACAATAAGCTTGCATCTAAGATTTATTTAATGAAAGTCATGACCTACCACCTATTACAAGAAGTACAAAATTACGATTTCAGAAGTAACTCAAAATTACGATTTCAGAAGTCTATTATGACTCGCTTAAGAATTAAGTTTTCATAACGTGCCCGTTTTATTTATCGGCAATTTTAAGTAAATGTCCAACTAAGAGCTGCATTAAATACGGTAACTGCCAATGTTACTTATTGATTGCCCGCATTTCAAAATAATTAGTAAAAGGCGTAGTTGTACCCTGCCGTAAGTTATTAGTGAAGATCAGTAGTGCTATTGCAGATGTTCTCTATATGTTTCTGTGTTTGAGTTGTTTTTTGGTGTTTTCTGGTTCAGCTTTTACGGTATTAATATAATCTCTTTGATTTCATAAAATGCACTAATTCATTTGCTAAACTGTCTTTGTGAAACCAAACCGTTATAATATATTTTCCTAGCAGCAACTAACTGACTTATTGCCTTGAAGTTCCTTCCATCCCTGTTATCTTTATACATGTGTCTAAAAGTCTTTGCTACCAAATATAGATCATGAACTTCATCCAATTAGCGATCATTTTTGTGATCAAAAAATAATCCGTCCAGATGGAATAGTTAGAATATTTTTGTGGTGTAGAATAAGTTGTTATTCATCGTTTACCATCGAAAGAATGTAAGTAGTTTTATGAATCAGTTTTATGTACGTCAATATGCTTTGAAGTAGTTTAGTGTTTAATACACTAACTTTACATTTTTTGAACTATTAATACGGAAGCTAGCTATCAGGTTGTGTTGCTTTATTTGTCTTATGTTGTTTTGCTGTAGGAAAAGAAATTGATTGCTTCAGACTCTCAAATCTATCATGAAGCATTTTCATGGCATCTCAAGATATGGTAGTGGTCAAAAAAGCCCACATTTCTTGCAGTACCGTTTGCTTCAATAGCTAACTCATTTTCATATCATAAAACCTTTTCTAAGGCAATGCATGACGCCTGTTATGAAATTTCTATCTGGATTTCATAATTTTAAGGGAAGAAGTGAAGTCAGCGGACAGTTTTTTATCAATGTCTACAAGTGGAGAAGTAGTGGCTTTAAATATGAAAGATGGTACATGTATTCAAGGACGGATTAAATCTGTAGACGTAAACGCTCGTACTGTTTGGTTACAACGACCATTTCAGTTCGTTTCGAAGTTTCTGATTATGAATTTTTTTAAATTTTCGTGGAAGTTAATTCGCACATGACTAGTTTTAATGTATATTTTTAAATCTTTGTTGTAAATGTTATATTTAGTAATAATTGTCATTCTTATATCTCTTTTTAGAAATGGAAAACCAATGGGAGAACTTGAAAAGTCATTTTCTATTGATACAATTCAGTCATTTCGAGTTTTGGATGTCAGGGCTAAAAGAATGGAAGAACTTGAGAAAGAGCAACGCAAAGAAAAAAAAGTGGAAAAGAACGAAAAGGTTAAGAAAGTTGAAAAAGTAGGAAACGGCGAAAAAGTAAAAAAGGAGGAAAAAGTAGTGAAAGATGAAAGCAAAAAAAAGGGGATAGAAAAAAATGAGGTAAAAATTATTTCTCAAAAAACTTAAAAATAATTGCAAGAAAATTAGTCTTTGATTATTACAGTAACAAATATTCATAAAGCATACATTAAATGTTTATTTTCTATGTCGCAGTTTATATTTAGATTGACTCTTCGGTTTATGTGCAAAATCAATAAATCATAATTGAATGTTTGTTCCACCAAGATTATTAGGTGATTTGAGTTCTATCGCTTAAGTGATGAGGCTTTGATCTGTAATATTAGCTCATGAACTATAGGAGTACAAAGTAGATCTTTTCAAAATATTTAGTAACTCACATTTTCCAAATGGTATAAAATTTAAAGTTGTCAGGTGTACTAGAGGTAATATTTAGTCGGAAGCGATCAAGCATTTAAACCTATAACTTTCACAAAAGCTTTTATGAAATTTTATCACTTTTTTAGTGCATAATTTTTTGTATTTTGTGCATTTTATTTCTTACAGCAGCGATCGCATCATAATTCCCCTTCTGGTTCTTCTAGCTCGTCATATGCATTAAGGTTCATTTTAATATTAAGCTATCTTGACCAAAGATTTAAATTATGATTATTTATCACATGCATTCTTTATGATGTGAAGAACTTTTGTTTCTGTTATCGAAATGTTTTTGTTTCATGTCTTACGTATTCATTTCTATATTTTTTTTTCTAGAGGGAAATCGAAACGTGGTTACTGTTCTCAATCTTCATTTAGTAGACACTCTTCTGCAACTTTTAATAGTTCATCGTATACACCAGGTTTATCAAGTAGGTATGGGCGAAGTAAGTCTTTACAATATAGACCAAGTCTAAATCTTTTATAGAAAAATTTGTAGTATGTATCACGCTGTATTGCAGTACATCTTTAGCTTTTACTTGCTTGGTCAAATTATTTTTCTTTTAAATTTTTTTTGTTCATTACTTTTTTTTAGATCGCGGACAAAGTTGGTTTTCTGAATTACAACCTCGTGATAAGATTCAAAGCTTACGAGATAAGAAGTCTAATGAAGGTTTGCTCAAGCCTATTGATTTTGATTTAGAAGAAGATTTCGATTTCGAGAAAAACTTGGAAATTTTTCGGAAATACGTAAGCTGAAATCATCATTTATTGTTTTTTTTGTTCATTTCATAACGATTTTGCCGGTTATTACGGCAATAAATTCTCGTTACTTTCATTATATATAGCTTATTTTGAGTGTTTAAATCTGCATTATAAGAGTGCTTTGTCACAGTTTTTGATATGTCTTTTATCGTGGTATTAGCTACTTCCCTCAAAAATTGATCTCTTTTTGTTATTTGAATCTCTTGTAAGCCTTTCTAGTAGTCATTTTTTATGTTTGATATTTTATTTATGAAGCTTCATTGAGGCTTTTCGTTCTAATACCTCCAAGGGCACTTGTTTTTTTGATAAATTGCAGTATTTTGATCTTAGGAAGAAAATATGGAACAGAAGGAAGCTTCCTCTTCAGAAGCTCAGTATATGCACAGAAATTATGAGCACTATGAAAATGTTGTCTCAGATCCATCAAGAGTTAATTCATGGACTATGAAAGAGCCTGTTCATTTTGTTGCAGCGCGTTTAGACCAAACAATTAATGGACAAGAAATTCCATTTTTGGCACCGAGTGACAAAGAAAAATTTTTGCAGGTCAGACTCTTATTGCTAAATAAAAATTTCAAAACTCTGTATAACTCAAGAAGGTGATATTTAAATATTTCTGGAAAATGAGGCTTCAAATTTCTTTTTAGAAGAGATTGCTGATTTCTCGTATTGTGTTTTGTTTAGCAGTTTTGTTAATGACTAATCAGTGAGTAGCAGTGTCAGATGGGTTTTTTAATATCGTTTCAGAAGGCAGAACCTTATTTGGGAAGTGATATATTTCACGTAATGGTTGCAGATCGTTTAATGACCTTTGTCTGGAATGTTATTGATAGGTAAATTTTGGTTTTTGCAAATTAAGTTTATTTCCTGAAAATGCTGTACCTTATTCCTATCAATTTTAGGATACGTATCTCCATCATTTTAGACGTATAGGTAATTTTTGTTTGAGATTTGACTTGTTTCTTTATTTTGCTTTAGTAAGGAATTAGGAGCATCCTTTTGTTCTTATTTACCGCAATGAATCAAGATAATTCAAGAGCAATTTTATCATAATTTGCTTGATTTATGTTGCACGATTTCAGTGAAAGTAGCTCTCAAGTCCTGAGAAAAGGCTACAAATCGTTTTAAATTAGGAATTTGTTTAAGGAGGTTTTATATATTAATTTTGTAAGCAAATACTTGTAAATAGGAGCAGAAGTTCTGCTTAAAAACATCATTTATTTTTGCATGACGGCAGTTTTTTCCTACTTTACTTATAGTTCAGCATGAATTCGTCATATATACAGCAGCCGCGTTCGATAAATTTTTCTTTTTAATAAATCAAGTCGAAATTAGTAGTGAACGTTATCATTTGTTTAAGAATAGACATGAGGAAATCAGTTTTTTAACTGAAAAAATTGTTTTCATGAAAAACCAGTTTAAAGTGTGTGTGAAGTGCTTGTGAGATATCGTTTTATTTGAATTTTCATGTTCTAATTCAAAAGTTTTAGGTTTGAAATTATGGTTAGCCAGGTAGTTGTGCTTGATTCAGCTACTGTGAATACTTATTTGACAGCAATGTTTTTGCGTCATATTTCGAACAGGGCTTGTCAAACAGTAATATATCCTTGTACACTTGGCCCATATGATTTACCCTTTGTGCGTCAAGTGCGTCGTATTGAGGAGCTTCCAAAAGACAATATTCAAGTAACTTTTCTTTAATTTTTACAAATTGGACTTTTGGGTAATTATGTTGTAATCATTTATTGTGTTATACCACAATATTTCTTCTTATATTTTTGAAGACTTCTATTTTTTGCATTCGATATTTATTCCTCCATGCTAGAATGCATAAAATGAAGCAGCCATGGAAGAATATAGCAAAAAAAATCATGAAAGAACTAGATATGAATTGCAAGAGAGGGGATTTTTTTAATATAGTTATGTGGTTTTTTAGCTGATTGTTGTATTATGTCCATCAGTTTTGGGACCCATCAGGAAATGGATCAGGGATTTGTCACCATCACCACATTTAATATGCATTGAGAAGCCACCCGAAATAGTTGTGAATGAGCATACCATGATGGTTGGTGTTGGAACCGATAACAATGGTTGTAAGTAACCTTGAGTTTTTAAAAGTGGATTTACTAACTTATAGTTTGCAAATACATGTTTTAAACTGTTTTTTTTTTCGTAGTGTGGTTATAGTGTTCTACTCTTTTCCTTCTTATATTCTCCTTAGTCACTTAAAAGTTGGGACTTTTAACTTTTAGTCTATTTTCATCAGATAAGTAACCTCGCTAACTTTCGAAATTGACTTCAAATACGCTACAATCACTTTTTTTGTTGCAGCTCAAAAGCATAATAAGAATTCAAATAGTGTACGGGCTGTCGTAGATATCGGAATACCATTTACTTGGATGGATACTGATTCAGCTAGTTGCCTTTCTCGCACATTTGCCACGCAGAATATTGTCATATGTTAGATAATAAGAATCAATACCGTTGTCAGTTAAGATACTGAATTTCTCTTGCTTCAATTTTATGGTATATTTATTGCGTTTTTTTAAATGTTGACTGCCTCTTCAGTTCTTCTTAGGCATATAGTTCTTATTGTGACTTGGTAATTCATTGTTCGGTATGAAATAAACGTTTTTTTAATCAGTTTGTTATAACTCTTCCTGACCTTTTTTTGGATAGTTACGTTTTGTAAGCACCGTGTAGTGTAAAATTTTGCATACCATTATTTTATTTCTCGTTGTTTTCATAAACATTTAGTGGTCTTGACTGTTCATGCTAACCTTCGTAAACGTATGAGTAAAGTGGATATTTTTTTCAAGTTTTGCTGTTAAATTCGTCAGCTGGTTCTTCCAGGGCATATCTTTTTATTCCTGACAAAAACAATTCAATTGAACTTGGTTAATTCAACTTTAGTTTCTAGGTGATATTTGTTTGAGCTACTGTGTATAGTTTACCATTTTTTTCCTTTTTTTCAGGAAAAATTGGGGGAAATGTTTTGTTGTGTTTCGTTAATACGATTTATATGAGCTAAATGATAATCTAGTTGTAATTATAAGGTTGAATGTCTTATTGTTGAGTAGTCCATGTTTGAAGGTTTTTGATCATTCGTCAGGAGTTAATTTTTGAAATTTAATGGCAAAATTGACGGATTTTTCTTACACTGATTTCCATTTCAACATCGATATGACATCAGTGTTTGTTCGGGTGAATTGATTTTTTTTAGATTCTAGCACTGGGATGAGTAATAACAATTGTATCATCTACAATGGGTGAACACTGTAGTCATGAGTAAATGCGCTATTGGTTTATAAATTATGTATCTGAAGAGTTGTCATGCAAAGGCAAAGATTTAAAGAATAAATCTCAGATGTACGTAATTTGCGATATTTTGTTTGTTCGTAAGTTATTTTGGATCGTTATTAGAAGGTTTCTCTTTCCAGTGGCCTGTAAATAGCACTGCACATTGGATGATATGTAGTTTATGTCCGTCTTCAGATTTGATAATTATTCTGACATATGGCAACTGGGCGTTTCTCGATTTTTGCATCGGAAGTCAACATTACCACAGCGTAAGTTTTGTTATGATTGTTCGTTTATTTTCTTCATTAGTTTTGAGAATATACCGTGTAAGTATTTCAGAGTAAGCAGCTATTCGTTATGGAGAGTGCTAACGTTAGATGGTGAAGATATATCATCTTTCTGGGAGATGTTCCTTGGGATTACTTTGTGGATGTTTATTTCATATATAGTTGTTTATGTAACCGCTGCATTAATTTCAATGACTATGTTACGCAATCATCCGTGGATGCTTATCTATGCAGCGTCTATGTTTGGTTTGCTTCAGTTTTATTTAACAGTGTTTATGATTATTTTTGATTAGATGAGGAATTGTACGAAGTGTACTAATCATAATGAGGCTTTTAATGTTAAAGCATTTTCAGGAATGGCAATATTAGGACCAGCGACGGTTGGTGCGCTAACAAGTGCTTCAATAGCATTGATGTTTTCATCAGCTGATAAAGCTATTAGTTGCTGGCATTGTATGGTACTTGGATCATCTCAAACATTAGCAGTAGTTATAATTAGTTTTTCAAGAATACTAGCCACTCTGTGAAGGTTTGCCTTAATTTTATGAAGTTATCAAGACTATTTGGGGATGAAATGTTCGCTGCTTTCAATAATTTTTCTCTCAGTTCATGCGTTTTGTCGTTTTTTTTTCAATTTAAGACGATAATAGATACAGTACTAGCTACTTCTGGCATTATTGTATTATTTGTTGAAGTTAAGTTATTGTATTATTTTTTGAAGTTAAGTAACTGCATGAATCGAAAAAATTCAAAGTTTTATATGAAGAACGAGAAGAATCAAGAGATGGGTTTCAAAAACTGGTAGTTTATTTCAGTGACCTTTCTCGATGAAGCTGTACATATCTTGTCTATAACTCAATATTTAGGGTTTAATTTGTTCGTACCCATGAAACGCTTAGAAATACAATTACCTGCGTAAATTTTTTAGTGATGTGCAATTCATCTCCAAGTTAGTATTTCATGATGACCATATTTGTTTTCAGTTCCAGCTCTTTTAATTTCATCTGATTTTGCTTTGCCTGAAGTATCCTATATTTCTTATGTAATAAGTGCTGTTAAAAAATTTTTTGCTGCAAAATTACGCAGTTCACGACATATCACTGCAGAAGGGTTTCTGTTGTTCTTTACTATTCATTACAAAGCTCAATGTTTCCACATTTCATTTGACATTTACTGTGTAAGATTTGGAGATGTGTAAAGTGTAGAATGACACATGTAATTTACCATTAATCTACTAGAGTTATGTCAGTTCATGTCTTTCTAACTTTTAATTCATATATGTTGGTGAGATTTCGTTCATAGCGATTTTACCCCCAGTATATTCTGTATTTTAATATGACTAGTTTGAATGCAGCAATTATAAACTGTGATGAATTTATTAAATAAAATTAATGAAATCCTCTATTCCTAATGTGTAGAATATGTAATGGTTATTCAAACAATTTTTATCGGATTAACGGTTGTAACATATTTTAAGCTTAGTTTCTATTCACTTTTGTTAAATTTTAATTTAATGTTCGAACATATTTCAAGTAATGACAAATCTCTATTGCTACTTATTAGGAAGAACTTTGATAGTGTAAACATGAATTTTGTCGAATTTGTTGTATATTTGCAGGTAGTAAGTACGTTATGGGCATAACTGAATTCTGCTCCCAATGTGGTACAGTGCTTTTGTTACCGCTGACTGCTCCCACCATCATTACTTGTAATTACTGTCACTCAAAATGCCGAATCAGAAGTAAATACTTGTTTGTCATAATTTTGCGATATGTTTTTCTTTGTCCGAATCGGAATTACTATAATTCTCAGTTTTCTTCTGTTAGGAGCACAAAGAGTAAATTTCATCAGTTGCTGCTACTTTATTTCTGTGAACTGAAAATCTTATTGGTTATTTTTTTTTTGTAGCCATCCGAAACGAGTTGGTATGTAGAGTCGAGAAGATATATAAAAAGCACATTAAGAGTAACAAAGAAGAAGGGATTTTAGAAAATCCTATCGTAGAGAAAACTTGCGAAAAATGTGGACACGATAAGATGAGCTATGTATGTAGACAGACACGATCTGCTGACGAAGGACAAACAGTATTCTATAAATGCTTGAAATGCAATAATAATATTGTTGAAAATGCTTAACATAATATATGTTTGTATAAAATGATAATGAGTGCTGATAACAGCAGCTGAAAGTTTTTTCAAGCAGAAAGAAGCAATTCTTTTGGTCATTAGCAAAAAAAAAGTTGCTTGTTGAAACCGGACTGTGTAACTAGATGGTAATATCGTTTGTATCAATTTGCAACGAAACTAAAGCGGACCATGTATTAAAGACACATTACATAAATAACTGCTTTAGGCTAAAGTTCATGAATGCAATTATTCATAAAAGTATTTTCAAATATTAGCAAAAATCAGTCGAACTTTGTTGTTAAAATTTCAGAGGAAGTTGATTTCCAATACGGGGCAAAACGCAACATAAATGACCATGATAAAATAATCACTAAGCTTACGATACACACAGCATAACTTCCAACAACTATTTTCTCACTAGGTAAAAAACACTTATTGACCTGAATATCACTGGCTGTGATCGTTACAAGAAGAAATGCTGGCTGAACAATATTACGCCATGAGAAGGATGATAACGTCCATTCATACATGTTGTACGGTGCTGGCCACCTAGAAAAATCATACTTTTTCGATTTTGGAATTCGACACCCCACCTATTGTTTTTGACAATTGAAAATTACGCGCAATACAAACTTATATTCCAAGCTAGTAGTGAAAGTTGATCTGTGAAATTCAGTTATTAGCTAGCCTTTACAATCGTATAATACTACAAATATACCAATGCCTAGTTTTACCTAGATGCATCGAAATCTATTGATAGATTATATCACAACGTCAGAAACAAAACTTACCAAGTACGACAACTATGGTGTGTGTGACCATTAAAAACTGCACGAGGGTCCAATTTATTCAAAACATAGTGGGAAGAAGCATTTGAAAGACAGTCGATACCAGCAGTAAAGATTTGTGATTTGGCTGGTTCCACAGCAGCATCATAGTCATCTGGACATTGTGCATCACTATGTCTAGAATAAAAATACTCAAGTTTTTCTATCAAGGCTATCTAGAATGACATAATTCATGAAAACAGTTTTCACTGCGGAAGTGGTACAGAAGATAAGAATGCTGCAACAAACAATGTTCCAAACATGAGACTGTGTAATAACGTGAATAACGCGATATACTGTTCCATATTTTAAACTGCCTGCACTTGCGAAATTCGAATCAAGGTTTAATGTAATCACCTGAACAGAGGAAAATGGAGTAGCAGAATCGGCCTCGAGTTTACATTACATTTGGATGCACCATTTTTGGTGCAGTTAAGTTTTCGACTCAATTTTTCGATTTCAAATTCAGTAGTAGTACACAAGTAGCAGCCATCACGTTCAAGAGTCATAGAATTCAGCAGTACAAAATGGTTACCATTTAAAACGATATGATCAGCAAATGACCGAGCAAAATGTTGGGAAAGGAACTGAAGCCGAGCTGGATTGATTCTGTTGAAACAAACTCTGAGTAACTTTTTTTTCAAAAATTCCGAAAATTATCACCATCACTAATTTACTATTATATTACTGCTATATTACCATTACTATTATTTATATTATTACTCATGTTCATATTCTTATTATTATTATTATTTTGACGAAGAAATTTTATCCAGTGTTTAAAATCATATGAGAACTATTTGAAATCAAAGTCAAAAAGCCGACTAACTCATCATGAAATCCAATGTCATGGTTACCAAAAATACAATGTACTTGAATATCTCTGGGTACATAGAAAAGTTCATTGAAACGTTTTACGTAATTCTCAAGACCCTGTAGATTGCTAATGGTACTTTCATCGAACAAATCACCTGAATTGGGATGCCTAAACTGTCACTGAAAAAAACATTTGATGCACCTTGATTTTGTCCTACAAAAAAAATTTTTTTTTTTGTTCACACACAGAATATACTGAATGACTACAAGATATAAAAACTTCACTCATTAAAACTAGATTTTTCCTTCACCATAAACGCTTTACAACACTATTTAGAGAATTTCTTAGCGAACGCTATTTACATTGCCTTCGCCAAGAATTTTGTACGTCACATTATCGATGAACATGTATTAAATCAGATACAATAATTTTCACATTTTTATTATTATGCTATAATTTTATGTCCTTGGAAGTTAATTCTTGACCTCTTACTAACTGTAATTTCTTCAATTTCAGAAATTATTCATAAATTTTCCTTGAAATACATTTTTACAGAAAATTCGAAAAAATATAATTTTTTTTAATTCAATTGTTAGTAAGAAGTTATGTGAGACAAAAATTAGGAACATGAAACAAACCGAGAAAAAAAACAGCATGAGGATGCATAAGTGAAATAGCCGACTGAAATGACCGGTACATTTGCCATTCTCTAAAAGGTACAATGCAGTAATCTCACCACATACTTTCATTACTGGATAAAAAGATCAACAAGTAATTGCCAGCAATAACTGAAGTACTCTATGAAAAATAATCTTAGTAAAAAGTAGTTATAAATTTAAGTAGTTAAATATTATCTCATATAATATCAATTGTATAAGAGTACTGGGACAAATAACTCTTTAAACCGGAAAAGCAAATAATCTGATTGAAACTATTATTTGTGTTCAAAGCTTTTAAGCTTAGTCAATTCATAACAGACCAACGGCATTCTTGAAACACGCTGCTTGCCGACAAGAATTCTATCTCATTTAAGTGACTTCAACTTTTTAATAGTATTTTTTCATGTAAAATTTACACCAGCCTCACATAAAAAGGCTGCATTGACCTCACATATATTTATTTTCCGTTCAACACACCAAACTTTTTATTTTCCTTTATTTCATCATATTTCATTTGTATAATTTAATGATCCAGGTACTAGCTACGGATGAAAAAAATGTCAGACTAATATCTAAAATAATGCTGCCTAAACTGATACCTAAAACTAATATCTAAGTCAATTAAGCAACTCATTTACAACTAAAGCCACTTTAATTCAGTTAATAACAGTACCTATATTCAAGATCTTAAGTCACGTTTTAAAAAAGAAAAACTGTAATGAAAGTCATCACTAGAAGTCTTTATTAACACATGTTAAGAATTTAGATTTTTATTATTGCAAGAAAAAAAATCCAACCGCCTCAATTTGTCGAACCAATGTCCACGACGGGGTCCAAGGAGATGAATGTCTGTTACCATCATCACCTTTGTTTCTTCTTCACGCTTCCCATTACGTGACGATATAATAGGCCACGAGCACCATGTGTATATTGTCACGTAGTAAATCAGGTATTCATTGTAGATGAAGACAAACAAAATACCGACAAGAACCAGGAGAAAACCCCTTCTCTTACCATCCATTTTTACTTGATTTGAATAAATTTTCATTCATTCATTTAACGCAGCCATTGCTGTTACATCTTTTCTTATTTGTGAAAAACATATCTCACTGTGATGATTTCTGCAGAAATTTTCCCTCCAAACGCTTTTCAAAACGTTGGATTCATGACGAAAAAAATTATAAGCCAATTTTTATTACAAGAAAATGCTTCCAATTGTTAACATTTGCGTATGACTTGAAATGCACTCAGTACTTGACGATTTTCTCATTTTCAAAAACTTTTCTTTGCTTATTAGGCGCATTTTTCTGAATTTATTTTTGAAAATGCTTTCGAATAATGTAATTATTTCTCAGCTAACTGAGCACCTTTCCTTTTCAACAAGCAATGTGCTTAATGCTGAAGAAATATTTGGCAGAAGTTGTTGTACTTCAAAATTAAATAGGCCATTGTTCGTGGGATTTTAAGTCAGACCAAAACATGACTTCACTAAAGAAGTGAACTCTCGATTCATTACTGTAATAATAGAACTTTTCTAAAAAGTTCTTTCAGTTACGATTAATTGAGTGATTTAAATTTAGCTCAGTTTAATCTTTCTGGATGTTGAATTTTCTCAGCTTTAAATACATTTATATTGAAAATAGAGAACTAAATCCGAGAAATTAAGGCTAAAATGCATGTAATTATTAGTACAATGTCTTCTTCGAGGATCAGCCTGAGAATTTAGTTCTTAGACAGAGTGGATCTTACTGTATTACCAACTGCTTGCTTAATTAACATTTACTTATTAATAATGATTTTAATTACAAACAAAATAGTAATACTAGCTTCAGACACTTTTTGCAGTTTCAACACTACTTAAGGCTCTCAGTGTACGGACGGGAGCATGCGCAATCAGTTCATCATGAGCTGTACATAAGTTAAATATCAACTTGGTCTACAAGTGAAGTTCTTTTATGTTGCATTCGATAGGAAGTAAGATTAATCTAATTACCCTTTTGTATTTTCTCTATATCCGTCTAATGACCATTAATGTATGTGTTTGAATGAATGTCTCAAAAAATGAATAATAGATTTTACATTTAACTTTAAAAGTTTTCAATAAAATTTTATTTCCTTTATTGTCTGACGGCTAATGCACAGAAAATCTTTCAACATTTTGTTTTTTTTACTTTCTGAACGAGTACTCTTTTAATCATATTTTTGCTTTAATTGAAGCAAACATGTCTTTTTTACTGAATTCAATTTTAACTTTATTTAAAAATTTTTTGCATCAATATTTGCATTAGTCTGGTACAAAACTGGCTAACTTTTACTAATTTTTATTTTTGAATCTAAAGAACGTTGAAAAAAGTTGAATAAATAAATCCATAATTTGTAATTTATAAAATTATGACAAGTAGCATATGATATCAATTTTTCATAGCAAAACAAGCTTAAGCGTGGATTACGTTTTCAAACGTGCACAGAAAAATAACAATTTTAACCAAGCAAGTGTGTTCACTACTTGAATTTTTTTGCATCTTCTTTAATATCAGTGATAAATTAATACAAAGCCTAGCATTCGCATTAATTATGAATATCGAAGAGTACTCCAAAGTGTCATATTTTTGAAGTGTTATTGAATTCAAAATATTTTATCAAAACTAAAGACCAAGAAGTGAGTCATTCGAGTTGTTAGTGCAAAATGAACAAGTAATGCTGTGGGTTATTTGATTTAAGTTGTGAGTATAAACGAAATGATTTATTCTTTCAAGTAATCAAAGTGTATTTCAGTTCAAAAATGCATTCAAATATATTTATTTGCCAAACTTTTCATTTTCGTGCGGCCCTTTTGTTTTTGCGTTCATTTAAGTTATTGTATGCAATAAATGTCATACTTAAATACATAATAAATTGAATTGAATAATTTGCGAAAAGTTAGACCAAAACAAAAACAGAAAGTACAAAAAGTTGAATAACGACATGTGTTTCTGCCAAATGGATTGAAAAAAATTAAATTTTAAGCAAAAGTTCGCAGCAATAATTTAAGTTTAATTTGAAATGCCTAAGCATTTGTACATTATAATACAACAACAGAAAGCGAGTCAATTTCAGACATTGTTTGAAATGAAATGTTTAAAAATGAGACTTTTGGACTAAATTAGCTTATTTTAAGCTTTGAAATGAAAAGCTTGAAAGAAGTCACAAAGTATTTCTTTCAGAGTTGCATTCACTGCAATTACTGGACAACATTTTTTGCTACCGAAATTGCTTAATTCTTTACGTTCAACTATTTTGAATGATTTGTAATAAAAAGCAGTGTGAAATATACTATTAAAACGATCTAAGAATTGTCCTTTCTGAGATATAAAAAAGGAAAATGAGCCATCGATGAGTGAAAAGTTTTATTGGATCAATTTCAGATCACAAAACACTGCTTGATTAAGAATAATATCTTCAGAAATTCCATTGCACTTAGACAAACCTTTGGGTTTGAAAAATTAGTACTCAGTTATGAATGGTCTGGGCCAATTAAAGAGACTCAGACGCAGTACTTATAAATCACAGAAGATTTTTTTCGTTCAAATAACTTTTTGACTTGAATAATTTAATTAATCTTTCGAAAATGAAATTTGAATATTAATTGAGATGCATATTGCCATTACATACTCCATCAGAACAGCTGTTACACATATCAAATTGTGTTTTGAAAATCTGCCCTATTTTCCTCAAAAATTCATCCGTTTTCGTGTTTTTTCTCCTTCCAGCGTAAAAAACAAAACTTATCTTCATTTATCAATTTATGACACTTTTTTGCAAGGCTTGTCTGTGTTGAATAAAGTTTTCAACATGTTAGTTCCGTTTATTACGATAAAGTTGGCATGATTTTAAATGCTAATAACTCATTCACTGATTGAATAAAGGAATTTGAAAGTGACTTCATTGAAAAAGTAAGTCACCGACTGAAATTACAAAATTATTAGTACAAAAGTTTCACTTTCAGATTTTGTTCACATTAGCGATGATAATTTATCATTTCAAATCGGAAATCAAGAATAATAAAAAAATCGTTTAAATAGTTCAAATCAATCGCTGAGAACAGCTATGTGAGATTATATTTGTTATTAATTGGTTAAATTAAGCAGAATTAAGTGAATGCCAAAGAAAAGGTTAGTGGATTTTAGTCGCAACTGAATTTAATTCTACTACATTTAATTTTCTTGTTTCAGAACTTAAAGGATTTATAATTAATTGATAACATGCGCAATTAGGTAAACTAATTTGAAAAGAAGTATAGTGCGTTTTTGAACGTTTTGTAATTGTCTGAAAAATAATAGAAATAAACTAAAAGTTCTCAAAAAGTTGCTCTTAAAGTTTGTCCATATGAAAAGACTAAATTCAGTGATAAGTAAACAAAACAAAGCAAAACAAAACAGAAATTAGCACTGGCTATATCCGCTAGATCAGACTGTCACTAAGATATTGACAATACAAGAAAAACTACTTTAATTCACTGAACAGAAATCTGAGAATATCACATTCTCTGGTCATTATTAATGTGTACATTTCCTAATGAAGTATTCCTAATTACCTTTTTTGAGCAAGAATTAGGCAAATAGAAAGTGAAATAATCACAGGGCTTTGGAATGCTTCCATTTAGTATTAATTAGTCTGTGGCATTAAATTTTGTACAGTACTACTAAATTTTAATAATTAATAATAAAAAATGAAAAACAAATTTATGCTAAAAAATGAAGCAAAATATTATTTTCAGTTCATATTCACATGACGAAGGATTGGAAAATTAATGGAACTTTTAAAAAATTATTTTTATTAAAAAAAAACTTTTAATTGAATTTAAATTTATTTTGTCAGAAAGAGTCATTCATTCAGTCAAATTTATTTATTTATTTGTTTTTATCTTTTCTGCTTCAAAGGCTGCATTAAGATTTATTGTAGTCTGAAAAGCAGATTTATAGAGAGAATATTTTTCCCTCGAACGATTAGCGCTTCTACCGATCAGAAAATCAGCTACTTTTATTGCGTTTTGTAGCTTAAATTCTTCAAATTTTCAATTTTTTCTCAATTAATGTTACTTTTTTTTGTAAATTTTTGCTTATAAATAAATGAGTGATGTGCAGTTATTACTATGCTGTTCGCTTTGCGTGAGCAATTATGATTGAACATCTGATTGATGCTTATGACTGATCTCTGACAGCGTCAATATGTTGAACTAACTTGCGGAATTTTGCTTCAAATTACAATTTTTGTTCACTTAAATTGTAAGCACTTTTGATTTTTAGCACCGCTAAAATTATCCATGCAGTCATAACAATTAGTGTTAATAAATTAATAACTGCACTCTAAATTTTGCAAATTATTATATGACTATTATTGCTATTATTATTGTTAACAACATTATTGCCGGTGCCATAATTATTTTTATCATCACTATTATCAGTAATATTAATAGTCATAATAATAAAAATAAAAATGTTGTTAACAATTTAATAATAATAAAAATTAATAAAAGTACCATCATTAATTACAGTATGTACCATTATTAATTACAGTATTTCTATTATCTTGTCATTGTCTGATTCACTTTTGCAATAATTTCTCTCATTTTATGAATAATTTGATACTTTTATTAATTTTTCTTCTTCTCATTTTCATGATTTTTTTTGAAAGTGAACTATGAATAAACAGTAACCGTAAAATGTTGAAATATGACTCAAAATTTTGATGTGATTCAAAATTACTTATTTTGACAAATATTATTCTGAATATTAACAGATATCTGTTGATTTTTTGGCACAAAGTTTAATCACACCGCAATGAAAATTTGGATATTTTAGCTGGATGATCTGGTCTTAGTGAGCGCAATCAAAAAAAAAGCAGTTTATGTCAAAATATTATTTAATTAAATCTATTTAATTCAATATTAGAGGTGATGAATTTACTTTAAATCACAATATATTTGTTATTTTAGGTCATAACTTGCTTGCAAGTAAGATCTTACATAATTTGTCCTAGAAATTAAAAACTCTCAATGTTAAAATATTATTTAGTTAAATTTCAAATATATGTCAATTTTCGAAAGATTAGCTTATACCATTTGACCTTAGCTTATTAATACTTGCAGAAAATATGGACTTTAATCCAAATCACCCAAAATGGATTTGTTGTTGTTGCCATTTAACAAATGGCTTAATGACTTTGGCTGCTTTTGAAATTTTTGTGTCATTTTTATTATCGTTGTATTCGTGCATTTTTATTTTCATTCCTAACGAACAGGTAAGATCTTTAAGGGTTGGGAGGTCAAAGGGATAACTCTTTTGATAGGTTTAGAAGTAATACTTGCATACTTTTGATGAATTTCTCATTACAACTTTAGCAATTATCACTTGTACTGAATCAAAATTTTCACTTCCATTGCATTTTTGCATTTAAAGAAATTACTAAAAACATTAATTTATACTTTGTTTTTAACAAAAATTTCAATTCAGCGCGTACATACTCCATGGTTTCTAATAATACTAACGTCAGTAGCTGTGATATATGCCATTGCATCTGCATCACTCATTGCTGGAATACATTTGTACAAGGTTAATTAGTTTTTCAGTCAAATTTATACATTTTACTTTGTGTATTATTAGAAGAATAGAATAGCACAGAATAGTAAAGCATTGTACAAAAGAAAGAAGAATAGTTCGAAATCATTTTGTATTATTCTATTACAAATGACAGTATCACCTTAACTTAAGCATAAAAATAATAAACGTATTATTTTTTATGCCAAATCAAAAGTACTGCTGTTTTATTTAAAAATTGTCAAGAAAAATCCAACTGCAGGAAATTTATATGTATCCCACACTGGCTGCTCGAACAATACTTGTTTTATTCATGCAAGCATTTGGAGTTTCTACCGTTGTAAAACCAACAAATCCGATTAGTGCTGGGGGGAATATTAATGGATGGAGCAAATCTGCTCTACAAAACAATATCAATCACAGAAAAAAGGTCATATTATATAAAGTATTAAAATTTACTTAAATTGAAGTAGTTAATTTTACATTAAAATTAGCTAACAAAAATCATCCTAGATTTGTTCGTTGCAATTAAAACTGTTTCCCTTATTAATTAATTAGCAATTATAATATGTAAATTTTACTGCAAATTAATTTCAGGATGAATCGTCAACTGCTCAACGCCTCTTCTTACTGGCAATATTCATGTTGATCACGTCCATATTTGTATTTTATACGATTTATTTAGTAGTTCGATGCATACATTATATAAAAGCTCATCAAAGACTTATGCTAAGAAGAAATTCAATGGCTATTGCTAGTCAAATTGCTTAAATTTTTACTCATACTTATATTAAACATTTCAATTTGAAATTTGCTGGAGAAGAACCAAAATTTTATCAAGAAAATAGGTTAATATAATCAAGCATGATCCAAGAACGATAAAGATTATTAATAATATAGATGAAATAAAAGTATGTTAATAAAAAATTAGAATTTAATTTGAATTTAATAGTAAAAAATGAATTCTAATTACTTTCTTTTTGTTCTTTAGTTGTAAATGTCGCGTAAAATTTACACAATTTAAGTGTTCAAAAGCAAAAAGTTTGAAAAAATGAGTGAAGAGATTAATTGCTCAGAAAGGTTTTCACTGATCTCATCAAATGTGTAGATTAAATATTCATGTGAAATAAATTTTGAATAATTTCAGTCTTATTTTGAATTTAATTTGTATAATCAAATTAGCATCCATAAAAATATACTGAAAGTAGCGCTAAAAATTGTTTTTCTGCTCAATTTTTCATTAATCTCATTTTATAGTTGATTTTTTTCAAAAAATTCTAGCGATTTGTGAATGAAATAGAAAAGCAAATGCCATGAACGATCTTGCACGTTTATTATTGCATTGGAATGAATGCATTCCATTTATCTTTGGTACAGATTAATGAATCCAAGCATATTTCTCAGTGCTTCTTCGTTGTGGGTTAATTATAGAAAATATGTTTATATAACAGTGCTAGCAATGAAAAGTGCTGAGAATACAAAGCACTGGTGCGATTTGGACAAAAAAAGAATCACTTATAATTTCAAATTAAATTGTATCTACTCAATGCTTGCAACATTTTTGGATTTGAATGATAGTAGAAGAAATTATGCTAATTTAGGACTCTGAATAATCCATAAACATTCAAAAGTTGAATACAGATCTATTACTGATAATTTGTATACACAATTTGATTTGAATAAGAATAAATGATTAATAACAAATCTATCATCAATAATTTATTGTTTTCGAGTACAATTCCAGCAGAAGGTTAGCTAAATTTTCCCTCAGTTAAAATTAGAAATTTAGTATTAAGCAGAGAATGCAATAAATAGAAGTAACTAACAGAGTAAGTTTTTATCAATCAAAAAATATGTAATATTGTAATAAATACATGCAATTTTATCACTGTTTCAATTTTCGCATTCATAAAATATCGCGTATATTTCTCTATTCCACTTAAATTCTACTTATAAAGTAAAAGAATTTTCTGACCATTTGAAAAAATGATTCAAAGGTTTAGTTGTTTTTGTTTAATTTTTGACTGCAATAAATAATACCAACATTTATCTCAACAAAATAATTATTAAAAACATTTCAGAAAGATGATTTTTCCACTCAAAGGAGCTAGTCAGTTTATTACACTTCAGTCATTGATGAAGTATCATTTACCAGATGCACTGCATTCAAAATGTGGCTATGATGGACGTATGGAATGGAATCCTAATGAATCTATGGACATCACTATACATCAGTTCCGTACTGCTGTACTCAGTGGAAATGTCAATGTTATTAAAGATATATTAGAAAATTTGCAAAATCTAAACCCGGTGAATATCTAATCCTTTTCTAAATATTATGCAGGCTTTTTTAGCTGAACAGTTTTGTTTACATAAATTGAATAAACATTGAATTTCAAGTTTGAATCATAGACAGATTAAAAAAGTTGAAAACAAAAAATGCATAATATTGTAGTGCTGCTCGCACAAAATAATTAATTGCAAATCATGTCATTTATTGTATTTCAAAGAAGAGATTTTAAAAACGCAAGTCATTTTGAGAATTTTAGAATGACGCTATTTAGTATGCTTAGTTTAGGGTCAGATACAACGTTTTTTATCGCTGCTGACTGATCGCTCATCTGCTGAACCAATCAAAGAAGCACTGATGACAGCAATTTGCATAGGCAGTCGGCCACTAGTAGAATTTATTTTATCATTGTTTTTGGAATATCCTGGAGCCGAGCGCAATGGTCAGTTGTATTTTTTAGCAGTAAAATGAACTTACTTCTCATCGCTAAAAAAGATCTCTCCAAATGTCATGTTGGAATGTGCAATAAACGTGCTGTGCATCACTTTGATGGGACAAAAAAGTGCCTGACTTGCATAAGAAGTGTTACATCGGTGATTCTGTCTGAAGTTTTGGCTCAAATTTTGACTGATTCTTTCTAGGTTGCCGAAAGTCAAAGTCATTCCCAACACATATGACCCCATTAATGCTCGCTTGCATATGCAAAAACTTTGCAATCGTTCAGTGCTTACTTCTCAGAAATCACTTCATTCAATTGCCACATCGACCTGATTGTATTATTCTTATACTTCTGTCATGAATTAATCTTTCAAAAAACAGTGATTAACACAAGTTTTAGGTGCACAACTGATTGAAAGACTAAGGGATTATTGATCACTTTCAAAGTCACATTTTGCTAAAATTAGATTATATAGTAAAATTAGTGCTTCGTAAGGTTCTTGTGAAGATTGCTCACGTTCCTCACGTTCCATGACCAACAGCATTATTCTGTTGGATACCTACCGTGCAATTAGTAGTGAGCCATTTTTGTGGCTTGCATGTACTGATCCGCTGCTAGCTGCGTTCAGTCTTATCGAAGATTTAAGAGTTTGTGAAGCAGTAGAAAATAAATTCAAGGCAAGAGTAGAACAGTCCTTTTATTTTCACAGTTTTAAAGCATCCATAAAAGGCCTTTTATTCAAAAACTAGATTTTCCAAAGTTTAAGGCTATTTATTTTCTTAAATTATTCTAAAATAAAGTAGTGAATTTTAGTAATTCACGTTTGAGGATAACATTTCATTGAAAAAAATTAACTTTACGTATTTTTTAATTTTGCATATTTGTCAATAGCGATAGAATCAATCATTACCAATTTTCTTTTTTATATATTTAGTTTCGTAAAACTTTCAATTCAAAAACTAAATGAATAACTTCTGATTGATTACTATAATGTTTCAATATTTATAGAAATTTTGTCTGACAGTAGTTATAAATACAGGTTTTGTACAGTGATTTATGTAATAACGTAATGTTATTTACTGTAAAAATCATTGAGCAATGCTGGGATGGTGAAGAAATAAATGTGTTATTATCACGTAAAGTTGGATCAACTTTGGCTGATTGTGAATTACCATTTCCACGTATTCAAATGGCTATTAAATCGCATATAAAACCGGTTTTATCTTTGAATAAATACAAAAACTGATATACTTTTTACATAAGTATGAGCAATTTTCATTATTATTTTTACATATTAAAACAAGCAAAAATTTTTCGAAAGCTTTCAACGATATTGCATAAAATTATTTTGCTTAATAAATACACTATTGATTACTTGTTTTAGTAACGTTTTATTAATTTTTTGTAAGAGAAAAAAATTTATATTTCAGTTTTTGTCTTCGTTGGGCGTACAAACAACTATGGAAGACCACTGGAAAGGAATGTGGACGGACTACGGAAAATCAAGATTGCAGGATTTTAGTCGTGAAATTCGGCATTTCGTACTGTATCCGATTTTTGCGTTCATTCACGCAATAAGCGCTGGACGTTACATTAAAACCTTCAAATATCCATTGGCGCGGTGAGAAAAATGAGATGAAAGTTTTGGCAAAATTTTAATCAGCCACGAGAGTTGTCAAGTGATTAGCAAAATCAAAACCATAAATGAGCAACTGATCAGCGAATGGTCATTCATAAAGGAGTATAATTATTAATGATTAATAATCGCACATGGCGATCTATAAAAGAGCAAAAAATCTCCTTTGTGATATCTGGCTTTAACTACTTTAATAGACAAACTAAATTATAGTTTTCATACTTTCCAGAATTTCGCGGGAAAGTCAGGAATTTCTTGAAAATAGTACAACTAATTATAATCAGTCATTTCAAGGTATATCAGTCGATTGGCAAGTTATGTACTGTTTTTGAGTGCACTGACTGCGATTCGGTATTTTGGCAGGACGAATGAACAATCAGCAGATAGAGGGCTCTTTGATAACAGTAAGTTGCTTGCGAGCGATTTATTAATGCATTCAAATTAAGGTTTTCAATACAGTTTATGTGAATTAATTTGAGATTCCATTTCAAGCAAAATTTAATTTTAAGCACCAGAATGCTGTACTGATTCAACAAAGACTATGCCAACAAATTATTTGAAAGTAAAAGTAAAATTTGTTTGCAGCAATGAAGTGTGAGGTTAAAGTTTGAAAAAATATATTGATTATTGATATGATTTTATAAATGATTCTGATTACAGATTTTCGATTACTATTAGAAAGTTACGTATATTTGTATGTCTATGGATTTGCTGTGATTCATTACATTGAATTTGCTAGCAAAGGCTTAGCAAACTTTTACGATGTTTGGTGGCGATGGTTAGTTGTGTAGTTTTCGATTAAATTTTTACAACTTTATCAGAGAATTGAATGTAATGTATAAATTTGTACAAATTAAACTAAGAAAAATATTATAAAAAGGAAGAAAGCTTTATGAATTTTATTAGGTTTGATCTTATGCTAATATGGCTATTCTCGGGAGCATTTTTCTGCTTTGTTATGACGGCTGCTACTGTTTATCAGGATGGATTAAGTCATTTGCATAGAAGGCACTGGGTCTGATGTATTATTATTATTATTATTATTATTATTATTATTATTATTATTATTATCATTAGCAGTTAGGCAAATATAATGAAAAGTTGATTGGTCAAAAATTTGAAACGAAATAAAGGTGTTTTTATTTTCATATATTTCGTTTATCTCTTAAAAGCATTTCATTCAAATTTTTCTCTTAAACTATAATTACTTTCATTATAAGTATCAATCTGAAAGCATTACTTAATATATCCAAAGCAAACAAAAAAATCAAAAATGAAAATTATTCATTTGGGAGGGAATGAGGATGATAATTTCTGTGATACAAGCTATATTTAAAGAGTATTTTTATGTACTCTACTCTTGTTTATCCTTCAAAAACATTTCATTTGAATTGTCAGTTAGTTGCATACAGTACATGAAATCCATTTCGTTTCCTTGCTGCTCCTCATAAAGCATCTTTTTATAAATAATCAAATTAACTTATATTAATTACTGAAGGTGTATTACGATTTTTCACTGATGTACGATATTTACTTCGGTGCTGCTTCTGTGATGGCCTTCTGGAGAATTCTGTATTACTTTCAGCTTCATCGTTATATTGGTTCTACTGTGGTATATAATTTTCTATCATTTTCAAAAAGTTTTATACTTTTGTGGCAATAAATATTCGTTTGATAACTAAGAAGATGTCATGCCTATTAGTGTACAACTTTTCGCTCGAGCATAACTTTGATAGTAAGAAGTGATTTTATCAGAATTGTTAATTACTTAATAACTGGTCACTAACGCTTGATACTTCTGCTTTGCATATTAATCAATTTTTTCGTTATCATACCACAAATTATAATTTCTAATTCTTGTCAAAATTTGAATTTTTATAGATATCAATTTCGAAATGCATTCGTGATGTTTTGATATTTCTGTCCATATGTGCTATCATAATGATTTGTTTTTCATTAGGAATTAATACTATGTATCAACCTTATAATCAAAATAGCGTCGTAGATAAGGATGGAAACGTAATTCATCAGAAAAATACGTATTCAACGTGAGAAATGTTTTCTTTTGTTTTTGTTTCCGTGCTCTAAACATTGAGTTTATGTTAAAATTTTAAATGATTCTTTGTAATTTCACCTTTGATTAATAACTTTTAGTGAAGCAGAACAGATTTTAGAACAAACTTTTTTAATTAATAATCAATTTCTTTTAATACAACGAAATTATTCTGTATATAATTTTTACATAATTACTAATCATTCATTGATCTTTTTTTCCACAAATTTGTTGTACAAAAATATCTCTAATAATTCTTATTTGTTATTTATTTTTCAGTAAAATAATTTGATATAATATGCTAATTCTAGCATTGGAATAACATTCCGCAATTTGTATTGGTCATTTTATGGTTACTTAGCTCCATGGGATTACACTCTTGTAGTGGGCAATGCTGGACCTGATCAAGCACCGGTCCAGCATCCTATCACTAACATTGCTGGAGAAATTATGATTGCTTCCTTTCATATTGCGGTTGTAGTTACTTTGCTTAATTTGATGATTTCTATGTTGGTGCGAACGGCGGATAACGTTTTGGTTTGTATGCTTGCGTTAGAAATTTTCGAAAAACGTTTATATTTCAGTTTGTCACTAATATTTGATTGCGTGAAATGCTAGCTTTTTAAGCACTAATTTTAACTTTTTATATTAATTGCTAATCAACTGCATGAAATATCCAAAATTCATTTTCTCTGCTTGCTGTGCTTCATAAAAGCATCGCTTTTGCATAATTAAATCAAGCAATCTACCATAGTTCCTTACGCTTCAATATTTGCAATTAATAATAAATAGCGTTGCACGAGACTTTCACACATAACATATTTGATTAAAAAATATAATATTTACACAAAAAATATATGCATGTACATATACATACATATATATATATATGGAAATGGAGGATCGTGTTATATATATATATATGTATATATTGAAGTATAACAAACTATGGTAGATAAGTTGATATATTTCTATTTATTTATTATATAATAAATATATAAAAAAAATAAATAAATAAAATATACATATACATAAAAAAAGAAAAAAATATACACAATATAATAAATATATAGACATAAATACATACATTGTCTATACTTTTGTATTATTTGTTTTATTGTATTATACATATAATATAATATAATAAAACAAATAATAAATAAATATTTATTTATTTATTTATTTATTATTGGTAGAAAAGAAGATTGAATAGTTTGTTGACATGTTATCAGCAGTGTATGCGAATAGAAAAAGTTTTCATGCTAACATTGATGCCAGATTTTCATTACTCCTCATCTAAGCTGAAATCAATTTAAGTGCTTTTCTCTAAGCATTTATAAGCAGATTTTAAATATTCAAAAATTACGTGAAAAAAAAGTCTGTTCACAGAAAAACAAAGACCACGAATGGAAGTTCACCCGTTGTCGGATTTACGCAGAATATTTTGAATGGTTTTCTGCTATTCCGCCTCCTTTTAATCTTCTATACAATACAACTTGTGCATTATATCGTGCATTTTCAGATGACTTTAAATTTGTCTATCCTGTGAGTTTAGTTTATTATACATATGTATACATAGTATTATCATCATTATCACAATTTGATTAATATTTACACTGTTTGTATTAAAGTGATTGTAATCTAATATTTGCTATCATTCTACTGTTGTAGGATTTATGGATTCCGAAAAAGTTTTGGAAGTCATCTATGAGTGTTATTGTTGAGCAGGATATTCTGTATTTGGTATTATCATAATTTTGAATTTGCCATTTTAATTTAAAATAATAAAAGACTTTTTCATAGACTGAATTTAGTTCAATTTCTTGAATTTATTTGCCTAATCATTCGTGATTGCTTTGCTCTTTCTGTGAATTATTTACCATTTTAGACTGCGAAAGGAAAGTATTTTCGTTTTCATTCTAGCTGATATTTCTTTCGACCTTCTCAGATAATTGAATTACTGTTACGCATATGAACGATTATGCAAAAAATAGTGCCATGCATTTTAGCAGTAATTATTTTCTTAGAAACTGATGAGGACATTATTTGAACGCTATCGTCACTCTCAAGAATATCACTACCAGACGGTAATGAAGGAAGATGTCGAGCGATTGAGTGAAGAAGACAAAAAAGTAGTCTATAAGATTTTTCTAGCACTGATCACACTGAGCTAAAGAGAATCCGCTGCAAAGATATGAATAATTCTTGTGAACTTTTGAAGTTAATTTTTTTGGACTGAGAGAGTTCTGAAACTGATTTGCATAATTTCACTCGGAAAATATTGTGTTAAATATAAAACGAAAATGACAGCAAGTATTGTCAGTGGTTTTTTCAGAATCGTCCACTCTTTTCATTCATGAATTGCCCGCCACTACCGCGCAAAATAATTACATATTGAAAGGTTGAAGCTATTAGCAGAATGAATTTCAGTGCTGGCATAACTTATTTTGTGATTTGTAATCTTTTGTATGTAATATGTTAGTATTTAATTTCAGATATGTATACAAGTGCAAAATAAAAATTTGCTGAAATGCATTGAAATTAAGATTTATTATTGCATAAGAGAGAGTAATAAGATTCTGTTTACTATGGAAAATGTCATCAAAAATGGAATAATAGAAATACTTTGAGATTACTGTTACAATATACTAGTTATTAATTAACTAAATCTTTTCGAAAGATACAATCTTGAGAGTAATTCTAGCTATAATACTGTGTCATCTATTTATGAAGTAATATTCGAGGTGATTTTATGAAATAATTGGAAGCTGTTATATACAAAGTATAGATATTTTGCCGGTTTAAATAGGGACTAAATAAAAGAATAGAAATGAAGCTAGCAAATCTAGTCAAAGTCAAAGGTCAAGTTAAAGCTCACTACCAATTAATGCGATTTCTTTAATGAGAAAATCCAAGTCTTCTCTGGTGATTGCTTGATTAGAAATAATCATACGAAAGAAGTTAGGCCGTTGCTTGTCAGGCTGATATCCAACCATTGTAGTTCCTCGCTCCATCATTTTTGCTTTGATTTTCGGTGCTATCTACGAGGAAAAAGAATTCACTTCAAGTCTTTCAATAAAAATATTTAGTTCTGTTGTAACTTCGAGTCAGAAATATGCGCAACTCTGAGAGTAGTAAATTAATTGTTGCATAGAAAAAATTTAGTCAAAGCAGAAAAGAGTAATTTGTAATTTAAAAAATGATTCAATATACAATCAGTTATAGTGGCGGGAAAATGGTAAGATCAATCAAATATTAGTTATTAGAGTAATTTTTCAGCAATAAAAACGTGTTAGTTTGTTCTAAAATTTGTTAGCTAGAGGTTTACGTTTTTTCATACTTTACTGTTACGATTTTTAATATTCGAAATAATTTTTAGATTTATCGATTCTCCCGTAAGTTTATGAATGAATTTGAACAAATATAGCTATTTTGATTGGCAAAATGTTAAAATTAATTCATTTACTTTGATGGCAATTAGATTTGACTTTTACATTTATTACTTATCTTTTCGTTATAAAAATAACTGCACACTTTTTCTTAATTAAAACTTTCACGAAAAATTTTTCAAATACAAAATCAATCTGAAAAAATGGGTTTGTGTAAAATCAGAAAATGAAAAAAGTTCATTCAGAAGCAATCACAAGCAAGCATTATAAATTAAGCATTGCAGTCAATAATCTGAACTAATAAATTTTGAAAACTATTTTTGAAAAGTAATTAAAGAATTTTTAAACCTTTTCTAATCGAGCATTTCGTTCAGCTTTGTCCATACACCGAAGACTTGGTGGTATATACCAGAAGCAAATGTTTAGAAACTCAGGCTAAACAAATCAGAATCAGTAATCGTTTTTTCATAAAACTAAATTAAGTTATAAATTTTTCAAAAGATATTTTGTGTAATATTGCATATTTCTGAAGTTACGAACCGGATCAACAACCAATTCATAGCCTTCAGTTTCTCGAATTCGAGCTACAAAATATGCAGTCAAGTCCATTAAACGATTAATTTGTCTGCGATATCCTTTCATGCCCTTAAAATTCTTACTTAATCATAAGTAACTCTTAAAGTACTTAAGTGAGATATTTTATAAGATTTAGCTATAAATTCTCTCAAATTCATCATCGCATTGATTTTAGAATATTAAAAATTTAAATATTTGTTTTTACTTGCATATGCGTTACGTGTAGTATGCATGACTTCACGTAACTATTATGAATGCAAATTTTTATGTTTAAGTAGACGGAACTTTGTACAAATCAGATTCATTTCAGTACTTTGGCATGCAGTCAGTACGCTTATCAAATAAATTATATCATTTCATAAACTTATCTTTTTAACACTAACACGCAAGATTTTTTAAATCGAGCTTTTAAAAAGATTTCTGCATTTTGTCAAATTTGAGCTATTCCATTCTTCCGCTTTCCCAATACATTGGAAATATTTCACGTGTATTTTGATAAACTTACAAACTATAATGCAAATATAGAAATCAGTCACATTTCAATGGTTACAAGAATTGAATTGGAACTATCGACGCACGTAAGTGAATAATTTGAATTGAAGCTCATCGCACAAAGATGTTTGTTTATTCAAAAGCAATGACTAACTTTTGACCGCCACATTAGCCAAAGTTTGAATATATCATTGTGTCGACCACACTGCATCGCTTTATCACCAGTATCGAAACTAACATCATAAGGTTTATCTTGTTGAAACAAGTAGTCTGCTGACATTTGGTTAGTTTGAAACAGAAGACCCTAAATTTGTGTGACCTCTGAGATTTTTGATAGTGTGAGAGTTCAAAATTTTTTTCACTATTTATTAAAGTTTCAAACTAAGACTTAGAAATACTTAAACAAACAACATATGATAAACAAATATGACAATGAAATATATTTGTGCTAAGTTATATAATTTCTGTCTAGCTACTGTAATCTGAAAACATGTATTCTTATCTGCCTCTTGTCTGATAAAACAAGTGCTGCATTGTAGTAAAGCTCCCATAAGTTTGTGAGCATTCCAAGTGACCGAATTCGCTCTTTCAATGCCGCATAATTTGTAGCGATGCTCCGGAGATAGCAATAATCCGCCACCCCAAGCGGCCTTTTGAATTATGCATATTTAGCAGTTATTTGAACAAATTTAGTTTCACGTGTTATCTTTCAATCTTTCAATGATTTTTTCAACACAGTGAAACGAAACAAATTGTGTATAAATTTCTTTATTTGCAGAAGTCAAGTATGTTTTAGTGCATTATTAAGACTGAAAATAATACGAAATTCAGACTTATTATTTTTGCAGTGACTCTTAACTCAATTAGAGTTTTAAAAATTAATATTAGATTGGAAAATAAATGATTGATTCCTTGAAGAAAATAACTTCAAAACAAACATCAACGTGAAGCCATAAGTTATGACGATCACATATATCTGCTATTTGTGGAATTGGATCCCACGCACCGTAAACTGTTGTTCCCGCTGTTGCGCATACGAAAAACGGCTCCAAACCTGTAATTATTGCAAGAAAAAATTTAAATTATGCTTGATCCTTGCCAAAAATGATTATAAAAAAGCATTTTTTTATCGAAGAAGCAATTTTTACTAATTTGCTGCAAAGTGTAATAAAACTGTGCAAAGCAATAATTTTATTTGGCTTTGATATCACTTAAAAAATGATAAAATACGAAACAGTTAGCCAATTTTAAATTCATTCTCAATTGTCAATCACACAGAAAGCCACTGTGTACTGTTGTCAAATTCAAAATAACCAAATAGAAAAGCAAAAATTTTCGCTAATTAATGGAAATTTTGCAATATTTGATAAGTTACCATCTCTTTTAGATTTTATAATGCATTGCTCTAATGCTTCAGGAATCATGCGTCCCGCAGGATCTGTCGGGATATTCAAGCAGTTATCTGTTCCAATACCCATAATAGCTGCTGCTCCTTTTATTGAATAATGACTCTAAAAGTAATTCTCACGCTAGCACAAACATTTATTATTAATCAAATCAATATTTAACCAAAGTATCGCTGCCAAAATACATTATTATATTTTTCGACAATGAGATGCAAATTTTTGATGATATAAAATGGTTAACAATTGGTGATTTAGAATCTTATCAACAGGTAATAATTGTCTACCATGACTATTTTATCTGCTAAAAAATTTATAAACTTTGCGTATTAACCAAATTATTCTTTTATTTCGTTGATTTCGACTGATTTTGATTAGATAATTTTGATGAACGAATTCTTACGTATTCAATCAAAGTTATACAAATTTTTAAGCTTTTTCTCACTTAAGAAAGTTTACGTATATCATATGTTTCTGAAATTAACAACTGCTAACGTCTTCTGATGCAAAAGCGCAGAGAGTTGGTATATCACCTTGCCCAAGTGGTTTGCATCTAGGAAAACGTGCGTGACGTGCAGCATTCATGGCGTATAAATTTGAAATAGCCCCACCTAAAGTTATTGCAGTAATGAGTAAATTTTCAAGAAAATTTTTTCTCAAAATGCTTGAATTTTAATATTATTTGTACCTGGAGCGAAAATGGCATCCCCTCCTTGCCAACCAATAAGTTCTATCATTTTTTGGCTTACTTCTTTTTCCATTAAAATGAAAACTGGAGCGATTTCATACGTAAACCTGTAAAAATTTGTTCCAAGTTTTTTATTCAGTATTTACCATGCAAATATTGGATAATTAACTATCAAATAATTGATTAGGAAACTGGATTCGCCCAAGTATTACTTATTAGAAAATTTATGGTAATATTTATAAGAATTATAGTAATTATAATAGAAACAAAATATAAATATCATAAATAATGGTTGTGTCAAGTATGGAGTTATGTAGTAATAACCAATAGTGGCAGATTAATCTTAATTAATTATTATCATATCAGACAATACGTAAAGATTGAGACATTACTTTGCAAGCTTCTAAAAATAGTAAATGTTTTGCAAGCAAACAAATTTATACGAATGCAAGCTGACATATTGGTATTAGCTGTAGCCGTTAGCCACTCTCCAGCCATGGATACCAGATCCAGTCCACAGGATATTTGATTAAAGAAGCGAGGATGTCCAGTACGAACACCTAGTTGAAGCACTTCTTGGCAATCCTATTCTATCCTTTTTTAGATTAACTTGAAAAAAATTTAAGCAATTCCAACTGCTTCTTTTATTTCTACAAAATAAACAAATAAATACTGTTACTTGACAAATCTATTACTCTAAAAAGTTGGTCTCTTCTTTGCTATTAGAAATATGCTACACGCAACTTGCTAATCGAGAATCAAATATAAATGGATGGAATCAACTTGAATCTTGTTAAGCTAAATTTTGAAACTTGGTTTGGCTCCCCAATATTCAGGTCTAGGTCTGATTTTGACTAGCAAAATCTTGCAAAGTCAGTATTAATTAAAAATTTAGTATCAGATAATTTTTTTAAAAAGTGACTGGAAATTTAGTACAATTAAAAAAATCTTTCAGAAACTTGTCATGACTGACATGTAGCTTAGTTACCTGCAGTAGCTCTCGCAAAGTACGAGGCTGATCTGGAATGCTGAGATCTATTAGCTTTTCCATCTCGGCAGGATGATGGAAATGCAGAATTTTAGTGCTTCTTTGGTTTTCTTCTCTAATATAATCAAGAAGAATTTTGACAACTTCTTCCAAAAACTTTTCCGTACCGTGCCAGTTTTCTTGATTTTGAGGCAAGATTTCTAATAACGAAGCAGTCAGTAATGCATATGAATGATAATTGAAAGGGAAGAAAATAGAATTATCAAACCAAGCAGTGGTAACAAAGGTCCATCAACAAAATTTAGCAATAATTTTATATAACCAAAAAGTACTACTTTTACCTTACAAATGCATCCTTATTCTTTTCAATTTTCATCCCATAAATTAGGAATAGTACAAATTTTGAATAAGTTATGATGATTTTTCCCCCTCATGCAATGCTGTGCAAATATTTGTGACCTATGTGCAGAGTTATTAACTGGCAGTTATTCAAAATAAGATATTGCTCATAATTTTATTCATTAAAGTTTTGTTTTCATATCAAATTTGCAATTTATTTGTTTAACAAATTAGCAACACAGTTCAGACGTAATTACCTTATGTTAAGCAATCATGCGGATCACAGAATTCCTGCATTAAAAGTATTATAATTGAACACTCAATTTGCAAAACCAATACTTACAGTCAGAAAAGATTAATTTACATATTGAAAAAAATCTTTAGCGATAGCAAAACTGTAATTACCTGAAGCATATAGCTCAGCCAGATCATTAGAAGGATGCGAGATATTCGACTGCATGATTAAGAATGTCTCAGAGACAAACACTTGGTTGGGATAATGTCATTTGGTATAAGAAAATCGGTGTCATGGACAAAATTTAGCGAAAACAGCAGACTTTATGAAGCTCAACCAAGTGGAAACATATTGGATGAGAAACTAAAGTAAATGCAATCATACTAGTACTAGCGTGAAGTGATGGGCCAGAAATGATTTGGACCCTTGAAGACGAAAAAAGGATTACAATGCTTCCTGCTAGTCCTTATTAATACCACCACTCCATGGTATACGGTAACTTCAAGATTTTTTAAAGATATTCTCATCTGATGTATTCATGTTTTTAGAAGTGAAAAGCACTTCAGAAGAACAACAATTGAAGAGTTTCTTGTTCTTTTGTTTGTCAATTCTCTTCATATAAGCATTAGTTTGTAAACCGAAGACATCTATCTTTCTGGCAGAATAAATTGATAAGCGCACAACTGCATTTATTGACAAATTTATGTCTTTCTCACGACTAACTAGTTCCTCTATCATAGACTAGAACCATATATAGTTTTGACTTCATAGTCTTGCTTCCATTTAAAGGAAAAACAGATTAATAAACAATTATAATTTAGAAATAAGACTGCCATTTGATTTCAGTTTATTTCTGAAACTACTGAAATTACTCCATTAGACCTCTTCGAACAAAAATGAGTGAAGAACAAAACAAATTTTTGCTTTTAAAGTAAATTATCACTAAAATTGACAAAAATGGATGTGAGTTTCACACTGAGCGTAAAGTTATGATTAGGATAAATAAACAAAAACGGCAAACATTTACAGTTATTCACTTCTTAAATTCAATATTTAAACTTTTCAACCACAAGTAATTTCGGCTTCAAACTCTCATCATATTCAGTGTCATAAAGCTCATAATACAAGAAAAAACATCTAATACAATGCTCTTACTGAAACAAACAAAAAGAACAAAATAGCCCTCCTCTACTAACAATTTTAAATAAACCAGTACATAAGTGAAAAGTTGATAAATAATTAATATGTTTCCTCAACACATTAAGCATCTTTTTTATTAGCGTCACACAATCTTTTGTGCCAATTCTGCGCCAGTGAATTGATAATTGATAGCAAAAACCAAACTATCATACCGGTAACAAAGTATGAGGCACATTTCTGTAATATGGTACCTTCCTGAAATTTATACCTCCCAGTTACTGCGAGAAACTTTTTGTCTAAAATTTGCATAAAGTTTATACTGACACATTCAGTTTCAAAATAACCAGTACCACTGTCATTTATCATTTGCCTTACTTATTCACCACAAAAAAATCAAGAGATTATGATCATTAAAAATAAAATGAAGTATAAAATATAAATTAGTTTACTACCCATAAATACATTATGAAATCTAATTTTAAGACTCAAGAATTACCTCAGCATTTAAAGGTCCATTTTCCCGATGAAGCCTTACTTTTTGAACCATTAAAAATTCCATTATTTTCTGATGAAGATGAGTGCCTATTAGCGGAATGGTTCTGCAAAAATTTTTGTATTGAGAAAGATCACAAGAGAATTATACAGCAGACAATTATGTTTAAAATCGAAGATATTGCTTAACATTACAAATACTACAATAACTTGATAATACCAGATAATCAAGATTTGGAAAACAATGAAAAAACTAACTTTAGGCGGACTACCAGATGTTCTACTGTATTTTCACTGAAAGCCAGGACAACAAAAAACATCTGCAAAAGATTTTTTGAATAATAAATAAATACATCAACAAATATTGCATAAAAATCGAGAAACAGCCTCAAACAAACGAGTAAATAATCTCAGTCGAAAAATCAAAACACCTGAAGATGCATTTTGAAAATAGCTTTGCCGATGAGAGTCGCCAAAAAAAACTTCCAAAACGGGACGAGAAAATGACCGCATGTAATACCGGCCAAATCGAAGAATGGATTGGGTATCTAAAGATTTAGAAACTTATGTATTTTTTCAAATTCGACATGATGTATAGAAAACCCAAGAATTAAACACTTTGGTCGTAAGTTCAGCTTTAGAAATGATATGCTAGACACGTATACAAGACCTATGATATCGAGATGGAAGCTACCACACATTGTGATCACTGCTGTTTCTACAATACTTTCTGCATGTGAGCAAATTAAATTGAAAAGTTCATACTGAAGCAAAAGAAAGAATTCCAAAAAATCCAAGTTTGGTAACCGCGTTTTCCATCACCTCTTTGCATTTTTCAGTAAACGTCGGTGCTTTAGGTCCATTTCGATTGATATAAGCTAAAAACTCCCTGAAACCATATGCACGACTGGACTATCTTCTTAAATTACACGTTACACACCAATATCAGACTGATAAATATAACTTAAATCACTAAACAGTAAATACCTATATTCTTCATCATCTGGCTCCTCCCCTGAAATTCGGGCTGCCTTTGCCATGAAATACGGGGGTAATTCGCCCAAAGCCGTGCCAGCTCCCCACAAAAGCGACTCTATTCGAACCTTAAAAAATTTTTATAGAGAAGGAATACGCATTATTTCTTGCCAATATTTTTAATTACCATACTTTTGACATTATCGACCACATTGTGATCACTGCTGTTTCTACAATACTTTCTGTATGTGGACAAACGATTCTAAAACAGAAAAATCACACAGGACGTGATGAAACAAACGACCAAAAATAGTAATATTATTTAACTTCCAAGATCTTCTTCTTTTTGAAAAACTTTTTAAAAAATATTTGTCACTTTCATTTACAGAAATCAGTACTGATTATAAGTTTTAAGACACCTTTCCGGGTAAGGTGGTTCTGGAAAATCAAGTGAATTGCATTCGTAGGCTGCCATTGTAACAGATGCTATATGTGGTCCCTGAAAACTGATATTACAAAATAATTAAAATTAGTCCTATCGCTGTTTTTTTTTTTGAAAGAATAACTAAATATTTTGAAGTTGTCAAAAATGCATTTGAATTTCAAGAAAAAGTTACTAAATATAATATAAATGTGTGAAGACCAGTGCCAAGTCCAACAGATGATAATATTCCAAGACCTATCCAATAAAAACATCGCAATAACTTAGTTTTCCAACTTTGAACGTATTTTTGATGAATGCCAGGCAAATAACAGATATATGTTCCAACAGCAAACATTAATATGATGAATGATATGTTAAACTTTTGTCGCCATAAACTGAAAGCAACAATTTAAAAAAAAAAAAAAAACTTTTTTTCTTGATTGCTTGTCACTGATAAATTGTTTATGACTTAATACTTCATTACACTGCAAACAATTTTTTAAAAAGTTTAAAAACTAAAAAAACTTTAATTTTTGGTTGTTACACAAGAGCAATAGTAAAATTAAACACACACACGTTTTGTTAAATATTAGAAATTAAATTTCAGTGCTACAGTACCTAAATCAAGATCTCATTCACACAGCCATGCCTTCAATCACTCCCAATTTCAATATCAAAACGCACCAACGAATGAATTCAACAAGCAGCTGCAATATTTCTCGCACAGCGTAGTGAACTGTTTGACAAGGTCTTTTCCACAGAACAATTTTTTGGCGTTCCAACCTATTCAAGGTTGCAACTGATGGGCTAGTTATTAAACCTCTACCACTCGGTTTCATGTAATAGTCACTGCAGCGATATTGAATGATATAAGGATAATTATAATAAAATCCTAATTTAATCAAATAAGAGATTAGCAAGCACTCATTATTAATTGAACTGATTTCTGTAGTTTATGATTTACTGAACTGATATTTTTATGCATCTTTGCACAAAACAGACTAGTTAGTTATATTATGTTTACCACAAATATATATATATAAGTGAATTTGTTCAAAATAAATTGATTTACCTGCGTTCCTTAGACGACCCATCAAATGTCACCTGCCTAGCAAACGACTTGGTCCCATTAGAAGATGTTGGAAGAGCTTCTTCGGATTGTTGAACATGACTTCGTTTTTTCTTGCCCATGCCTTTCGTGCAAAAAACTACACTTAAATACCCCTCCTTAATTAAAGTTTGCATGAAATACAAGACCGAGAAACATCCTCTGAGTAATTTCTCACACAAAAAACAAAAACATAGCACTGGAATAAAATTTTCTGCGATTGCTCACTTGTACCTGTTATAAAAATGAAGAGTGAAATTTAAACTAATACATAAGCACCTTAATTATTACTTCTACTATTAAGGGTAAAAGCAATTGTTCCCCCAAACTTTCACGAATATGACTTCAAATGATGAATAGAAAAACCGCTACATTACAACAATACCCTTTTTTACCACTGTCATCAAATACTGCATCAGATTTATGCGATATTTCATCAGATTAATAACATACTACATTAAACGCCGCTTTCGCATGCTTTATAAAAATGCAACTAAAAGTAAAATTCAGCTCAGGTGAAACTTAAAAGCATTGATAAAATGCTGACGCTTATTGTAGTAACTTGCTGACTGCAAAACTCAGAGAATGGAAATATTTCATTCAATAAGTCTAGACAACTCAGAACGAAGGTATGCAGCCATCAAACGAGAAAGACCCATAAACATACTCGTGTATCTTTTGAATATTCTCTTTCAAATGACATTACGGCCCAATAGAACTGACCGCTGTGAAAACCTAATTTCCATCACCATCACTACAAAACCATGGTAGACATTCAACACTAAATGTGAGTAAACACGCAAACAAAGGTCTTTATAGAAATCAGTTCAATCACGCAACACATATAACAGTAAACAGACTGCTAAACACAGCTGAAGTGTACTGTTATAGAAAAAGAAGCAAATAATTCGAAGTGATAACAGGAAACCAAGACATATCACAACAGTGTTAACAATGACAACTCAACCCCTGAATGAGAGATATCTTCACTCACATAATAGTTTTCGTAACTTTGGCAACCATGTATACTTTCCATCATCATTTTCTTTCTCTAACTCTTCACATACCTAAAAACTTTTCAGCATTAGCAAAATGTAACTATTCGTCTACAAATAATGTTTAAACGACGCAAGATGTCAGAAGGCAGCATCAAAATTGTGTACTTAAAACTCAAATTTCAATTTTTTTTCACTGTGATATCAATCAAAAAAGTGAAAACTAACTTTCTTTCCTAAAATTTCGCATGTTTTGGAAACAACATCTTTATGCAATTTTGCACCTTTGATCTCAGTACTGCCCTTACAATGAAGTTCTTTAACATGACTAATAAGCGTGATAAACAACTGGCACAAAAATACTCGCTCCCAACGAGTTAATGAAGTATCCTGAAAAGCAAGAAAAGTATAAATTTATTCCTATTTTCAAATATTCAATTATAAAAAAATTTGCAAACTAGCTTTTGCTTTTTTTTTCTAAAAAAATTGCTAAACAACTTTATTCATGTAAGAAGATACGAAAAATGACCTGAAAAGTCAAAACAATCCAGGACTGAAAATTTTGCCGAATATACAAATCATTTGCGACTGATCGATGTACCAAGATAGAACGAAGACATAATAAAATATATTTTTTTGTTTCTCTGTCAGCAACAATGCTTCCAAATAGTGATAAAAACAATTTAATTCCATATCTAAAAATCGAAAACACTTTACATGAACAAAGAAGTATGAAAGTGCCAGATTAACATATGATGAACCAAAAACTAACAAACTTAATGATTAAGTCATCCAAAAATTATTCATAAGTTATTATGTAATTTTTTTTCATTTATTACAAGGAAAAGAATTGTACATGTTCATCTTTGAATTTTGACAAGTATAAAATTCAAATAAACCTTTTTTGGAGAATATTGTAATCGTTAGGTTCAATAAGTGAATCTAATATCAGACGCAAACACCAATGCCTTTCTTCATTATGATATTGAGTGCTCGAACTTAAAAGGAGTTTGTAAATTTCTGGAACATTTCCAATATCAACACTTGGTTTCAGCAACAAAAATGACATCACTGGCTGGTAGACTGGATCTTCAGGATGTAAAATCAACTTGGTAACTCTAGCAAAGAAATGTGCAACAGCTGAAAATAAAATATTTTGCAGCGAAAAACTGCAATAAATGCAAAACAAGTCAACATCTTTTAGATTATTTAGTTATTGTGGTGAAAATTTATTAAAATGAGAAAAAAGGACAACATTTGCAACCATTTATGGAAAATGAAGTAGCACAAAGACGGAAAGCAAAAATTTTTTAAGTCCTTTACCTAGTATTTCTTGAATACAACCTAGATGGACAGTAACTGATTTATAATCGACAAGACTGCTGTGTAAGAAATATTAAAAATTGAAAAAAAATTTCTAATTTGTTCAAAGTATTTTTCATTCCACAGAAATAAAAACTCTGACCATGTGGCAATCGTTGCATAGGAGTTTGAATACTGTTCTTGAAAATTTGTAACAAATAAATATACAAACATCTTTCCGCAAGCAACTCTGAATTCAGCTTTGTTAGCCGAGATAAAAAACGGCTTAGGACAAAATAAGCAATGCAACGTTCACTACGATTGACGAAAGCTGTAGCTGCAAATGCAAATGATAAGCCATTCACATCAATAAATTTTCGAAAGTTCATCTGAAATAAAAAACTGAATTATCGTGCAGTTCTCATCACGTACTATATAACATTTCATGTAACACCATCAGCTGGCAGGAATGTTTGTTCGACAAAAGCCATTAATTTAAAAGAATAATATACACCTCACTATCATCACTGATCAATGTTGCCAAAAGTCGAAGTATGAACCGAGCGTCATATAACTGATTGGAATTTTCTTGTCCAAACATATTGACAGCAGTAGTTTGTTCCGATCCAAGTAATGTATTCCACATAAGCTTGGGATTCAAATAATCCAAAACCTATATGCAACACAACTGAAACTAATGACCAACAAACATGACAAATTACTCAATTAAATAGAAATTATATGAAAAATTTAGAATATTAAGTATATACCTGATCAGTGGTGAGTTTGGTATGCAAAGCCTGACCCAACTGTCTTAGCTTATCATAATTATCTTTAGCTCGTTCTCCCCATACTAGTGGAAATAAAGGTCTAAAATATACCATAGTTATTTTTCTAAAATCAATCACATCGATATGAATAAATTGCGTCTTTTGTATACAAAGAAGCAGTTGCACAGAGATAAAATACCATACTTCAGAGGAGTTTGATACGACCTTTCTAACACGCTGAGAATATCAAAGATAGTCTTATCCCTTTCTGACTGCATAGCTCCATATTGACAAAGTAAAACTATCAGAAATTTTTGCTCAATTCTTGATTTTACAAGTTGTACTTTAGATTCCTGTAAGAAGTACTTGACTATATTTCAACTTAGTTCAAATAATGCAATGAATGAATACATAAGAATGCCTGGAACTAAAAATTAAGTTGGTACAGAACAAAAAAGGAACTTCAAGGAGCCGACTTAAATTCAGGTCAGATATAACTAGGAAGTCTAACATCATCTTTCAAATTTTGTAAGCAATCTCGAAGTGTTAGAAGAAGAGTAATATTTAAGTTCCTGTTATCCACAACAGCATCAATAATATTATTGACCACATTATCATCATACTCTCTTCCGTGCAATTTCTTGCGTTTCATCATTAATCAGCCTTAATGAGCAAACTTCCGTCCCAATTCATAACACTCACGATTTCTGCAAATACTAAAAACTTTGGTAATGCGGACTGATGAGTTACTACGTTAGCAATTAACGAAGTTTAGTGAGCCATTTTAATTCCATTACTCACAAAAAAGAGTCACAGAAGTTGATTCTTGAACTAATTAAGTACTTCAACACCATCTGGGCAATAATAAGTATCCACAACTTTTATAAGATGAAAACTTTCTACTCCTCACAGGAAGACTGAAGCACTGAACTATTATGAAGTCCTTTGACCTATATCATGTTCAGTTCACTTCTGCTGTAATGATATGAATAGTCTCATCACGAATATTGCTTGTGAAATAATTCAGTACTAATCGATTTGCGGAAGAATGAAAATTATTCTCGTCCACTTGCTTCATGTGATGTGTGTGGTTTGGTGATTGGTCGTTGACTTATTATAGTCTTGTTTCACGTTGATATTCTTGTACTCAAACGGTAGCGTATCTTAAAAGAAAGATATTCACGTTTACTCCTGAACTTTTCTATTTAGAACTGTATTGTGATTAAGCTAACATATTTGGTCTTATTGGTAGCATTGAATAGTTTATAGTTTCTGGACTCTCAACTGTTTACCGCATTAGTCATATGAAATGAAAATATCCTAATTTAGTTCTATAATTTTTTAAAAATTTTACCTTTTGTTCATTCTGATATTTATTGTTTCTCCACATTTGATGGAAAAACACTATTATGTTAGATATGTAAATTGTTTAATTTGTGCAAAAGTCAGTTTAGATCTGTATTTACAAGTGTGATATTTTTCCAGGTAATTGGTGGTTGCGGAAGGATTAATAAAAGTCCTGCATTATTTCAGAAATTAGATGACGGAAGTAAATCATCATCCACTAAAAGCTGAACAACCTCAAGAAAATGAAACAAATTTAGAAGATGTTGCCAAAGCATACTTGGAGGTACGGCAGCGGAAAGAAGGACCGCTGGCTGCCCCATTAGATGCTAAAATCGCAGCAATGTTGCCGAAAGTAAGAATCCTGACCCAATTCTTTGTATCTCAGGGTGTTGTATTTTCATGATTTAATTCAGGATATGACAGTGGGTAATCATGAAAAAGAGCGAGACAGAGAGAAGGAAAAGGAAAAGGAAAAGGAAAAAAAAGATAGACGTAGTCGTGATAGAAGTCGAGACAAAAGCAAAAGTCGTGATCGCGAAAGACGTCGCCGAAGCAAAAGTCGAAGTAAAGATCGTGAAAGGCGAAAATCACGATCGTAAGATTGAAAATTTATTGTTTTAGACTTTAGTACTGAATTGTACGGTGTTTGCGTAAAATCGACATGCGGGTTTCTTCTGATAGAAATAAATTAATGTTAATATTTGTTCCAAATTTCAGTGAAGAAAATGAAGTCAGTAAAGAAGTAATTTTTTTAAAGATTTTCTTGTCATCTTGTTGATCTAAATATGGTTTTTTTAAAGTTTACTTTTGTTTTTTGCGTAAATTTCTCAGAAAATTGATGGAAGCTGTTCGCATTTTACTATTTTTAAAACTGCAGTTTTGCTAACTTTATGAGTTTTAATCAGGAAAATTTTGTTACCTACAGTCTTAAACACGCTTTTTTAAGCCGTGAAAGAAGGCATCATCATCGAGATCGGAGCCGAAGTAAAAGTCGTAAGGAGCGGACACCTGAAAAACAAAAGAAGAAGTATAAATTCTGGGATGTTCCACCAGCTGGGTACGAGCACTTAACACCAAAAGAGTACAAAGAACTGCAAGGTTCGTTCTGTTTTATCAATATTTTGTGTTGCTTCAATTGGAGTTTGTCAGTCCTGGTACTCTTTAGCTGCTGGACAAATACCACGAAATAATGTCCAGTCAGCTGTACCTGTTGTTGGTCCATCTGTCACTTGTCAGTCGCGACGTCTTTACGTTGGTAATATACCATTTGGCTGCAGTGAAGATGCAATGTTGGATTTTTTCAACCAGCAGGTTCCGTTTTAAATTTAGTACATGTTAAGATATATTTCCTTTGAGAACTATTGCTTTTTTTTTTTTTGCTTCATGTGCTTGAATAGAAGGTTTCTGTTTGCAGTTTGTTAGAATGCAAAAAATATTGTTCTTATTTATGTTAAGAAAATTAATTATTTTGCAATCAATTTTGTAATTAAAAAATAAATACTTTCTTGTGTTTATTTTTTAATTACAAAGTTGATTGCAAAATAATTAATTTTCTTAACATAAATAAGGGCAATATATTTTAATTACATACTAGGCAAAATTATTTATTGATATTATATATGTAATGTTTTTATCTAAACATTATGCTTCTCTTTCCATGATTGTTAAAATGCGTAGTGCTGAGCTAAACATCACATTCTTTATTGACTCTCAATAAAGTTAAAAATCTTTAGATGCATCTTTGTGGACTAGCTCAGGCGCCAGGTAATCCAGTGCTAGCATGTCAAATGAATCTTGATAAGAACTTTGCTTTTATCGAGTTTCGATCTATCGATGAAACAACAGCAGGAATGGCGTTTGATGGCATTAATTTTATGGGGCAGCAGCTCAAAATACGAAGACCACGAGATTATCAACCCATGAGCACCAGTTACGATTTAGGGAATATGATGGGTCAATTTTTGAATTTTATGGCTACTTTGATCGTTTATATTCCACTTAGTGGAAATTGGATAAAGAAAAAGAAAAAAATGATAAGAAAAAGTCTTCATTTTTCTGCCATAATGGTGCGAAATTTTTTATTATACATCTATATGCTTACCTAAACTTTATGCTTGTTTTATTCTATGATTGTTGAGAAGCTTAGTGCTGAGTGAAACATTTCATTGTTTATTAACTTTCGTAATTGATTTCAGTATCCAATATCGTGCCAGATAGTCCACACAAAATATTTATTGGCGGCCTGCCAAGTTATCTGAATGCTGAACAGGTTTGTTAACGAATTATCTACTTTGGTGGTAGACTATGACTGGGTACTCAGTAAACAAAGTCAGACCGACATTCTTGGTTCTGGAAAACATCCTTCTGGATAATTTTCCGTACTTTCATCTCACTGATGGTGGCTGTCTTCATCGTGGTCCAAATTTTTAAGATTATTACTACCTTTAGTGCTCGACTAATTCGGCCACATTTTTCAGTGGCCGTCAGTCACGAGATGCGCTCTGTTTACACTGTTATTCGTGATCCAACTGAGTCCGATAATGGAGAAATTGTTACAACAGATCTTATTACCATTTCCCCCATATTTCCCATTTTTAGGTTTTCAGGGTCGAGGTCGAAAAGCATCTGTATAATGGGTCGGCATACGAAATTTCCTTTGAAATTTGATCTTTTGTAATTGGCCCTTTAGAATGAGATTCTTATTAGTAGCTTGTATTTGAAGTTGGGTTCTGCTGTGAAAAAGGGAAAAATTATAGATATCGTTCAGTGAGCAGTTGTGCTCGTTTTTCAGATTTTTAGAGTAATGGTGAAATTGGTGCTTAGCAACTAGTTCCGAGTAAGCTGTTTTAAACTATTTCATGTTTGAGTTAAACTTCCATTATTCGTTCCCGCACATTCCTAAGGAGATGGAATGCACTTACATCATGACATTTAAGATGTCTAGTGAGTTCAGGTCGTTCAGAGCTGGAGAGAAGGTGTGATTTTCTGAGAATTTCTTTACACAGCATAGTTTTAAGAAGTCTTTCAGGTGAAAGAGCTTTTATCTTCTTTCGGACAGTTGAAGGCGTTTAATTTAGTTACTGAGCAGTCTACTGGTGTTTCGAAAGGTTATGCCTTTGCAGAGTATTTGGATCCGTCTTTGACAGATCAGGTTTGGTTTGAGACAGGTTAAACTTTTTATCTGAGAATTCTTCTGAAATCATAAATTTCATTATTATGATAGAATATTATTTTGTTAAGGAATATTGTACCACATACGGGAAATGAATATGGGAAGAAGATGAATATTATGGAATAAAAAAGTCTGAGTATTTTTTCAGGCAATAGCGGGCTTGAATGGGATGCAACTTGGAGATAAAAACCTCGTTGTACAACTTTCATGCGCCAACGCCAGAAACAATGTTACGCAAAATACGTTCCCTCAGATTCAGGTGGCAGGCATAGATCTATCTCATGGTGCTGGACCACCGACTGAAGTGCTCTGTTTAATGAACATGGTTACCGAGGACGAATTAAAAGATGATGAAGAATATGAAGGTATGAATTAAAGTTTGCATGGGAACAATTTAGTTTCTTCGAGAACAGTCAATTTATTTCTCTTATGTTGTATTTTATTGTGTATTATGTAACTGGAAATAATCACAATAATTGCAGACATTCTGGAAGATATTAGAGAGGAATGTGCGAAGTATGGTATTGTGAAATCATTGGAAATACCCCGTTCAGTACCAGGAGTGGATGTCACAGGTGTTGGGAAAGTATGTTTTTTCATTTGTTGCTTTTTGTTTGGAGTTGGATTCAAGATTAAGTCTTAAGTCTCATCTATAGTTATTTACAAATTTCACTTACGACGTTACTATAAGTGTAATTTGTTAATGAACGTAGTATGCATGAAGGAATTCCCGATGAACAAAGTTTTTGTTTAGTTAAATTGTTCTGTATACCATTTGTTGACATTTGAACTTTTTTTTAAAGGTTTTCGTGGAATTTAATAGCAAACAAGAATGTCAAAAAGCGCAAGCTGCCCTTACGGGGCGTAAATTTGCAAATCGAACAGTAGTGACAAGTTATTACGATCCAGATATGTATCACAGAAGGCAGTTTTGATGAATGTGCAGCTAATATTATTTTTGTTCTTTGGTTTTCGTAGATTACCAATAATTATGGAGGGGTTTTTTCGTTTAACCCAATGAAGTTTCCACAGTAATTTTTTTTTAATGGCATATTTATTGACAGACGTTTATCAGAAATGTTAAAATAGTTATGAAGCGTCTTAGTCTTCATTTTTTTGTTATTGATGAAATGAACTGTAACTTTTATCGCTATTATAAGCTGCTGTAAATGTGTACAACTTTGTTCCTTCAAGCGCTAAATTTTCAAGTGTTGACAAGCGAAGTTTTGTACCATTATTCTATTTATGTGTCCCTAGATGATATTTTGATATTTCAATATTATGTAGGATTTGGTCAATTTCATGCGCATAAAATTGAGTCCAATTTTACTTCATAACAAATATTCAATTAAACCATGTAAAGAAAATCAGCAATTTTCGAGCCATTGTTCTTTTTAATTAGTGGAATAGTGTTTGCCGAATTCTGTTGCGTTTTTGGCATATGCATCAGGATCTTTCATATAGAGTTCAGCAAGGTCGTTTCGAAGCACGCAACTAAGTTGTGGTGAGTTGAATAGGTCTATCAACGCAGTCAAAACTGGAATATTCTGGTTTATTCCTGTTGAAGGTGGAAGTACTGGAGTATGGCTGGCATACATATTTCGAAAAGAATTGTACCGCAAAGTCTAGCTCATCCTTATTGTAACTGTTATTATCGTATTACAAATAAAGATAGTCTTTAGATATCTCTTGCTTCTCGAAACAAAAAGATTGCAGTTAATTAAATAGATGTACATATCATCCTTGCATGTCTTACAGCAAGAGACTTGAAATGTGTACGAGATCCAGTACTTTTTTGCACTAGTATATAAGTGTTGGTGTGTTCATAAAAAGTGATTAAGGAACCAACCGTGGTCAACTTTCACTGATGGCTTCCAGTTTTCAGGATTCGCAATGGGGAGTGATACCTGTTGTAGTGCACATTTTTTAGGACTTTAGTAGTCAAAAATGTTTGAGAAGGGTTTTCGAAAAAATAGTTTGAATTTTTAAAAGTTCGCAAAATCTTTAGTGGTTGGGAAGAGCAGCTTACATCGCCTTTTTCACTTATGTTTGGGTGGTATATTTTTGTAAGAAATTTGATGTTTGGTGCCTTGAATGGGTATTCCTTGGGAAATCGAAATTGCACTTGATAATCACAGATGTTATACGGTGAACGATTCTATTAAATTGTAGAATTAAGTATTATATAGCATTAGTAATTTAATAATCATTTGAAAGAGTATTGTCGATTGTCGGCGTAAAATATTGTCTGGAAGGTGGTTGGTTAATTTACTTGAGAAAAGCTAATCAAGAGGTTTCTGTAATTCTTATGAAGTGAATTAGTAAGAATGGAAAAGTACTGAAAATTTCTTACCGGTTTTAGCAACACCAACCATGTATTGGGATCAGTTTTTCCAGCATCTTTTATCTCGTATAGTCTAAACTTGTTCTCTTGAATCTCTGTCAATTCCTAAAATTTACGCCTTTAAAACAAGTATAATCTTACGCTTAGCAAAGGTATTCTCGGCTTATTTCGGCTTCTAATACCTTTTTGAGTCTTACTGCTCCAATCGATTCCATTGCAGCCGTAGATGAACGCTTCTAACGCAAGTTTGAATTACAAGTCCGAAATAGCAGGAATTAATAACAACAATTATTGTGATGAAAATATGCAAAAGAAGAAGACAATTTTGCTATAAAAAGATTCTTCGTGCAAATGCACTGATCAGTTTGGTTGTTCTGATAGAAAGCAAGGAGAAGTGGTACTTTCAGTTGCGTTCTCTCAGAATATGCCAGGAGATGCCGAATTCGGAAGCGGACTTGTAAGTTCGCTCAGTTTTGTTGTTCTTACTGAAGGAAACACTTCAGTTTGGCATTTTTATATCCCAGATATGATAAAAATTGCTGTAGAAGTCATTATAACAGAGAATCTTAATTTTGACTGCTCTGTATTTGTGTATTAGAAATAGCTATCTTTATCAGCGCATACTGCTAAATTGGCTTGTTGGGCAGAACAGCAATGTGAAATATTCAAAATTTGCAAATAGTTTCATTTGAACTGAGGGCTTTGCTTGAAGCTATTCTGAAGCTAAGTGCAATTTGTATCAAGCTGAAGTCCTAAATGCCTTTACTTTAAACTGCTGCCTTTAGCGAGTATATTTAATGCATTCGGAAGGATTGGCCTGGAATGTCTGATAATTTGAAATTATGACTGCTTGTCACATTTTAACTGGCATTTTGAATTTTCTTATTATAATTCTGTACTGTGATAACTGAACAACTTTGTGTTGATTTATTTATTTATTTACTGAGATGATTGCAGCGAAGGACGAGTAGTCGACGTCATAAAAAACGTCGAAATAGGCGTCCAGCAGAATATGATGATTGGGACGAAAAAGATAAGGAATACTATGAGGTGTGATTACTTTTGATTGTCAGTTATTTTTATCGTCATTATTATCTACTATCATGATTACAATTATCACAATACTCTATAATTAATCGTATCGTACATTTAGGATGTTACACTTGCTTTGCGACAGTGGAAAGTAGCACAAATGCAATGTCAGTTACAGCGCTTCAGAATTGGCTTTTGGAAATATTTTAAGGTATTATCTGAAATTAGCATCATCTCATGTAATAATTTTAGTTTTATTTTTTGCTCAAAAATTTTGCATTAAAAGAAAATTGTGGCAATATTTATTGGCTTACAAAAGTGAACGAATTCATTATCATCAGTTATCACAGTTATAATTACCAGAGGTACAATTAAAAGAACTCACTACGAATGTTTTCCGATTTTGAATCTGATCAAAAACAAGTTAATATGGAATGAATTAGTTGATTGCCGTGTGGAGTGAATAAATAATTTGCAGTTTAAAATCTCGAAACATCCGTTGTATGCTGCTGAAATGAAAGATTACAAAGCAAGTTTGGAAGCATTTAAAGCTATAAAAAAAAACAAAACTCTTGATTTTGATTATTGAATTCCTTTGTACTTGAATCTATTCAATTACTTTTTAACATTTTACGTGAAACTTATCACTGATACAGTATGTGAGTATATCATAATTTTCTATTGTAAAATTACACAAAAACATAAATTCTTTTATTGTAATTACTTCAAAGCAATAAATATCTGTTTACTGTTCGCGCAAGCTATGAAGATGAACCCTACTTCCCACCATATCAATCACTCATTTGTGATCTGACCTGCTAATTCTTCTGTATTTACTGTAAGTAGTCGGGTGGATATGAAGTAAGGGACTTTGCTAAGAATAGAATAATTTTTAACCTTATTTTGGAGCTAAATCCTAAAAGTATTACAGTTATTTTAGTCTTTAAGTAAATTTTCAATCACATTACAGTTCCAAAACATTTTCATTGTTTTATCCATTTTTTCTAAGTTTTTTGCAGTGTGAAAAGGTTGCTTTTATATTATATTTTGTTCAGTCTCTAATAGTTAAACAATAACGGTTATTTCTGTTCTGAAGTCTCATTACCAAACATCAAAAGTAATAATCACTTTTTATAAGATTCCTTTTATGTGCACGGATTACTGTATCAAAACTTTGTCACAATAATACACTATGTACTGTATGATCCTTAGGTGCATTATTTCTAGAGTTTAGCAACTCGTTCTTAAGCCAGTTCATATAAAATTAATTTATATATCTGTAAATATTCTAATCGTCCGTAGTTCTCGTAGTACTTTTTGTCTCTTATTTTCACATTATTTTGAGTGAATGGCAGTTAGACGGAAGAAAGTGAAAAATTGTGTATTTTTTGGTTAAAATTATTTTTTCAGTGTAAAAACATTTGCAGAAATAATGCCAGACCCATTTGCACAAATTTTTTCATTTAATATTTTGTAATGTTTAAAGAAGTAAAAATTTGACTTCTAATTTATTAGTTTTCTTTCACTAAATATATTTTATATTCTTTCATCAAATGTATTTTGCACTTTTTAATTAATTTTCTCTCAATATATATTTTTCTTTGGTGATTAATTTGGATGAATACATGGACAAAAATGTAAACGTAGCGAGGAAGCGGGTTGTAATTGTCTTGAACTGTTGAGTAAAGTGACAGATTCAGTGATCAGTGCTGCGTAATCTTCTCAAAGTTAAAATTTTAGACCTTCCATAATAGAAATCATAAATTTTCAAAACCACTTCTTAAGGTAAACGTATATGAATGTATATTCATATTAATTACATAGATCTTGAAGTTTACTTAATTTTGTGCATATGTGATCATTATCTCACTACTGTATGCCTGGATTCTTGCAATGAATTGAATTTGGTAGTAGGCAATATGAATTGTTTGTCAGTGAAAGATGTAGTTATTAGGCTGTTTAGTTGTATAAAAGTATTTCTTTTCTTGCCAATCTTTTAACAAACAAATAATTGAATATGTAATATAAACAAAAATATGATTTCAACAAAATTTTTTCAATAAATAGGACTCTTTTACAACTAGTTCTGCATCAACGACACTTAACGGATATGCAGTTTGGTAGTTCATTAGTTCAATTTACGAAACATTTTTTTACATTTTTAGGGTCATTGAGACCTTGTCTCAGAAATTGATAATCGGATAGCAAACGCTTTTATGAGCAGTCATCACAACACTAGTAATGGTTACTTGAATGAGAAATAAGAAGTATTACATAGCTATGTGGAAAATATGGAATTCACGTATACGATTAGTATGCATCTCAGCTTTTCTTCTTGTTTTAAACATTTCTTTGCATAAGTTTGAGAATAATTTAAAAACATCTGCGAATGGAAACCGGAAAACAAATATTAACTATCATAATGATGAAAAATGGTTCAATAGTGCTGTTGATTATGCGTTAGAAGCAATGCTGTATATGCATAATTATGAAACTGGCAAAGCTGAGATTCGACCGTTAATCGAGCAAGTAATTTATTTATCATTTGAACAAAATAAAATTAATCTGATTGTGATAGACAAAACATTTTATCGGAAAAAGTGTAAGTTAAGCTTTGCTAGCACTAAAACTTTCATTCTGTTTCCATCATTAAGAAATTATTCAGAAGAAGGTAATAGTTAGTGAATAGTTCTCAAGATCAAATTTTAATAACGAAATGTCTTAATTTCTGACAATTTACAAGCATTGTACAAAGAATTTATAGTACTTATAAGTTTAAATGAAATTATATGCTTGTAATAAAAACATCTGTAAAAACTGTAATGATTTTTTGCTGCTCCAACAATCTGGTATCGTTCACTCTTTATCATTTCTTTTATTTAGGAAAAAAAAGTGCGTGAATATTGGTGGAAGTGTTATCTAGAAATGCCAGCATATTTTGAAGCAGGGGACTGGCTGAAAAACGATGATTTATTTGTGTACTCATCTACATATGATCGTAGAAATAATTCACTGTACCCTAATAATCATATCGTGCAGGTGTTCACTTTATGTTAATAACTTTAACTATTTTGTAGTAGAAGATTTTGAATTTTTCCTTTTACTTAAAATTCAGATACACTGAATTAAATTTACACTAGTAGTGGGTCAGGAGCATAAACATATCATTACAGGTTTTGGCAATGTCATTCAGGTCTTTTCAATCTGAACATGGGATATTTTGTAATTTGTATGATATAAATCGCAATCGGTACACAGTTGTAGAAGGAACAGTCCGTGAAATTTGGCAACGAGCTTGGGATCCACGTGACTTTTTTTACATTCCAAACTTAATCAGTTGTCCAGTACCAGAAGATTTCAAACATAGCACAAATTTGTTGGTTTCGCTAAGTAAAACACCATGTAAAAGTCAAAAAATAGCATCATACGTGCGAATGCCATTACTGAAACAAAAAAAGAATGCAGTTGCTGTCTGCGTAAAAGTAATGTTGCCTAAATTTTTGCTAAATTTGATTATTAATTTATTAATATGGTTTCAAGTTATTTGTTTGATGCCTTCTCTCTCATCTAAATGTTAAATTTTCTGCTATCAATTATTAGAAAAAATTATTTCTATTCACATAACTTAATTGCAAATTTGAATTTTTTAGGGCTTAGATTATTTGGAGGATATTCCAGAACGTTTAATTGAATGGATTGAAATGCAGTTCTTAGTTGGCGCTGACAGTATTACTTTGTACACATATTACGTACCAAATAAAATGCAGCAGGTCCTCAATTACTATAGCAAATTTGGATCTGTTGAAGTGGTAATTTTTATCATTTTCTAAGCAAACTGCTTAAAAGATGCAATATATTAGATATTTGCAAATTTTGCCATTTTTGGAATCGTAGGTTTTTTATTTTGCAAAATTAAGCTTAGGTCATAACGTACTTAGAGATGACGTCATAGACATAAAAGTTTTGTTCGCTAAGCACTGAGATATTTAGATACCGATCAGTCTTCCTGGTGATTCTCCTAATCAAGTATTTATTCGAAGTCGCTTTATTTGGCGAAACAGGCAACAAAAACGTCGCCACGAGTTGATTGCATACAATGATTGCTTCTATAGGTATCAGCGTAATGATTTTCAACTACATTCTTGGCGGCAGTAATGAATGCTGTTATCATTTGATTCGGTCTTTTTATAATTTATATTGTAAGAGTTAGTTATTAATCTGCTAGAAGCGATTCATTATATTCAGATACATTGACACTCACAAGTTTGTGTTGATTATTGATATCGATGAAGTAGTCATACCACTGAAGCATAATAATTGGACTGGTATGCTGAATTATCTTACTGCAAGTTTTAAGAAGAGCACAGGAACTATTGATGAAATTACTTCAATTTCTACCCGTAATGTATTCAAGTTCCCATCGAATATTGACTTATCTTCTACACACATCCCGCCTTATTTGTATATGCTACGAAATAGACGCAGATCAGAAACTGTTAGTAAACCAGACGAATATGGAAAAGCCTTTATTAAGTAATGCCATTTTTTAATTTTAAATAAGTGAGGTGAGTTGGGATTAATAATTGTCTCATGAATTTTTGAAAAAGTTTTCGGGATGCTCTTTCTGTAGTAAAAATTTGCGAATATATCCTGAAAATTATGAAATGTAAGAATATGCATATTGGAAATTTGGTTCTCCGTATTCGTTAAATTTAATTATTGGATATTATTCGCTTAACTTTAAAATTTTTGCACAAATCATGATAGACTTATTGCATTTGGCTTTAGATATTGATTATAAGCAAAAATTACAATCATCGTAATTCTTGAAAGTTTATTTGTGAGCAGTTTTGATCAGGTTTATAAGTTTTTCAACATTCATTTCACAATCATTTATATTGGTAAAAGAAAATTTTTATGCGTCAAAAACTATTTTTGTCATTGCACGAATTTTTATTCTTTGGTTTTATTTGAAATATTATCCTAGCGGTACAATACCAATCGTTAATATCCATTCATCAAAAAGAAAATATGTATTTTTCTCAGATTATAATATTTACTTCTTCAGCACAGATACGGTTGTTACCGTGTTCAATCACTTTGCACTACACAGAAGTCATGGTAACGTTGCAATGACATATTATGCAGATCCAAACATTGTTTTAAAATTACATTATAAAAGCATGTGCCCAATTGAATCTAAAAGCGACTGTGAGAAGTTAACAAAGGTAACAATTGATGACACAACAATGGATCGGTTTGCAGATCAGTTGATTGAACGGGTTACAGATGTGCTCAGTAATTTGCATATTATTTCATAAGATTTTATTTGACTCATCTTGTCTAATATTTATTGTATGCATAAAGTATTATTTGCATTGTGCATGCTATGCTTGATTAATTTTGTTGTAAATGCAGTGGTTTGTTTCCATTTGTTGATAAGCTAAGAAGATGCATTTAATGTGTATTGTTTTCAACGAAAAACAGTTTTCAGTTTTTCGAGATATGTAAGGCAGCTAATTTGCATTTTGTCAATATATTAGGAGGCGAAAATTCAAAAGGAAGTTTGTGCATGAAACTGATCAGTTTTATTTTTATATTTCACTTAAAGATTCATATTTCAGTCTGTCAAAAATCAGTTTTTGTTTGGCGATATTGTCGACATTGAGGTTTAATGTGCCTTAATAAGTAGAAAAAATACATATTCGTTTGCTTTCTGCTGTTTTCAGAGTGGCTAGCCTGAAATGTTCAAAAAGTATACAAATTATAGTATATCTCTCATTTCCGTTAAATATTACAAAAACCTCACAACGTGCTTTTTAACTTAACTCGTTGGCAACTAATTGGCATCTAGTTTTATCCAAGTATGTTATATTAGCTCTTGAATTTTATTCATTTTTATGGAGTTATAGGAAGTTTATCACAATATTATTAGTCATAATGACTAGTAGACGAGCACTAAATGAGGTAAATGGTTAATTATTCTTTGTAATATTATTTTAGCGGATGAATGAGTGATTTAATAGCTCCAAGGATGAATGTATTAATTGGGAGTACAAACATGCGATACTCAGCTGAGACTTAGATAAGGTCGACAAATACAAGACGGATAAGAAGAATTTTTTTAAATAACTTATCTCATTGTAGCACACATGAATAATAAATGCTTATTTTGCACTTGCGAGTAGTTATTTGTTCTGATAGAATGTACTGTAATCAACTATGTCAAATTTGAGACCTATAAAGAGTTATACTTAATACTTATACTGAGATGAAAATGCTTCTACTAATCATATCTTTATACTTAATAAAAAATACGCTACTTATGTAGTTATTAGTCAGGCATGCGTGATTTACGTATTCGTCAAGCATATCGAAATAATTACTAAAAGTGTCATTTTCTTATTTTTAGCATAAATCAATATGTAAGTCAATTTATGTACATTCTGTTTTGTAAATATTTAGTGCTCGTTTAATTATTAGCATAGATTGAGATGGAAAATTTTACAGCATGAATGCATTAAAAAAATTTTTCCACGCTAATCTATGCTGCTAAGAGTATCACATACAAATATGTGAGCAAGTGTGTGTATGCTGAAGTATGCGTGGACTAAAATATATGAATGCGTGAAGTTATTTGTGGTAAGAACTTTCGAATTAATGTAAAGTTACGTGAGCTTGCGCATATTTTCATAAGTAATGGAGAGTGTAGGGGCGAGAATGAGTGTGGGAGAGAAAAAGGACTGAGTACCGTGTGTAATTCTTAACGAAAACCCACTCATAGCAAAGAGCTCCTGCAGAATAGTTGTTCATGAGCACTTTTGCTATTGATCTCCGTGCTAGTTGGAGATCAGAGTTGGCAATGATTGATGGAATTTAAACTTCGCGGTTTCCACTCGAGATGCCTTCATGTGAGCATATTCCTTGGATGTCTGAGCCAATCTCAATTCTTGTTGGCGTACGTGTATTACGCATAGTAAATGAGTCTCACATCGTGTAAAGGTGGTGGAGTCAGGCAGAGTGATGGGATGTCGTGACAGTGGTGTGATGACATATATATCTTCTACTTTAAGGTCGTTGATTTTCATGAACATGAGATACTAATTTGTCAATGTGATTGACGAGAGAGTATTTCTGTTATTACTCCAAATCTTCGTCAGTCGTCAGTAGTGCGTACTACATGATGCGAATCGGTTGACGTAAATGAGTAGAGACAGACGTATGCATCGGATAGGCGAAGTAAGAAATAACTATTTTCTCTAGAATGGAACATTGGAGAGCGGAAAGTGAGTCGGCGCAACTGCTAGAAGGCATGTCGGAGAGTGAAACTCACTTCTGTACGGCTTCGTCACCCTCAACTCGCACATACAACTACACCAGCACTCGGAGGTCAGGAAACACTATCTATACGAACGAACACTTCTCTTCCAATGTCTTACGTACTTTTGCCAACATGCGCAAGTCAGTCTTAGTGTTATTAATACTTTGCTACTAGAAACTTTAATTAGCATGGCCTTTATCCAGGAATGCAAATAAATTATATGTATATGGATAGCATATTAATAAGTTATATATATAGATGGCCACTCATTATAAAGCTTCAACTGAAAAAATATCTTTTATTATACTTCAGTTTTATCAAATCATGTATGATTATATTATCATTTTTATGAATTTTAATGGTCTAAAGGAGAAAAAGTTTCAAAAAGGGAAAAGCAGAAGTGAATTATTTATTTCTTTATATTTTGCTGTACTTCTAAGGGAACTTGTAGAGAAGGACGCTTTTGTGATGTAGTGCTGATAGCATCAATGATTAAGGAAGATAGCGCGGAAAGTGAAGGAGTTCGAAATATTCGAATCAAAGCTCATCGAGCTGTACTTGCTGCAGGATGTCCTTATTTCAGTGCTATGTTCAATAGTGCAATGAAGGAGTCCAAGCTAGAATGCATCACCATAAAGGTTACAGTTCAGCGTTCTATTACCTTGTATTTATATACTTCAATATTCCTTGTAAACAGAACTGTTGTTTATGCATTTAAATCGTCTCAAACGCACATAGCTGGATACTGTGATCAACCTCTATTCTTAATATATGCATGTGAACCATTAAAATTCTTGTATTTTTGGTTAGTCAAATACTTGTATATTTCCCTAACCTTTTCTTAGAAGAAAGAACTTAAATAATACAAAAAATTTAGGCAATCGATGGAAGTTCACTGATTGAGCTTGTTGATTATTTGTATTCAGGTCAGCTGCTTATCAGTGTGCGAAATGTACAAAATTTACTGACAGCTGCTTCCTTGCTTCAGGTTTTTAATTTTTATTCATTTCAGTATTTGACGCTGCAACAGCACTGAGAAACAAAATGTTTGTTTTTCCTTATTTCTCATATTTGTAACCTAGATTGACTGCAGTCAAATAATTGTTTAAATCTTCTACACTAAATTTTAGTAATTTCGCTGCTTTGGTAATGGTATATTTAAGTACTCTTTTTTTTCCTTTTTCATAAATTCCAATGTTAGAAATAAATTGGTTTTTCAAAAAACACATTGCAGTACAACTTAATGCTATTTTCCCTGAAACTCTAAACAAAAATATGTTTCTAGTTGATATGTGTACGTGATGCATGTTCCCGTTTTCTTTTGGAGCAGCTCGATCCATCGAATTGTCTAGGCATAGAACAATTTGCTATTACTCATAGTTGTACGCAACTTGCACATTCTGCGACAACATTTGTTCAGCAACATTTCAGGTTTTTTTTAAATCCCAACAAAGCAAAATAACTAGCAAAAAAATTTTCAACTTTGAAGTTTGCGCATTCAATTTTTTTTGTATTTTTCTATAAATGTATTGTTTTGCAGTCAGTTGGTTAAATACGATGAATTTCTGGCTCTTAGTAAAGATGAAGTTATCCGAATCATTTCTTTAGATCAGTTAACGACTACGGGTGAAGATAAAGTAATTAAAAAATATTGTGAAACAACGATTTTAGATTATTTTGCAGTAGAATTTTTCTGAAAAACCCATGTGTTTAATTAAAAATTAAGGTAGCATTTTTAGATAAAGATAGTTATGAATTTTGAGTACCAATATAATGCAAAATTTATTTATCGCTTCGAAATTATACTTCAGTGCTAATTGTTTATAGGTGTATGAAGCTGTTGTGCGTTGGGTAATGCACGATTTGGAAAATCGCAAAAGTGCATTTCCTGAAATTTTATCTCATGTCCGATTATCTTTATTGCCTCGTGACTATTTAACTGATAGAGTAGTTACTTATTACTTTTTAAGGAGTACTTTCATTATAACTTATCTTGTAAATATGCATTTTAATAATTTATGATATTTTTATTTGCTGTAATATCTGATGATAGAACTGCATAATGTTTATTTTCTCAAACCAACAAAACCTAGAAAACTATGTATGAAAAAATGTAACTTTTTCATTGTGTAATGATTAGAGGAACTTTTTCAAAGGTTGATCCTGATTGTTTAATTCGACAGAGTTCAGAATGTAAGGATTATCTTCTCGAAGCTTATCGCTATCATTTGAAAGATGAGAAAGTTGAAGAAACTGAACGAAACCGTCCAAGGCAACCGATTCCATTGTCTAAGGTAAAGTCATGAAATTAATAAGTGTTATAAATTCTTGCCAGAATTTCTGACAGTTATTATGCTCTGTGATTGTTTCAGCTAATAATGCTCATTGGTGGTCAAGCACCTAAAGCAATTGCTAATGTAGATGTTTTCGATTTGGACTCTTTACGATGGATATCATGTAAGCCTCGAAACTAAAGGAAAAATATTAATATTGTATTGAGTACTGGTTTACTTATTTTGACTTTTTTAAATCTGACGTTGCAGTAAGTGACCTACCGCAGCGTCGTTGCCGTTGCGGTGTGGGAGAATTAAAGGATTTAGTGTATGCTGTAGGTGGATTTAACGGTTCGCTACGTGTTAGATCTGTTGATGCTTATGATTTTCATACTGATACGTGGTTTGCTGCTCCATCTATGGATGCGAGGTGTTTATTCATTGTTATTATAGTCAAGAGTATCTTGGGGGCTTTTTTTGTCATTTTTAATTTCAATCGTCATCAGTGTCTTCTTTTTAACTGTTTTGTTAAAAGAAATTGCTCGTAACAAAGTAGTGAAAGAGAAAGCGTGGATCTCTCATGAATACTTTTATTTTTCGATCAATAGATACATCTAATACAGTGTAGGTTTTCGAATAAAGTTGGTGGTTAATAAAATCCATTAGAAAGGTATGTTAAATAGTTGAATAAAAGTGGTCCTTGTTTATTTGCTCTTGTTGAATTTATTTTCTTGTTTTTTTGCTTGTGAATACACTGATTACTCATATTTTACTCAGATATATTGAAGTATTGCAGAAGAAGTACACTAGGCGTGGCAGTCATTGATCAGTTGATGATAGCAGTAGGTGGTTTTGATGGTTCGACAGGTTTAAGTTCAGCCGAAGCTTTCGACCCTCGCCAAGGTGTTTTCACTCTTTCGATAATAGCGATTGTAAAATACTAGTTTTGTACTCACTTGTAAAAGTTTGTAATAAAAAAAATCGCACTTTGGAAAAGTTCTTAGGACAATGGATGCCTCTTCCATCGATGACGGTGCGTCGATCCTCAGTCGGTGTGGCAGCCCTTGGTGCCTCAGTCTATGCCGTTGGTGGTTATGATGGCAATACGAGAAACTGTTTGGACTCAGTTGAAATTTATGAGCCGCGAGCCAACAGATGGCGGTCTGGACCAAGTTTGACATCCAGACGTTCTGGTGCAGGTGTAACAGTGGTAGGTGATCGTCTCGTCGCAATCGGAGGTCATGATGGTCCAGTAGTTAGGGAGTCAGCTGAGGTGTATAACTTTTCGCTATTTCATGTGAAGCAGTTAAAAATTGTAACTAATGATCAGTAATTTTACGAATCTTGTAGGCTATTTCATAATTTCGAATAAAATATTTCAGATTCTTAATTCTGATTGCTGGACGTTGCTACCCGACATGAATGAATGTCGGCGTAACGCAAGTGCTGTAGCTTTAGACTCGAACTTATTTGCTATTGGAGGCTAGCATTTTTTGATTACATTAGTATCAACTCTTATCTGCTTGTTTTGCACTAATTATTCAACTGTACATTGGGATGTAATGACCAATAGGAGCAAATGACGTAGGCTGGAACTATTTAGAGTACCCTATAACATCCCACTTATTTCTAGGTGACGATGGGACATCAAACTTAAGTTCAATCGAATTCTTGACTGTTTCTTCACTGGAGCAACAATTCTGGACTCATCTCAGCGTATCGACAAATCAACCAAGATCATATGCAGGCATTGCGCTTTTGCCGAAAACTGCTTGACTGGTCGCTACCTACACTTCTTCATCAAAGTTAAAGCCTCAGAATCCATCAAAATTTCTGTATCTGTTGCGACAACCACTAAGTATTTATTTTTTTAAAACATGTCCATTCTACAGAGATTTCGCTGCTTATTTGTACATTACACTTCATCTTTGACGATGTGGTTATAGTATCTCTTCGAGTTGTCAATAATGTTTTTGTTTCTTTGGTAAAGAAGGCACAGTTAAGAAAATCATTGTTTTGATGACAACGGTCTTCTGATATTTCCTTTTACACACTGTGATTTACATACACTCGTTTTTGCTTTATTTGTCTCATTAATGATTCCACTTGTTGTTTTGACAGCAATAAGTAATAAAAAACTCAGTTCGTACATTATTTCACAGTTAGAACGCACTTGTGTATCTGAGTATAAATCATTCAAAATCAGGAGCACTAGAAAAACAAAACATGGGGAACAGATAGAAAGTCTTTACATAGAAGATGCGTGGACCAGAAAAGTGAGGCTCCATAATTTTGTAACAGGTGACCAGTGCCAACATCTAAAAGTTGTTATTCCCACACTAGAAGATTTCTGATAAAACAAATAGTTTGTGCCGTTTAAACATCGCTGGGATAGAAACAAATAATGTAGGACGAGAATATACTACATGTCAGTACTATAAGTGAATTCACAGGTTCAATGAGTTTTCCACACGTTTTTGACAAATAATCAAATATAGTAAAGACGAGCAGTACAGTTGGCGGAAATTAAAATTCTTGGCTGTCAAGTGATTGTATTAGAAATTAGAGTTTACAAAATCAGTAGCCAAACGACGAAAAATATACCGATATACATGAAAAGATTCGATAAGAACTGCTCCTCTTCTGCTTGTCTAGTACCTGGTGCTGCTGGAAATAAAATATTACACTATGCAATATAAATATATATACAGTGTCTTGATGTGATACGATTGGAGTGAATCAAGAAGAGTCAACCATTAACAAAGAGGTATGCGTTGATAAGGCGGTGCTATTGGAAGCAACTCAAGGATGCAAATACTTTGGAATAGTGGAACTCAGGTCTAGTGCACCTACGATAAAGTTCGAGCAGAGATTTTAGTGAGAATTGAGCGATTAGCCTAAACTACACTAAATGGCAAGAACTTTATCAAAGCTGTGAATGAGCACGCCATGAGCCTAATAAATTATTACGTCGAGCTGCTCAAACTGGAGTCGGAAGACTTCTATATCATACAGTTACTAATCAAACGTGAAATTCACAAGCGATCTGCATGCTTGTAAAGGGACGAGCTAGGACGTGGACTTCTTAGTGTTGAGCAAAGAAGTGAGTTTATGCTTCTCAAACTTAATAAAGTTCTTGTAGATAACGCGCCCATATGAACCAGGAGGGCAGCGATTTTGAAGCAGGAGAAAGCTCATAACACGTACTTGGAAATTATTGTGCTCTATCTAAAGACTAGGTAGGATCTCGCAGAAAATCCTACAATCAAAAACGTACTATCTGCCTACAAGGTGCTCTTGTATAGCGAAATAGAAAAGGAAACTAATCATGCAAAGCTATACAAGATGCGGACGAATAGAATCTGGTCCACAGCTGATTCATCGAAATGGCTACGATACGGAAACACTACCCCGCAAGATGAAGCACGATACTGTTACCTCCAAAACAGAAATATGCTGGCAGCTGAAAAAGGTATGTGTCAACATTGTAGAGAACGTGTGAAGACGGTAAACCATCTAGCAACGCGATGCAAAAAAACGTTATATCACCACTACATGAGAAGACACAATGAAGTTTTACGATGCATCTATTTGAGACTCTGCAAGAAGTATGGTCTGAAAGCATTTCCACGCTTCTATTCAGGATATCGTCGTGAATGATAAGGTAGAGATTAGAGTCGATACGCGAGTGAGAACAGCTATAAAGATTAGTGGGATCGACCGGATATCATGATACACGGTAAGAAGCTGCAAGAACTAATCCTGATAGAGGTAGCATCCCTAATCAGGATAGGTTGACAGTAGTCGAGACGAGGAAGCGAAAATAAGATTTACTGGCTGCTAAACTGGGTCCGAGATGAAATGCAGGACGAAAGTAATTACGTATGTAATGATTCTGGATAAGTTTGTAACAAACTTTCATAAACGCTACGCGAAGGAATCTATTCACGTCAAGGCATATATTCAATCGATTGCTCAAGACGCTCGGAAGCATATCATTCCATCAGCTCCATGGATTCGACGAGAATGAAGCAGCGGATATCAGCGCAGCAAAACTGATCGCGGGGCGAGTGGAAGCCAGAATATGATCCAGCGCCAGAATCAATAATGAAGAAAAGAAGAATAACCTCCATATAATATTTATAATGATATATATAAATTAATGCGGTGAAGAAAACTAACGAGCTTCAGGGCGTCTTTCTCCAAAGCCTGTATTGAAAAATGAAGCGAAGAACGATATGGGAAAAACTCCTATTCCCATCGAAAATTGAACACCACCATTTTCACCACCCCATTGGAAGCCCGGAAAGCCTTGAAACGAACTCTGAACATGGAAATTAAATTATATAATATAAAAAATGCTACATCTGGAGCATCGCAAATTATCCTCTGACTAATAATGAAACTAAACCCACCTTTAGATACTTTTATTCAACCTCGCAAGTGTGAAAAAATTTACCAGACAAAATGTATAACTCGTAAAATTCAGCAAAAAATTCAAAATAACAATAAATATAGACAATGAAAATTGACAACGATATTCAACGAAAAGGGAGGCTGACCTGAGGCATTTCGGTTCTATGACCTTTTGGACGAGGTGGAACTTTTTCGCGAGGATCTGTATCATTACCACCTCTCCCGTAGAGCGGTATTACCTGTTTTCAGAATGTTAGAAGTACAATACGAAATTTCGAAATGTTAAATAAATTTCTATATTTAAAGGCTTCTGTGTCAAGTGATATCGTTATCGTTGATATGTTACAAAAGGTCTTTACTTTGTCTTTGCTAATAGCAGATTTGCAAACAGGACAAAGTTGCCTGTTTGGACGTGTATCGAGCCATTGATGAAGACATGGCCAGCAAAACAAATGGCCACACATTGATACCACTGCATCTTTCGCTACATCCAAGCATATATTACAATCGAATCTGTAATTTAGCTTTTGCTGAATTTTAAATACTTTCTAATCATTCTGTTGAATTACTTCCGATTTTAAAAATTGGCATGCAATCGGATGTTTGTTAATAATATTGTGGTGAATAAATAAAGTGCTATAGAATTTCGGAATTAATAAAATTTTTGTATCCGCTAGATACTTCGAAACTCATATCAGATACTCGACATCACGCTGAGAATTGTCCTCTAAAATTGTTATTTACAGTAAGCTTATAGAATAATTGTTGCGACATAAAAGTCTTGGCTGTTTCATACTGCAGTACACCATTTATTGCTTAAACAAAACGTGGAGTCGGAAAATTCAAGCATACCTTGCTGTGTCATCATCCTTTTTGCCATCTTCTTTTGAAGAAGGTGAAGACGAATGACCTTTTGTATCTTCCTCCTGTGAAGAAGCACTTGCCATAGTTATATTACAACGCTAACTAAATTCACTCAGAAAATAGAATAATTGTGCTATAAGAAATTTTTAATGCATATTTTCATGCTCACAACAATTATATCAAATATAATTAAACGAAGGAGACAAAAGTAATGACAATGAACAACACAAACCCCTCACCTGAACAACTTCTCATCAAAAACGAGCACAACGCTAATGACAACGCTCCACGAAGGACCTTCTATGTCTCTTTTGTTATCCGTTGTTACAACCGACCAGAACCCGCACCTTCTTGAAAAAAATTGAAATCTGCAGTTTTTGTCGCTTACTTATAAATTCCATTAACTGGGCTCGTTTGCTTAAGTGAAGGTTTGAAATTTTTATGCTATTCGACAAGAAAAATATAAATAACAAGTAAGTTCATTTTTTACAGAGATAAAAAGAAATCTTGTCAGAGGAATCAAAGATAACCCTCAGTTGCTTTTCTTACTTTTTATGTAACTTGCAAATATGTAAAAAAGAAGAAACATCTGTCATCCGCCTGTCACGCTTTATTCTATTTATGTTTTCTATAATTCTTCTTAGCATCAGCGAGTCGTTTGAGTGAAAATGCACCAACAGGAACATCAGCAGTATGAGGGGATAGTGCGATTACAGAATGAAATTCCTGTAAGTCTTTGTATGTTTTAAAAATTATTCTATTTGTGGAAGTAATTTTGATACTTGTCTTTTCAAAACATTTATTGCGTGTGTTGCTAATTAGAGAAATTTAACGTATTTCTATCATTCTTCCTCTAACATTTTTCTACTCTTCATTGATTCATACATCTTATTCATATATTGAAAATGATCTTTATCGATAGATGGCATCAATTCAAAAGTTATATTCATTTGAGAAACAGACTTCGCATGCTGACTTTGAAGTGATGTAATTAGATGCTAGCAAGTCTCATAGCAATTTTGGCAAAAAATTCATGATTGCTTAATTTTTAACTATATACCATTTCTTACTTTTAAATGAAAATAGTTTTTTCGTAAGTGTTTCTAAAAATTGCTCATGAGATTTAATTTTTAGAGTGAAGAGTTAGACGAAGCTAAGCAGTGGCAAGTCGAACATGCAAAACTTCATGAAAAACATCGTGGCCATGAACAAATGCATATGGAAATGTTTTTAATATTAATTGTTACGCTAGTTGTAGCACAGATTGCTTTGGTGCAGTGGAAAAAAAGACATTTTAAATCCTATCAGGTTAAGTTCATTTTAAAAAAGATGGCTTGATTTTTTCATAAAGCTAAAAATTATTTTTGTTCAATTGCTAAATTTTATAATCTAGGCGTTAGATTAAATCTATCAGATTGCTGCTTGTTATGAGTTTTCATAATAGCCACAATTATTTTGGACTACAATTCATGTTAGCAAAAGGTTATGGATATAAGATCAAACACTGTTGTATTATCTGGATCTAATTTATGATAAAATATGGATTTAGTGTATTTCAAAATGTGTCAGACATTGCAGTTAATGTTTTATTATGAAGAAAATTTTAAAATTATTGAATTAGATAACAGTTTGAAAGTTTCATCTCATTTGCAGTATTTTTTAGTTGTGCACACTTCTCGGCATGTGGCTAATTCCTGTTTTTGTATGTGTTCAACGATATTGGTGGAGATTCTTAATAACATGGGTTTTGTACTCTATACTATCAACTGCTATTTGGTTTAAAGCTACTCGTCCACAAATATCAGGCAAAACACCAAGGTTAGTCTCAATATATGCTTGTAACATATCTTACATTAGAATTATGATGCTTCTAATGGCTAATTTCCGTATTTATTTTAGAATCGTTTATAAATGGTTCTTATTTCTGCACAAACTAAGCTATGTCCTTGGAATTGCGGGGTATATTTTAATTATGTTTACATTATTGGGCTTAAATCATATATTTGCCATGAAACCAAGTGTCTCAATGGATGCTGGCTTGTTACTTCTGTTTTATGGCTTATATTACGGAGTATTGGGTCGTGACTTTGCTCACATATGTACGGATCGTATAGCTTCCAAAATTGGGGTTCGTTTGTTCTTCTTGGAGAATGATTTCATATTTACAAATATAATTTTGAAACAAATGTGATTTATAGTATTATACCGAGGAAGGTTTGCCCAGAAAAGTTCTTGAAGCAGACGTTTGTGCAGTCTGTGGAAATCATTTGGAAACTGATGATACGGAAACCGACTATGAATCAATATATCGTTTATCTTGTGGGCATGTATTTCATGAATTTTGCATTCGTGGTTGGTGTGTTATTGGAAAACAACAAACGTGCCCTTATTGCAAGGAAAAAGTTGACCTTAAAAGAATGTTCAAACATCCGTAAGTCCTTCCAATTTTATTAGGACTGAGTTTGAAGTTTTCTTTTAATTGTCTATTTTTGGCGGAAATTTTTAATTATCGTATGCATTCATTATTCGTATTATCGTGTAATCAAAAGAAGTACTTTTCATTTGAGATAGAGTTTAGAATTTGTATTATTTGATCTGAAGTTTTTGACTAGTTCAAAAAAATATTTTTGCAGCTGGGAAAAGCCTCATTTGTTTTATGGGCAGCTGTTAGATTGGATTCGGTACTTGGTTGCATGGCAGCCCTTAATTGTTACATTTGTTCAAGGAGTTAATACATATTTTGGTCTTGAATAGCAAATGTAATCATTATACGGACTGTTTAATTGGTAGATATAATAATAATAATGGTGGTAATAATAATAAAAGCGAAAGTAAGATTAGTGGCTGAAAGGTAAAGCATTGAATTTAAAGTATGCGTTTGAAAGCTTATGATATTTCAATAAGTGCAATCAGTCTGTGTATATTGAAGTGTTCTTTTGTTTGTCATTTGTTGTGTAGTTAAGGACGTGAAAAAAAATTATCTTAAATAAATTATGCTTAGTGGCTTCCCTTTTCGCTCTAAATGGAATTTAGATTATTTAGAACAGTACTCTCATGTGATTCTTCAGGTGCAGATATAGTTTAATTTATGTGCGTTATTATAATTTACGCAGAGATTTTATCATGTGTGTGTCAAAAATTTCGACTCTTGTCTTTTTTATTCCATGTTTTTGTAAGGTTCATCATTCTTTGGGTTTCTCATTATACTTTGCACGTACAATTTGGATAGTTTCATTTACTTCCTTTTAAATTTAATAAATATAAGCACTTTATAAAATTTAACTTTATTAAAAGGCATGAAAGTTGCTGCATGTGTCATTTTAAATCTTTCAACATTCTGTGATATCTGTAAAAACTGAAATATATGTTCCTCTTAGGTTGTACAAATTTCGTTTTATATTATCTCAAGTTGTTACTTATCTCGTTCACTGATAAGACATATCATATTTTGTTGTTTTGCTAATCAAGATTTGCTGTTATCTTCGAAATTTTTTCTTGGTTTTTTTGTAGTAGCGGAGTTAATTCATTTCTTTATTCCAAACACTAATCTTCATTCAAATTACAATGCAAATATTAATATTTTAGGTACACTCCAATTTAAACTATCAGAATTCGAGTCAGCTTTTGATTGTGTCGATTGTCAGCAATGTCAAAGAAGTAAGTCTGTGCACTTCCCATTTCAGTGATTCGATATTTATCCCAACATTTTTAGATATGGGTTAATAATTAAAAACCTTGCCGAACCTTCGAAACAAATTATAAAACCTGTAGCTGCTGCATTTTGTGATGACGAGGATGAATTTGAGGTAATTCTGCATTTATAATAATTTTCATTTGTTGAGTGCTATGCAGGGGTGTTTAGAAAAATTTCCTCAAATTAAATGTTTTAAGACTTGTTTTTACTTCTAGCCTACTTCATCTAAAGACATCAGTGCATCGACAATACGTGTGAGAATGCAGGCAAGGCGAGAACATGAAAAAGCTCTAGCTGAAGATGCGACAATATTTGATTATGATAATATTTACGATGAATTACAGGCAAAGAAAAATGAAAAAATTGCAGAGATTAAGGCTGCAGATAAAGATCGCAAAGTATGTATAGTTTTGCTTGTCAACATTTTCACCGTTAAGTATTGCACAATTTCTAACTGAAATGCATAAAAATATGGTGTACTGTTGTTGTAGATTTCTAATTGTGCGCAGTTGAACTTTTGGACATTTTTCTTATAGTAGCAACTAAAGGATAAAGTAATCACTTTGTTTAATAATTTGTTGATGACTAATTTTTTATGACTTTGGAATAATTATGAGCATGCAATAGCAATAATTTTATTACAAATACACTAAATGACTTGTCATTCAGAGATAGTGGTATAGTTTTGATAGTCCATGAAAATTCATGTATTTGAATAATTGTTAACATTTCTGATATCTGAGTTTGTAGACGTTTTACTTGAACTAAACGTTATTTTTACATTTTTTTCATCTGATACAAATGAATGAAAATGTTGGTATTACTACGTATCAGTTTTTGAAAAGCAAATTTTTTGTTTTTGGCAATTCGTCTGGTTAGCATTGAAATTGAGGATAACGGACAAATGAAGATCGTTTAATAGCTTTTTTTTTTGTTAATTTTTCGTACCGAATATTAATTGCAGTTGAAAGAACATTTGTTTCAGTCAAAATATGCTGAACAAATCCTAGAAACACATAAAAAACGAGTACTTGCACAACAAAGTCGAGAAGAACGCAAACAGCAAAAAGAACGCGAAGCAGAAGCTGGAAAGTTCGATGATAAGGAGGCTTGTTTGATATTTACTTCTGTAACTACTTTTCTTAAAGAATCTTGTTGTTCAGAAATAATATTAATTTTTTAGAAGTTTGTCACGAGCTCTTATCGAAAGCAGCTTATTGAAATGGAAAGCTTTCGCTTGAAAGAAGCAGTTGATAATCGTTTAGATGGTAGGACTTCATTTTGGTTTTTAATTCATAAAACATCACAAACAAATGTAGTTTTTGTCAACTTGTCTTTATTTTCTTTTCTAACGTATAATATTGGTTTAATTATCATTTTTTAAAAACTTTGCTTTTTAGTTTTTGTATGATGGATTTTATTTTCCAAAACAATAATCATTCGAGATTTTAGTTTCATGTATTCATATTTCAATGTTTCAGAACTGACAGCTGTGGAAAAACAAAAAAGTGGGATGTGGGCTAGCGGTTTTTACAGAACACTTTTGAATGATATTAGCAGAGATAACAGTGAAGTCAAAACAGAAGTAAAGGACCTAAAGCAAAAAGTTTGTGACTAAAGAATTAGAAAACTAAAATTATTTGTGAAAAAAAATCTGAAACACAAAATATGTTGTTACTAGCTATTTTAATTCATTGATGGTTTCATAATTTATTGATTAGAACTAAGTAAATATAGTTCTGTTGCTCTGACCATATTTTTTGATAAATTTGCCTCTGTGGGATTATATTTGCAGGTGGCTGACTTTGAATTGTCAAACCAAGCAGAAATAAATGAAGATGATCACAGTAAAAAGCTTTCTTTATTAAGAAAAAATACCAGTATGGATGATACCCGCTTGGACGTACTGGATAATAAATCTCTTGGAAGATCAACATATTCTGATGCATCGGATGAGGAGCGCGAAATGAAACTGAGTGATCCAGTGAAACTAAAACCTGGTTTGAATATTTTGGTTAGTGTCATTGCCAAATTATATCTTCAAGTTTAAAATTTTTCTTTAATTTATTAGGGAAAGGGAAATATGGACTAGAAATTGTATGTCTCATCTTTTTTAAACAAAAAATTCAATCTATTTATTTATTTTCTGATGTCCTTCGTCGGTTCTGTTTTGTGACAATCGATTCTACCATCCTCTCCATGTTACACAGTTTTACAATGATTTTCGATTTGTAATTTATGTCACAATTGCTTTAGAAGCCGAAAAAACCAACAAAAGTGGAACAAATTCGGCAGCGTTTCACACCATCGCCAGGACATCGTGCAACAAGCAGTGAAAGTACTAGTGAGGAATATCATTCTGTCAAAAAGACAAAGCAAAGCAAAAATTTTGGAAAGGAACATGGCCGTGAACGCCGCAATAAAAAGTAGGATTTTTATAAATTAGTAAGAAGTGGGAATAGCCTCCGTTTAATACCAATAATAAAATTAAAAGTATTCATTTTCATTTACTTTTCAGTGAGCAACGTAAGGAGGAAAGGAGTTCTGTTAGGCATCGTACTGATCATCATCATTCCGTGAAGCAAATAAAGGAGTCGAAAGAATCCGGTAAAAAGCAAAAAGTCGAAAACGAAAATAGTGAAAAATCCAAAGTAAAAATTGTGCAAGAGAAAACGAAAGAAGAAAGGTAATATTTCACTTACATTTGAGGGAGGAAAAAGAATGAAACCTGAAATTTTGAAGATTAAAATTTGAAATTTTTTTCATTTAGATAAGCTTGTAAAAAACAATCGGAAAACTCAGAAATATAATAAATATACACTCTTCATTCTGTCTTATTAGCATAAAGTATGGTATTATGAATGAAAGATGGGTGAATCTTATGAAAGATATCTAAAGTTTCCTTCTATTTAAAGTTTAAATGGTAACATGTATTGTTAAAAAATATGTAATAAAATCAACTTTGATGTTTTGAAGGTTGCATATAATTAAGCAAATATTGGCTCATCGAAATGGTCCGGAGAAAATAGAAGAATTACGACAAAGATATATAGAACGAAAAAAAGAGCATGTTGTTCCTTTGCCTTTTTAAACCAGAAGTTTGACTTTTAAAAATATTGTGTCAGAAATGTATTCGAAGATAAAATATGTTGGGATCAAATTCCTTTTGGAACAAACTTGACTACATGATTTATCTCATTTCGAGACGGAGTAGTATTTTTCTTAAACAAAAGTTTCATGTTTTTGAATTTTATTTTCCATTTGCGCGTAAAAATTATTAGCATTTTTTATTTGTAATTGTAGGCTTTTGCTTACAAATATTGTTGTGTTTATTCTCACCATTAGTCATTGCTTATTTTTGTAAATTTAATTGTTTCAAAATATAATTTAGTTACCTAGTAACGTCTAAAAATTGTTTTTTTAAGTAACTGGTAAAGCTGAACAGCAAAGAACTGTATGTGAGAATGACTGATTACTTCTTCTTTTCTTCTGAATATAATTTTTCTGAAGGTTATTTCATCAAACTCTACCAAAACAAGGTTGAAGAAAATGACTACAGATTATTTGGTCTATAGTGTCAACTGATTAATTCGACATTTCTTCTCGAAGCATGAGACGTGCCGGTGGCAAATTTTTGTGATTTTTGTGATTGTATCATTTTATGCCGTCACTTTTCTTCTATCATTACTGTCATTTTCACGAGGTTGACAAGGACAGCAATAATTACAAGCAATTTGAAAATAGAAAGAATTTCTTTTTGTCAGCATACCTTGTGCATTAGAAAATTATGATACAACTGGTCCAGATCGAATTTTGGAGTCGACTTCTTAATATGTTGCAAAAGAATTGATGGAAAATGAAAATAAAGAGTGCGCTTGTTTGCAAGATTCTTGATCTGTTTTAGAGTGGGTATTTTTTTGTCTAATTGCCATTCATATAATGAATAAAAAATGATCTGACGTAAATTATATTGAACTTGCTAAGCAAAGTTACCGCAGTTTGCTTTAGCTTACTGTGAGGATTTCACAAAATTTAAACTGGCTATGAAGTATCTTGTTTTGTTTACTTAAGTTTTGGTGGTTATGAAAATTTGGGGTCATGACGCAATAATTCCTAAACGAGGATTTGTTAGGTGGGAAAAAATCGTTTCGAAAATTCTCACCAGTGAATAGAAAATTTTTGAGTATAGTACAGTACTGTTCTACTAAACTTATTGGTATTATATGAGGAAGGTGGTTTTTTTTTGGGATGACAGCATGCTTTCACTGAAATTAGGGGTACTTTGATGTAACTTTTTTCAACAAATGAGAAATTTAGAAGGAAATATTGTAACACAAAAGTTTGTATAAACCAGTGATTTATTTAGAGGTCATTTAGGTTATCAGTCATATTTCTTCAACTATACTGTTACAGAATTCATTAATTGTATCTTTGTATTTGTTAATTACGAATATTTACTATGCGCACTACATGCTCATAGGATAAGTTAACTTGAAAACCATAATTATCATTATTAATATGGCTTTAATGATATTAACAATGGAAATTTGTCTACATTTAATGCTGTAAAGTACTGCTATCTCTCATAAATACCATCAACTAATTTTATTGCCAGCATTCCAGTTACATAAAGGAGGACTAAATTAAAAACGAGATTAACAATTTGACTAAATTGGGATATTAAGTCAAAAGAGTATTGAAATGCTATCAAAACATGGTTAAGAATTTAATAATTGCAACAATATGTGATATTTTTTTTATAGGAATAAAATATAACAGTGAAATGCTTGATACAATACGATGTAGCAGCCAGTATTAGAAACTAAAATTGTCATATGATAAGTACGAGATGACAGAGAGTTTCCATTTTTAGCAGGAATGAGTCGCGCATTTACAGAAGTCAATTACGAACGTCTTCGAGACTTATTTTCAGTTTTGTAGAAAGACTATTTTGTTCAATTTTTCTAAAAGCAATTATTGTACAACATTTTTTTCATGTGAAGGAGAGTAAGAAGAAGTAATCATGGCATTTGTCATGCTTATTGTTGACGGTAATTCGAGATAAGTGCTAAACCATACGATCCTCGCAAACCTGTTCCACCTGAAATGCAAAGGAGTGAATATTAAACATTCATCATCTAATTTCTTGCTACAATTACTTTCCTCTACTTCTTGATAATATTGTTACAGGGAAGAAATATCATGAAGTATCATTGGAATCAACAACTGCTGTCATTAAAGTAATAATTATAGCAAAAGGAACTTGAAAAAAAGCAGTAAAGCCTTTTGAAATTTGAAACAGAATTCTTGATTGCACTACTGATACTTTTTGGAGTACTTGAAATCAATTACAGTAAGAAGTTCCCGAAAACTCTGTTGTAGTTTACAGAGATTGAAAATATATATAAATATTTTAACAATGGAAATACGAATGTTGATTTGATATGGACCATTCTTGATAAATTAAGATTTGTTATTAATAAGAAAATGAACGCAAAAATTTGTTCGTCTACCTATTCTACTTATCTATCGAGAAATGTATACGTTGCATGAGACGAAATAACAATTCCTAGTTCCTAATTGCAAATTAGTACTTTAATCAAATTTATACTCAGCAATATGTCATCACGTGAGACATTCGACAAAATTATTGACCATATTCATAAAAGTTACTTGTTATTTTTTGTATGCATTTGACGTCTTCATGTTTACTTTCACGTAGAAAGAACACTTTCATTTCTATTACATTTTCTGCAGTGATTAATTTTTAGTAATTTGCCAGACATTTGTAGAAGTAAGTTTTTCTCATACCAAAAATGGTATTATTAATAAGCATATGAAAATAAAAGTAGTGCTAATCACAAAAAATGTGATCACAGAGGTGAACTTGAATGACCTTCAACTGCACTCGTCCTTGCTCGCATTACATTCTTCTTTATCAGTTTGCTCAGTGCAAGGTATTTGAGGACATGCAAATAAGGAAGTCACTAAGTGAACGTACACGTGTCTTTCTCGTAGTTAATCTGTAGGGGAGGTCTTGCGCAACCTCATAAACAGTTAGTTAATTACTTGCATTTTGCTATAAAAGCATGCAATGCATCAGAAAGAAAACGGAATTAATAAATTCATTTGCTCTTTTCATTTCCGATTGGAACATTTTTAAATTTATTTTTAGGCCTATTACTTGCACAGCTATTTTCTGCGAGTTACTCTATTTACGCTTACTTATGTCTTTTTTACTAAAAAATTTCTCATACAGAATTATTCTTAAGTGAATTGCAGTATACTTGAATATTTATGACGATGTGTGATTGAAAAATAAAATCTATATTATATCTGAAAATAAACAAATAACCTTTAGAAAAAATATCATAGCAAGTCAGAACTGATTCATTATTGTGAAAAATATTCATCACCATGTATAATTAAAAAATGTTGCACAGCTTTTCTTAGGATTAATAATTTTAATATAATTATTATGATTACTATTATTTTTTGTTATTATGATTATTTATCATTATTATAAATATCACCAGAATCAATTAAGCAAAAACGAAAACTAACATCCACATTTTATTTATCTATTATTATTTTTTTTTTTTGCTGTTATCAAAAATTGTTCAGAAGCAATAATTTTATGCAGAATTTTTTAGGATTTTCATCAAAGTAACTTTAATTCACAATTTGAAAAGCTGTCTTTGGCATCTGAATACACGGAATGAAGCAGTCTTACTTAAATTTACTTTTTATTTTGCAACAGATAAAATTTATTAATATTGCAACAAAATAATAGTAATTATAGCAATGATTCAGATCGTTTGTTTTGTAGGCAGATATTTAGAAGGGTAGTTAGTCAATATGAAAACTTTTATTACGCTGGCGGTAGGAGGGAGTGCATGCGCAATTGTCGCAACGTTATTCATAGTTGTGGCTATGTTCAAAGATATCAACATGCTCTATGATGATGCAATGGTGGAAATTAATGATTTTAAGGTTGTTTTTGATCAGTAATTTCATGACAGAATGAATGAAAGAAAGCAAAAATTTAAATAGACTACTGTAATCCTCCAAAATATTATGCCAATTACAAAAATTGGTTACTTCATTTGAGAAATTGGAGTAAAAATTGTATAGATTAAAAGTTGGCTAAATGATTCACTCAATTTGCAAGTTTTCAGTTAAGCAAAATAAGCTTAAAACTGATTATTCCAAGTAGATGAAAACACGTCAACATGTGTGGTGTGATATTCAATAACGGAGGTCAGTGTATCGCAGTAATTTTAGTGTTACTTATTTCAATTGGATTTACTTGTAGGTAATAGCAGATGATGCTTGGGATAGAATTGTGATGCTACATACATCTAGCAACAGTGATGCTCCCATCACTTTTGCAAGTTTAATATCTCGTCACAAACGTCAATATCCCGAACATTGTAGTAAGTTCTAAATTTATTTCATATGTTAAAAATTTTCAAGAGTTAAGCTTGAAATTTGTAAAAATTAAGAAAGTTGAGAATTATAAGTTGTAATAAGAGCTTGAATGGATTCAGATTGCGGACCTTCTGCGAAAGGTTGTCCAAGAGGGCCTCCGGGACCTCGAGGTGATCGAGGAATAAGGGGCGTGGATGGATTTCCAGGGATTGATGGTCGTAAAGGAACACCCGGAGTTGCACTTCTTGCCACACATAATATCCCAGGTGGTTGTATCAATTGTCCTCCTGGACGACAAGGACCACCAGGTCCTCCTGGTTTCCCAGGTGATCAAGGACGGACTGGACGTCGCGGCAGTCCTGGCAGACCCGGGAGAAAAGGTGTAGTAGGTCGATCTGGGCCGATAGGACCACTAGGACTTCGTGGTATTCAAGGTAAAACAGGTATGCCAGGAATACCCGGCCTCAATGGTAAACGTGGACGAGGAGCGCCTGGACCTAAAGGTCCAAGAGGTTCACGTGGACCTATTGGAGTTCCTGGCAGAAATGGCCGCAGCGGCTTGAATGGTCGGCATGGAATCCCTGGAGTGCCCGGAATATTCGGTAAACCAGGGCGCCAGGGTCGTCCCGGACGTCGTGGACCGGTAAATATTTTATTTTCATTGTTCACACTTCTTTGTAAACTCACACACCTTCTGAAACTTGAAGTCGTTTATCACTGCACTTATCTACCAATAATGGAGTAAATGGCAAGTTACAGTTTTACTCTGTCATCGTAATATTTCAGATGGGAATCCCAGGAATTCCAGGACCAGATGCTCACTACTGCCCGTGTCCTTTACGAACTTCAGTACTTTTATCCAGGAAATTATGAAGTTAATAATTTACGGACACACTCCTTCAGCTGACCCATTACATGCTTTGATTTATCAGATCCAAATACTACCTATTTAATACTTTCATAAATATTTTGAATCTTCATTGCTGGATTTAAAATTATTTCACCAAATAATTTTCACATTTCAAAAATATAATTATGCAAAAACAAATCTACTGCAACTTTTATTTAATTATTTCTGTGCATCTACTGATTTTCTATGCTTTGCATAAACAACACGCGCGTTCAAACTCTGAGCTCAAATCAGTAAACATACAAAGATAATATAAGGATTTATTTATAAATCCGTACCTAAACGTAGATAAAAATTAATTATCAGACGGTTATACCCATGTCTTTTACAGCAATGGAAGAAATCAGTCTATATAATTTGTTTTTTAATTAAAAGTTTCAAATTTATCGAAATCGAAATCTTTTTCATCAATAAGTAATACATCAGTATCATCCAATCCGTAAGTCCTCTCATAAACTTAAAATTCAATCCTTTAAAGCTTGGAAGAAATCAGTTTTGTCTATTATACTTTTATAGCCAATTATCAAATCCTAAAAATGTGTTGAGACGCAAAGTTAATGGAAATTAAATCTGAAATTAGAATTATGTAATTTGTAATTGTGAACGAGAGGCAATTAATTTTTTATTTCCGAATTTCAGGAGTATTAGTTGAATATTTATCGGTCATTAATTTTATCTGTCGGATTAGCAAATTATATAAATTGATGAAGTTTTCAACGGAGTTCAATAATTGCATGAAAAGAATTGTAAAAATTCTTCTTGCAATTCGTGCATATCAGTAAGGCTGCTTTGAAATACACCTGAAATAAATTAATCAAAACATCGATCTTACCAGATCTAAGTTTGATGATTCTTCATGATCTGCTCAATAATTATTTGAAAAGAATGATTTTGTACCAATTATAGCATAACACAGAAACATTAAATGCAATATGCAGTGAATTGGCATACTCCACTAGAATTATCAGTGAATTACCATGTAACTTAATTTCTTATTACCATATATCATTTAAATATAAACCATAATTAAAGCAATAAGTAATTAACTGGATAATTTTAAATTTACTTCAAATATTCAATTTAAAAGTTTAGAATTTTAATCCAGTAGTATAGTTTTAGTCATAATTCCAGTAACTGAGTATGGATCACAATTTGATGATGGACGGCGATCTTCCAAGAAACCCTTAAAAACGATCATTAAATATTCAATATCAGAAAGTTTAAGACTGAAAATGCAAAGGCTAAAAATGGAATTTTTTTACTTATCAAAAAGACAACAAAAAATGCACATAATTTTGTAGAAAAATTTAGAAATTAATGAATTCGACTAAAACTAACATAAAAAGTTAATGAGTTGAAACGAAAAATTTGCTATTTCTTTTCACTGAATTAAAAACTGAATTAATTTTTATTAATTCCTAAGTCAAACAGTGAAGAGAAAATAAACTTCAATCTACTCGCAAAGAAATTTTGCTATCGGAAAAAAATGAAATAAGTAAATAGATCACAAAAAGAATGATAATTCTATATGCAGTTAGTCAAGATTTTAATTTTTTGACAAAATACGAAGTACCTTATTGTCGTTAGCTACAGCTCTCGGAATTCGGACTGAGGTACTGCGGTTAGCAATACCCCAAGAAAATTTGTCAATGCTAGAAGTCTCATGTCTACCTGTTAAACGACGCATGTTATCTCTACCACCGTGTGGGTCATAGACTGCTATATGTTCCTGAAAGAAAATGAAATAACAGACACTGATGTGCCATAAAACAGAAAGAGTAAATGAAAGTAATTAAATAAATTTATCAAACACGATCACAAAATATCGGATTTTATGCTTTAACTAATTGTAAATAAAAAGAACTGATAAAAATCAGCGAAATTTTTCAATAATTTTGAAGAATATTTGTTTTGAAATGTTTCCGAAAATTGTTAAATAGTGTTGCTATACGAATCACTTATGATTAATAATAATCATTACTTTTCAAGTCAAGTAGTTATTAATTATTGAATTAAATAATGCATTTTCAATACTTTGTGCTTTTTTTCAAGTTTTTTAATAGCAGCTTCAATATATTTCATTCCACCTTCCGCACGCATTTTTTCAGTAGAGAAATTACAGTGACAACCAGCACCATTCCAATCTCCACCTAATAAAAGTTGTCTATTGAAACAAGTAAAAATCAATTAGGAAAATGTGACTTACATAAAATATTAAAACGTTAGATACGTAAAATATTCACTTACTTGTTACAGCTGGTTTCGGATCAAATGTAACCAGAACACCATATATTTCAGTAATACGATAAAGTAAATATCGAGCCATCCAAAGTTGATCACCCATTGAAATTCCCTCACATGTACCAAGTTGGAATTCCCACTGTCCAGGTGTCACCTCTTTAATATTACATATTAATTACCGCTAATTTTTAGAAGTTAAATTTCAAAAATAAGACATGCAAGAGTGCTAAGCAACAGATGATTAAATATTAGTGAAAGGAAATTAGCGTGATTAATTAAAACTTCACACTTTGTAACAGGGACAAACATACATACTATCATGTTAAAATTAATGAGCATTAAAAAATAGAGAATTATATTTTATGAAAAAATTAACTTTACAGAGGTGCGCATCAAATAAATATTCAATTCACCTTGTAAATTTTAAATTGTTTAATAAAAAATATAGCTAACTTAAAACTTTATATTATTTTTGGAAATTTTACATAACTTTAAGTAATCGTTATTACCTGCATTAATACCGAAAATTTGTAATCCACTGTATAAACAAGCTCGATAATGAGCTTCTACGAGTTCTCGGCCAAATATTTTATCAGCTCCAACACCACAATAATATCTACCCTGAGGTTCAGGATATCCGTTCTTAGGCCAACCAAGTGGATATCCATCTCTGTAAATATTGGTTTCTTTAATCTTTCAATTTAATCACATTATCTTTTCTTTTAAACTTTTTGACTGCTTTTAAATATGCTACTTGAATACAGTTCATCAGAATACCTGTCTAAGAGTAGATATTCTTGTTCCATTCCAAACCAAATTTTTTCATCCTTGCAATTTTCCATTATTTTATTGCACTGATTACGATGATTAGTTGCTACAATATGTAAATACTGAACTTTCATAAAATGGATATTGTATCCATATCATTATTTGATTATTCATTCTCACAGAGATCTTTTCTTAGATGTTACGAATGAGCCAATATTTCTAAGCCTGAATTTCCCTAAAGATGTCTTGCATTTACCAAGCACATATTCAGAAGCTTCATTCCGGAATACAGTGTTGTTTTTCTTTTTTTAATTATTACATTTTTTAATTTGTTAAATCTAATACATTAAACTGATTAATAACAGCAGCAGCTATTAAGCAAAAAACCTTCATAAAAACTCATCATTAATTAATATTTAAGTCAAAGGATTAATATAATTAATTTTCTAAATTTAGAATATAAAAAGTAACCAGTAGGTTTCATGGTACTATCAAATGTTTCACATAAGACTAGTTTGTTATGGCCTCCAAGAAATGGATCTGGATAAGAAGCTACCGGCTTGAGATATGTATCTGAATCTTGACCCGATCGAGCTTGACCCGTTGATGAGCCATCAAAATTCCACATTGGAAATTCTGAAATCACTTATCAAAATTGTCTATCAGCAACTTTTTTTTGCCAGTTTCACATTCCTTTCTAAAATAAAAAAGGAAAGAAAATCTCGTAACATTTTTTATTATATTTAGTCAAATATCTTTGAATGAGTCTTAACAAAATTTTTAAGTAATTTAAATTCCTTAATAACCTGAAATCTTTTTAGGTATATGCGCCATCGTCCGTGTTTTTGAACGCATTGTTTCACCTGTTCCATCAATCCAAATATATGTTGCCTGAAAATATGCATTTAAAAAATTTTAAATCATTACATTTTTAATCCGAATTTGATTTAATTACTTTATGAAAATTTAAATTATATCATGAAGTACTTGAAAAAAGTTAAAAAATTCGAAATTTTTAAATGCAGATTTAAAAAAAATCACAAACTTGGCAAAGGGAGGGATGTGGCTTCAACCCGAGAAACTGATCAATGACCGCTCTAGCCAAGGGTAACCGTATGTTAAAAACCATTTTCACAAAAAGCTTAAATAATTCCAAAAGTTAGCAGCAAAATAAATATTCTGCTAAAGATAAGTCATGATTAAAAAATTATAATTTCCAATCTAAAAATTCTTAAATTAATCCAACCATTGCATCAACATCATGTAAAAATATTAATGGAATGATTTACAGCAATAAAAAGTATAGTAGCATAAATAGAATTATGTACAGTAGTACTTGTAGTAATTACAGTAATTACAATAGCTGTTGTAAAAGTAATAATAACAACATCAATATTACAATATATGATTAGGTAACTACAAAAAAGTGTTAGAATCACAAAAATAGTAAAAGTAATCTGAGAGGAAAGATTTATGACTTTTTAGTGAAACAATTTGAAAAACTTTTAATAAAGTCAATTATTGCATATTAATAATAAATTGTAGTTCCTACACAAAAAATGTGATCAAAATTATTGGACAGCTTAATTTCTTAAATAAAAAATTAATGGTTTTTAAGCAGAAAATGCAAAAAAATATTGAATGCTTAAAAAAATTAGAAGTAAAACTAATAATTTTTCAAATTTACTAAATTTTCAAGCAGATGACACGAGCAAAAACTCCATAAACAAATGATATTTTCTTATTTGTTAGACTTCAGAACATATATTGCATTGCCGCATATTTGATTGAACTGTTAAGATTGTTATAAAGATCAGAAGGACTGATTCAACTGGTTGATCTGAGAGTAACTAATTAAATGAATAAAAAGATGCCAGAAATCAACAAGCCTTTTTCTTTTCAGTTTTCATACATTTTTGTTTTACGAAGTTAAAATTTTTTAAACAAAGTATGAATTAAGCAGGTTTGGAAATACTTTAAATTTATTTGTAAGCAATTATTTTTTAGAAACTCAATAAATTACACTACGGTCTAGAACAGTATGAAAAAGTGAAATTTTGAAAAATGAAACAATTGGAAAGAGTTTAGTCCGCTGGCAAATTTTGCTTCTTAATTTTTAGTTTACAATTTTTATGATTTGCTTTTCTTTAATTCAATTACTTTCTTAGCAATAATTTATGGTAAAAATAAAAGCTTTCCATTATTTGTACGGTTAAGAAAAAAGATTATACAAATGTTGTACGAAAAACTAGCTATAAAACAAATTTCATTTTGATTCAATACCAAATTTGTAAGCAGTAATATTTTAAATAAGCTAACAAAGCACTAACATTAATTTGAGATTATAAAAGTTTGACGAGATAAATTCAGTAGCAAATGCAAAATGCAATCGAGTTAGAGTTAGTTAGTTACACTGTGATATTTAGAAGCAGCTGAAGGTTTATAAAAATTTCTTGCTAATAAGCAATTCTGCATAATTAGTGAATAAAAATGCAAAATTTCTTGCATGAAAATTAAATATTTTCAAAATTCGTTTGAAATTACAAAAAGTGCTCTTTTACCGATACAAAAATTGGCTGATTATGTGGTTAGCAAAATTATGGTCTTTCAAAAAAAATTGAGAAGTCTGATAATCTTGTGAACATTACTGATTTATGATCAGTGATCAGTGAATATTGAAGTTTGCTCCATTGATTACTTCTGAATAATTCAAAAATTAAAAAATGTGCCAAAAAAAGTAAAATATTAGCTTGATATAAAAATGATAAATGCTGTTATTATAAAACATTCTTATTAAAGAAAACATTTTAATAATTCTTTTTACAGTTTTTTGTCTTTAAAAATTTTTTTCTCTCATAATGATTGATTTTTTTTTTTTTAAAGTGAGTTTAGTTATTTTGATTGTCACAAATAATTTGTTACTGAAATATTGTCATTTATTACAAAAACTTCCATTATTTCATCAAAAAGTATTATTATAAAATGGTTATAAAAAGTTTTTAGAAAAAAGTTGGAAAAATTTAATCAAAAATTCTACAAAAATATGCAAATAATATAATATGAAGTGTGATTTAGCTTTACATTGCATAAATATCAAAACTAAAAACTAACTGTAAGTAAAGTAAAGTATTGAATTGTGAATTTTACTGCAATTATCGCCAACTGTTCATTGCAAACACAAAATGACTGAGTGAGAGAGCGAATTTTCAGTGAATAAAAGAGGGAAAAACATTTTTAGTTCTGATTAATTTCTTTACAAATATCAACCAAAAATCAGCATTTTTGTTCAGAACTAAGATAATAAAAATTGAATGAATTATTAATAACTTTTTATAATCAATCGTTGACTTTTTTGCTTACTGTAAAATTAATATTGTATTCTTTTTATTATTTAATAAACAAAGTTTAACTTTTGTTTGTTTTACAAAAAATGAAATTTTTTTTTATTATTTACTTATTTGTAGTCAATTAGCTAAGAAGCTACAGCAGTGATTTTCATCAGATTGTTGGCAATTTCTGTCTGAACAAAAATTAAAGTGCATTTGATTTGCATTCTCACAAAATGCATTTAGCACTGTTGTTTGCAATATAAAATTAATGCATCATTAGACAATATTATTAATTACTCACAAAAATATGCTAAGTTGTTTTAAGACATTGCAATCAAAATTTTTCCTTAAATTACAAATTAATTTTAATTTTTTTGACATTCAAATTTATTACTAACAATTAAAATTGTGTAAAATTAAATTTTTCACTTCTACTTCATCATAAATTATGCACAATAAATTCATTTATAATGCACAAAAAGTATGTAATTCGATTTGATAACATATCATAATAATGAGGCGAGTAAATATTCAAACTATTGAAAAGACTGCCAAATGACCTCTTAAGCAGTTCAGTGAAGCCTTCTCCTTCTTTCCTTAATCTAAATAACTTCAAAAAGCAAAACATAATTTCTTCACTTTGTAACAAACTCTAAAAGGTTCTATAATGAACTAACACAGAAGCTTAATTACAAAGAAGTTATTTTAAAAGAATACGAATAAATTACTCAAATGCATTCATTATTAGAGTAACTGATAATGAACGCATTTAAGGATATATCAGATAATCGAAATCATTCCAACATAACTCCACAAATTATCGAATATTTTTAATTAGCTATATGAAGGAGAAGGCTTCACTAAATATGAAAGGAAACTTTCTAAAAAATTACAATAAAAAAAGAATAAAATAGAATAGAATAGAATAGATTACTGATAAAAATTTGAAAGCAAATTTTTTACAGTACTATAATGTACAGATTATTAGATGCATTTGGTGCGAAGATAATTTTGATAAGAATAAGTGAACATTCATAGAGAGTCTTATACAAACAAATTAATTCTTATTATTCAAACAAATCTTTTAATTTACAAATTATGCAAACAAATTCTAAAGACAATTTTTAACTTTTATTCACATTTTGCTTGTCCAAAAATGCTTTGATTCCCACAAACATAATAATTTTGTAATTAAATCAACGAATATTAATTAAAAAATTATTGATTTATCACAAGATTTCTAGCAAAAATAATCACACTGACAAGCCATAAATAGATCAGTTGATGTTTATTAGCTTCATTCCTTTTTTTATCTCACTTCTTAGTACTGCTGCGAATCGCATCACATGAGCTTAAACTAACAATTCTCTGCCTTTAACTTAATAAACTTTTTCAGTGAATTATTATGCAGAATAAGTTAAACAACTTAATTTTGTTTTAGCGATCAATTTTTCAAGCTATTAGTTGTTAGATCGAATCATTTGAATTAATTACTTGATAATAATCAAATAATTGAATAATTGCAATGTTCAGTAACCATAAATTTAATGTCATTTATTCTTTTTCAACATAATAATAATAGAGCACAACCTTTGCAGTTTAAAAATTCAACATAAATAAGACAAAAAGATAAATCATACAAATTCTAAAACATAAAGTAATAGGCATAGAAAGTAATAAAAGTTAAAAAATTAATTGAAGTATTTGAATTTTTGTCTTATTTCAGCAATATACATAAATTGCTTGTTAACAATTTTGTTAACAAAAGTAATTTAGAATCACATTAGCTCTATTTAATAGACCGCAGTTAAAATTAATATTTTTGAATTTTCCAAATTATTTATTACTGAGACAAGTCTCAAAATTATAAATCGAACAGATGCAAATTAACATAAATTCAAAAATTCTATGTTGTTGTGAATTTTTAGCCATACGAAATTATAATTTATTTTATTTTAATCCAAACGAGACTCTTAGGATTTGCTGATATTTAATTGGAAATTGGAAAAAATTTTTTCTGTCCAAAAACTTTTTGAATTTTGTCCAGATTTATTTTTGAATTATTATAAAACTTAACTTAATGAAAGTAATTAAAATTTTATTTGCTAAATTAGGCATTTTAACTGTGACAACAAATGTTTTAGTTTGCTACGTTTGAAATGGCGTTATAGTTGAGCAAATAAGAACTCTTCAATATTTAAAGTAGAAAAATTGGAACAAAATAGCAATATTCAAGTTTGAAGATAAATATTTACATGAATAAATCTTAACTCAGTAAGTAAACGCAAACTGAAAATGGTAAATAAAAAAATGGCAAAAATAGTTGCTTATTAAATAATAATAATCAAATGGTTTGTCTTAAAAAGCTGCCACAAATTTATAAAAATAAAATATATTTTCAGATTTATGCAAATCAAAAATACTTTTGAGTGCAAACATTGCAAATAAAAAATGAATAATTGATAAAAACTAACGTAAATATATTATTGAAAAAATAAGTTCAAAATAAGTTACTTTTGAAAGTTAACTTAGCTTAATATCGATTACCTGACAAAAAAATAAGAAAAAAGAAGATTAGATTTGAATTTCTAATCTAGTCTTTTATGTCCCAATTTGGATTTGACTTTTGATCTTAAGTTTAGCTTTAACAATCATTAATTTTGAAAACAAATAAATACATTCACCTAAGATTCAATGACCAAAATACTGGAGTCTAAAACTGTACTCTTTTTTAAACCGATATTAAATTATAATAATAGTAATAAAAATAATAATAATAATAATAATAATAATACGTATT